GAATATTTAGAAGAGATTGATCTTGAACTGCGTCTTGCAAGATTTGAGAATTTAATGGACCGTAGACCTTTACTCCTGAGCAGGTATAATGTAGTATTGACAGGTATAATATTGTATTGAAAAGTATAATGTTGTATTGACAGATATATGTTATATAGTACTGACAGCTATAATATGGTATTGACAGATATAATATAGTACTGACAGCTATAATATGGTATTGACAGGTATAGTATAGTACTGACTGCTATAATATGGTATTGACAGATATAATATAGTACTGACAGCTATAATATGGTATTGACAGGTATAGTATAGTACTGACTGCTATAATATGGTATTGACAGATATAATATAGTGCTGACAGCTATAATATGGTATTGACAGGTATAGTATAGTACTGACTGCTATAATATGGTATTGACAGATATAATATAGTACTGACAGCTATAATATGGTATTGACAGGTATAGTATAGTACTGACTGCTATAATATGGTATTGACAGATATAATATAGTGCTGACTGCTATAATATGGTATTGACAGATATAATATAGTGCTGACTGCTATAATATGGTATTGACAGATATAATATAGTACTGACTGCTATAATATGGTATTGACAGGTATAGTATAGTACTGACAGCTATAATATGGTATTGACAGATATAATATAGTACTGACTGCTATAATATGGTATTGACAGGTAAAATATGTCATTGAAATTCTTCAATGAAATTGTCATCACTACATTTCTGATCACAATATTATATTTTCAAATCACCAGTGTTCTTCTTCGTCAAAATCCTCATAATGTTCACGAATGGCATAAACGAGTGAAGCTGTTTGAAGGCAAGCCAAAAGATGTCATTAACACGTATACTGAAGCTGTGCAAACCGTCCAGCCGAAGCAAGCCACAGGGAAGCCTCATACTCTTTGGGTGGAGTTCGCTAAGTTTTACGAAAAACATAAACAGATCGCTGAGGCAAGAGTTATATTTGAAAAGGCGACAAAAGTGTCGTATCGTCGTGTCGATGATCTTGCAAGTGTTTGGTGTGAATACGCAGAAATGGAGATTCGAAATGAGTAAGTTATTATACGTATAAGCTTTGATTTCTTGCTTTTTATGTGCTGCCAAAGTCATTTTTCATTTATCTTGTTAAAACTGGTCTACTATTCGAAGTTTCTTCTACATAGCACAGTTTTAGTTCTAACAAAACATAGCACAGTTTTAGTTCTAACAAAACATAGCACAGTTTTAGTTCTAACAAAACATAGCACAGTTTTAGTTCTAACAAAACATAACACAGTTTTAGTTCTAACAAAACATAGCACAGTTTTAGTTCTCACAAAACATAGCACAGTTTTAGTTTTAACAAAACATAACACAGTTTTAGTTCTAACAAAACATAGCACAGTTTTAGTTTTAACAAAACATAGCACAGTTTTAGTTTTAACAAAACATAGCACAGTTTTAGTTCTAACAAAACATAGCACAGTTTTAGTTCTAACAAAACATAGCACAGTTTTAGTTCTAACAAAACATAGCACAGTTTTAGTTCTAACAAAACATAGCACAGTTTTAGTTCTAACAAAACATAGCACAGTTTTAGTTCTAACAAAACATAGCACAGTTTTAGTTCTAACAAAACATAGCACAGTTTTAGTTCTAACAAAACATAGCACAGTTTTAGTTTTAACAAAACATGGCACAGTTTTAGTTCTAACAAAACATAGCACAGTTTTAGTTCTAACAAAACATAGCACAGTTTTAGTTCTAACAAAACATAGCACAGTTTTAGTTTTAACAAAACATAGCACAGTTTTAGTTCTAACAAAACATAGCACAGTTTTAGTTCTAACAAAACATAGCACAGTTTTAGTTCTAACAAAACATAGCACAGTTTTAGTTCTCACAAAACATAGCACAGTTTTAGTTTTAACAAAACATAACACAGTTTTAGTTCTAACAAAACATAGCACAGTTTTAGTTTTAACAAAACATAGCACAGTTTTAGTTTTAACAAAACATAGCACAGTTTTAGTTCTAACAAAACATAGCACAGTTTTAGTTCTAACAAAACATAGCACAGTTTTAGTTCTAACAAAACATAGCACAGTTTTAGTTCTAACAAAACATAGCACAGTTTTAGTTCTAACAAAACATAGCACAGTTTTAGTTTTAACAAAACATAGCACAGTTTTAGTTCTAACAAAACATAGCACAGTTTTAGTTCTAACAAAGCATATGAAAAAAGTTAGAGCAACTCAAGAAACGCATCAAAACGTCAAACTTTTCCGAGAAAAGGCCGAACTGTATTTAGTAATACATATTTGTAGCTACAGCGTCTTATTACATACATTATTCATGTTGGACGAATCATGACTTTCTTTATTTCTTACGTTTTATTTGTATAGAAACTATAAAAAAGCTTTGGACGTAATGAAAAAGGCAACCGCGATGCCATCCAGCAGAACTAGTTTTTATGATGAGGTATGTATGGGACATTGTAGGATATCCGGCAATCTGTGGTGATGTATTTTTGTTTTATTAAGGCATGTCACACCAAGGGATATTTTTAAGGATTTTACACTGCGAGGCCATAAACCTCAAAAAAAACCTGTGAAGCATGAGTCACGTGACAGAGTGTCCGGAAATACCTTTCTACAGTGTAATTTTCAAAACTACAATTTCGTAAATGCTACGTATTTTATGTGTTTGTAGAGCAATTTGATAACAACATTAATCAACTTGTTATGAAATAAGCATTCTCACTTCAAGCGTACTCTATATTATGCGCAATGAAGTATTTGAATTACCAGTATGCGTATATGTTAAAATATGCCTTGGATCACACTACTTAATGTATTTCTTTTGTTTAATTTAGACAGAATCTGTTCAAAAACGCCTCCATAAATCACTGAAGGTTTGGTCAATGTATGCTGATTTGGAGGAAAGTTTAGGGACATTTGAGGTAACCAATGGATAGCCTTTATCAAACACGAACATCTATGTACATGCAATGATAGTTTAGGAACGTTTTAGGTGGCAGATGGATAGTTTTTGCCAAATGGGGATATCTATGTATATACAATGATAGTTTAGGAACATTTGAGGTGGCCAATGTATAGTTTTTGCCAAACACAGACATTCATATGCAATAATATCTATTATGGCTTTATTTCTACAGTCGACCAAAGCCGTTTACGATCGCATTTTGGATTTAAAAATTGCCAACCCTCAGATTATCATTAACTTTGCTGTATTTTTGGAGGAACATCATTATTTTGAAGAATCCTTTAAGGTAATTGAATTGTTAAATACTAAAATTCGTGAACCATCTCATAAGGTTATAGTATTACTTTAGGTTTGTTTTGGTAAATGCATTTCCATGAAATTTTTATCATTGTCAGGTGTTCGAACGTGGCGTTGCAATGTTTAAATGGCCCAATGTTTTTGATGTTTGGAACACGTACTTAATGAAGTTTATCAAACGATATGTGAGCTTATTGTTTTGTTGTTTATTTATTAAAAAATTACAACTTAGATTATTTCATCGCCACACAGTTAGTGTGTTGTGAAACCTTGGTAAATCTTAAAATGTTTTCTTTCTAATTTTGCACATCAAGGGTGGAACTAAACTTGAGCGTATTCGTGATTTATTCGAACAAGCTTTGGAAAAATGTCCAGCAAAGTTTGCTAAAGGTTCAACAGAAACAATTTTTTCAAGTTAACATTACCATCATGCAGCAACTTCGATTAACTCTACGTTGACAAACTCCCTTTCATCTTTCTTTAGCCTTTTATCTGATGTACGCACGTCTCGAAGAGGATCACGGTCTAGCTCGTCATGCAATGGCCATTTACGACAGAGCAACAAGAGCAGTGCTGCCTGAAGAACAATTTGAGGTGCAACAGACGTAGGGATTTAGTTACGAGGCTTAGTTTCATTTAATCCTCATCCTTGCTTTATCTGTTCAGATCTTCAATATTTATATCAAGAGAGCTGCTGAAATATTTGGTGTTACACATACAAGAGAGATTTATGAAAAAGCCATCGAGGTTCTTGGTGATGACCAGGCTCGGTAAGAGACAGTTTTGTATGGGAACTTGTGTATATATTTGGTATACAATTGTGAGATGGTCTTTCGTCTAAATGACAGAGAAATGTGCACTCGCTTTGCTGAACTTGAACGTAAACTTGGAGAAATAGATCGCGCACGTGTTCTGTACATGCATGCTTCACAAATGGCCGATCCAAGGGTAATTATTCAAGACATATATAATCTTGAGCGTCGTGGTTAAATAAACAGGCAATTTGCTTTATTTTAGACGACAGCATCCTTTTGGAAGACTTGGCATGACTTTGAGGTTCATCATGGTAACGAAGACACTTTTCGTGAGATGCTGCGCATTAAAAGGAGCGTACAGGCCAAGTATAATACGCAGGTGTTGATGAAATGGCATGTGCAATTACACACTTGTTTTTTTAAGCTATTTATTTGATAATTATACGGACATGCATATATGCGTTCACCTAATCTTTCTCATTTTTTCACATGTAGGTTAACTTCATGTCCGCTCAAATGCTTGCTGCATCTCAAGCAATGTCTGGTGAGTTATACGACTATGCAAGGAAAACTTAAGTGTATTGAATCTAGCACACTTCTTTCCTTTTTCACCACAGCCGTTAAATATTTTTTGTTGGCAAATGTAGATGTACTTATTAACTTATACAGATGCGGCAACCGGTATGTCTGCGGATGACATGGAGAATTTGGAAAAACAAGCTCGAGCAATGGCTGAACAAGCGAAAAAGAATCAAGTGAAGCCGAAACGTGATGTTCTTTTTGTGAGGTAAAAAGAAATGTTAGGCTTTATTCTTTGGATCGCGGCTTATTGCTTTAGCAAATACGTTTGTCTCATAGGTTAACCGTTAACCTATGCTTCTTTTAATTGACATCCCTGGGTGATTTAGTTAATATTAACTGTACTGAGTCTTATTTGTGTTAATTTAATTTGTGTTAGAGGCGAAGCAACTGATGAGGACAATTTAGAAGCGTTGGCAAGAATAGCGAATCCAGAAGAGATCTCAATTGATGAAGACGATGAAGACGAAGATGCAAAGATTGAAGGTGAATTTGTGACAGCTCACGTACCTTCATGTCATTATGATGAGATCGAAATAACAGAAAGCGCGTAAATATGAAACTTGACATCAGAAGAGATTTTAACAGTGTATTTTTGTACAATCATCTCTTTTGTAGAAGTTCAGCTTGAACAACAAATGGTGCCTTCAAAGGTATAAGTATGACTTTGTATATTCAACCTCATAGCTATTTTCATAAATCATTATAAATTATTGTGCAAATCGTGATCTTTAATCCACTTCATGTTATCGTACTATTTCAGGTTTTTGGAAGCCTTATAAAAGACGACTAGATTTCATTGATGGATAATAAGTTGTACGGTCATGGAACATTCTTGCTTTGGTTGCTCTTTGGAGCTTAACTTCATCGTTATTTGAAAAGTTTGTTTTCGTCATGTATCACTTTTGAAGGAGGAAACTTCACCACAGTCACGACATTCAAATGAGTCAGAATGCTTTTGTATGATTTCGCATTTACATAAACCCTCGACATTAGCTTCCGTATTGGTGGATATCCAATAACAGATAAGGTACTTTTGGACCAATCAAGGTATAGTGCCAGTCTACCAAATTTTATCGCGCCAAGCAATAAATATATTGTGACGCAGAATATGAAATTATATTATTCTGTATTGCCATTCGAGTTACAAGGTGATGAGACGAATTCATTTAAAAATGAACAGCTTTGGAATTTACTACGATGAAAACTCTTCATTTTGAACGATTCTGTTTACAAATTTTCCATGATCAAATCACAAAAAGTGTGATAACAAAATTAAGATGTAATGAATACATTTGATTCCAAACGGTAATTTGTGTTTTGTTATGAAGTAAAAGTCGTTAATTCCACATAACTTGAGTGAACAAAGTTACAGAATCTTCCTTCGTTTGTTAATTTTACGCAAGTTTAACACCAGACCCATAAAATGTTATGTTGTCATCACATTCTCTTTCCTATTTTAGACTGATTAATTAGCATCCATATTAGCAAAGTGAGTGTTCTTATAGCTCTTAGCACATAATAATTATAATATAGTGCAGGTTTAGCTAACATAATAAATATTATCTGAATTAGGCATGTAATTTTATCTTAGCTTACTTTTCAGTAACATAACGTGAGTGTCTTTTTATCTTATCAACTTAACAAATATGAATAAATGAATGAGCGAATGAGTCACGTCTCCTTTGAAATAACATTTCTGCATTACACACTCAACAGGATCATTATAAAACGTTTTCTGTAAATGGCAATCGTTACAAGTGACATGGTTTTAGTAATCACATTGACACTAGCACAACTTTTATCATATTTTTGCTTAAAAATACGATTGAGGGCACGCTTAGTTTACTTTTTGGAATTTAAAGTACGAGGAAAAAGTTATTTTTTCTCTAAGAGGTTAATTGTGTATAATTACGTGGGAGTTAATAACGACAGGTGTGAATCTACTATCCTAGCAACTGACGCAAAGCGGAAGAAAATTCATATTGAAATCGGCTTTTACAAACTGAAAGAAGCAGACCTAAAAGTATGTAAACATTGCATTACATTGTTGACTTACACACAAACTATTTGAAGTTGAGATTGCGTTAGATATCGTTGGAAGAATGGTGAAAGTGGATTAATTGTTATAGAAATATTTGTGTCAAAACAAGATACATAGTTTTTGTTACAGCAGTTTTTGCCATTGGTGATGCTTAATGACTGAATTACAATAGTACACGTTCACAAGTATTTGTAATTGTAGTGAACCCTACTGAACCCACGTCGCCAGTTGAATGACAAAATTAGGTGTGCAAAAGACATTTAGGTGTTGAAAGGTTTGCGTCGACTTGTTGTATGATTTAATGATTCTAGAAAGTTGCTGCGAGTTGCTGTTGTTTAATGTAGGTTTCCTTGACAGACCAGGAATTAAAATATAAATACTAAAAATTGGTTACTGATTTCGCAACTTAAAATTATTTGAGTGAGTTTGAAGACAATCGCCAATATTAAATGCATTTAAAAAATACAGTGCATGACGAAAGAAAAACGATCATTCCCGACCATGTCTCATCTTGCTTTGCTCTTTTTAATAAAATTTTCACTTTTACAATAAAGAGGTTATTTAGCAGTGAAATTCCCACAGGAGCTAATTAATGAAATATGTGATTCTTATTTTGCAATTAATCTTTTGGGATTTACTAAACAATAAAATTTACCCACGTCGGCTGGAGTCCATAAAAGCACCTATAGAATATTCTTTTGTATCAGACCCCCAGTATGTCTGACGTGAATAACATTAATTCCTACCAACTTTGTTTATCAGCCTTGTATTTGCTTGTTTTAGGTCCATTTGATATTGAAAACATGTCATTCGATAATTAAAGCCTGATTTTTGAAACCGATAGAATACCGTTATATAGACATAGTAGTTCACACACAATAGCGTGTTGAAGTTCGATTATCTATTTGTAATAACTTTATACTTCATTTACAAATTTGCATTTTCAATAATTGCTGGCATGGTACTACATACCTTGAAGTGAATACATGCAGGCTATAGAAAATGCTTTGAGTGGATAACTTTTATGCCTGAATTTCAAAAAGAAAAGATATATTTGTATGATTTATGCAGAAATAATGAAAGAACGATTTTGGTAAAGCAGGGGAAAAAATTCAATGGTAGAGTTGCAATGATCTAGATTATCACATCTAACATGTATTGATGGCGTTAGTATGTGGGTCTTGAATTGTATCATTTATTCGTGATCCAGTAGTTGAATTTGTCATGAGTTTCTATGGTAGTTAATCCGTGTAAATGGCTTTACTGACATTTTTTAGGTAGTTGAAAATTGTAATATGCAGTTGCTTGGCGTATTGCGTACAAAAATGACAAAGCTAAAGAGCTTGGAACGCACAGGGTTAAAGTATGACAGATGTTCTTCAATTATGATTTAGGAAATTTGACCTAATTAAACCCCTATTTTGGATATCTTCCTGTAGACGTACGTGTACAACAAATGAAATATTTCATACGAAAGCTATAAGTAGAAACAAAATTTTTTTAACAGAAGCAAAAGGATGTTATTGTTTTGGAAATGTGATAGAATTGTCGTCAATGAAGAGTGTAATGAGCGGTAGAGATTGAGTTTTTTCGTTTTATGTGTTTTCCGACATCTTTTGGTTTCACCTGGATATAACTCCATTGCCAGTCTATACATGGTATTTTTGTAAAAGTCTTTGAGTGCGCCGTCAGAGCTGCAGAAAATAGCACAGAAAAGATTTATACGTCGAAGCCAATTGTGCCAAAGTGAAACCAGGAGAGATTCAGAAAGTAAATGGAAAGTTAGACGTTTTCTTTGGTAGTACGTGGTAACAGCATTTCCCTGAGATGTTTAATGAGTAAAATGTCGCAGTTTTGCATAAAAAAGACAAAATCGCTGGATGCTTAATCGGTAAAGCACATGTCTGCAAACAAATCAGACGTTAACGACTAACAATGTTTATTGACTTAATTTAAAATAATTAATTTGTGATCATGAAAACGTTGCCGGCATTCAGTACATTTGATTCTTTTCCATGTATATAAATATATATATTGTATAAAAAATACATATTCACATCACATTACACCATGCAAAACCCATGGCAACGCATTTCACCCCATCCAATCACATTAATCCACCTGCTAATCCAATTAGACGCTCTAAGTGTCTACAAGCTAAAGGCACATGTAAAAAGATAATATCCGCATTCTGATGAAGGCTCGCAGCAACGAGTCGAGAGCTCAATAAAATTATTTATAAAATCCGGAGAAACTTTTATTTTAAACAATACAATGCCTGGATTACCAATCTTTAAACATATTAAGATATATATATTAAATCCCCTGAAGAGTGAGCAATCACGAAACAGGCTTGTCGGGATGAATCTGTAGTTTTGTGATTTTTCTCTACACCACTACACATATTTACGCTCTGCTCTCGGGCATCGAGCACTGTTTCATACGGAGAATCATCAAATATAAACTTCCTATATATATATATCATATCTTCTAAGTTTCTTTCCAAGTTTAATTTTTTCAATATTTATCCGCATAGTGCAATAGCATTAAGAGACACCCAGTTGTGTTAAGAATAGTTAACAGAAATTTCTTTTTCCAAATTGTATGTAATAATTTAAAGAATGAAGATGTATGTATGCATGATTTCTCTAGAAATGTTTTCAAGCTGTGACTTTTGTTGCCCGCATAAATGTTTCACATTTCTTACAAAATACCTAATGTAAATATTCTTTCGTGGCAGCTCTCTATAGTGAGGCGGAAAGCTGTCTTCAATCATTATTCATCACCCTGCTGTTGGAACCAGAAGAAGACAGGAAAAAAGGTTAATCATGAAGATAACCTATCTTGTCATCGCTCTTGGATTGCTTTGCACTTTTGCTTACGCTCAAGCGAAGCTTGAAGATGGGGTTATGAAAGGTAATGATGCAAAGCTCATATATTCAATACTTTATCTATATCATTAACCATTTTTATTGACCAGCTTTTGTACATGATTAAAGAATGGTGGTTGTTTTATTTAGAATCCGATGAAAAAATCTCTCCAGAGGAAAACATTGGAAAAGAACTAGTAGAAAATGATAATCAAAACTCAGAAAATGATGATGAAGACCCAGCAAATGATGATGAAGACCCAGCAAATGATGATGAAGACCCAGCAAATGACGATGAAGACCCAGCAAATGATGATGAAGACCCAGCAAATGATGATGAAAACTTCGAAAACGATGACGAAAATTCCGAAAATGATGACGAAAATTCCGAAAATGACGATGAAAACCCGGAAAACGACTTAGAAGAAAATGATGATGGACATGAACTGTCAGAGGATAAGTAAGTTAACTTTATTTGCTACGTTCTAGCTACTTTGTGAAGATTACCTTCTTACGTTTTATCGTTTTGTAAGTATTGGTTGCTCTTGACGTATTTTTTCATGAAAGATGATGAATGGGAACACAAACGTGAAGCACATCATCAAAATCGAGAACGAATAATGTTGAATGAAATGAAAACGTTTACTTGTTTAGATATATTCTTGGCTCCCGTTTTGATAGCTAAACTTGGTCTGCAGCAGTTGACTGACATTAATTCATTGTATTTTGTAGTGCTAATGTGAAAGCAGATCCAAGTGTAGAAAGCGTTTTTTCCGTCGTCGTCGTTTCATTAGTCGTCGTCGTCGTTTCATTAGTCGTCGTCGTCGTTTCATTAGTCGTCGTCGTCGTTTCTTTAGTCGTCGTCGTCGTTTCTTTAGTCGTCGTCGTCGTTTCTTTAGTCGTCGTCGTCGTTTCTTTAGTCGTCGTCGTCGTTTCATTAGTCGTCGTCGTCGTTTCTTTAGTCGTCGTCGTCGTTTCTTTAGTCGTCGTCGTCGTTTCTTTAGTCGTCGTCGTCGTTTCATTAGTCGTCGTCGTCGTATTTTCTATCGTCGTCGTATTTTCTATCGTCGTCGTATTTGCCGTTGCCCTTCGCGTCGTTATTACCGAATACGTTTTATGTTCCGAAGACGTTATGCATACCGTCGTTTTGTACGCCGTACACCTGTTTCGGGCTAATATGGCAAAACCCAGTAAGGATCCTGTGGAATGTGTAGCGATTAATAAAAAACATTCATTTGATTCTAGACGTACTTTAAATTGGCATTGTTGTATGATTTGCCTGTAGAAAATAGATGTTTGCATTAATCATTGATTCTGTATGTTCTTTTGTAAAAAAGCTATTTTGCTAGTAATAACATGCACACAAAATTACACCCCACCTCATCTCAAATATTGTTGAGAAGAAATTGGCCCTTGCTTTAATAATGGGCTCGCGTGATTTCTATGAGAGAAGATATAGTTATGCATAGTATTTATAGAAGACGCTCAACAGATCAGCGTCATCGTCAATACATATCAATAACTAAAAAATGGTACACATTGTGCATTATAAAAACTGCAGCCATTTTAAATCGTTTAAAATTTGCATTATTCAGAAGTGATCGATTCTCAAGGAGGCTCAAAACAATGATTGAACAAGCGAAGAAGAATCAAGTGCATCCAAAACGTGATGTTTCTTTTTGTGTAGTGATTAAAGATCGCGGCTTATGGTTTTAGAAAGTACGTTTGTCTCATGGGTTAACCTATGCTGCTTTTAGTTGACATCTCCTGGGTGATTTACTTTAAAGTACCAGTATTGAGTCTCATTTGTGTGAATATATTGTGTGTTAGAGGCGAAGCAACTGATGAGGACAAATTAGAAGCGTTGGCAAGAATAGAAAAATTTGAAAGGATCCCAATTGATGAAGACGATGAAGACGAATATGCAAAGATTGAAGGTGGATTGTTAAAGCTCACGCACTTTTATGTCATTATGATGACATGAATGACATCGAAATAACAGAGAGCTTGACATCAGAAGAGATTTTAACAGTGTATTTTTTTGTACAATCATCTCTTTTGTAGAAGTTCAACCTGAACAACAAATGGTGCCTTGACTTTGTATATTTAGCCTCAGAGCAATTTTCATAAATAAGTATAAATTATTGTGCAAATCATGATCTTTAATCATTTGAATAATTAAAATATTTATATTTCCGTCATTTGTGTCTTTATGATTATAATTTGAACAGAGACAACTTTAAAATAGTACTATCATGAAATTAGCCAAAGACCATTCGAAGAAATTGTTACTGATTTAGCTGATTAAAACTATTTGAGTGAGTTTGTAGACAATCGTCAACATTAAATGCATTTAAAAATACAGGACATAACAAAAGAAAAAGCGATTGTTCCCGAACATATGTCTCATTTTGCTTTGCTCTTTTTTTAAAAATCATTTACATGCATTTGCATTACAAAGAGGTCATTCAGTAATAGAATTCATCAGTAAACCACTTTAATCCCTTAGGAAGTTAATACACAACACACAATCTTTTAGAGGGTGAACAAAGTTTCGTTTGTATTGTATCAGACCTCCAGTATGTGTCTAATGTGAAAACATCAATTCCTAACAACATTGTTTATCAGTTTTGTATTTGCTTGTTTTATCTTCATTTGATATTGAAAACATGTCATTCGATAAAGACAAGCCTGATTTTTTCAATGTGAAAATATAGCGTTCATAGACAGAGTGGTTCATGCACAATAATGTGTTAAAGTTGGATTGGCTTTGATTTAACAACTTTATACTTCATTCACAAATTGACAATTTCATGTAAGATCTTCACTATTTACTGGTATGGTGCTATTACCATTAGGCGAAAACATGCAGGCTATAGAAAATGCTTTGAGTGGATAATTTTTATGCAAGAACTTCAATAATAAAGGTGTAGGTGTATGATTTATGCAGAAATAATGAAAGAACGATAGAGTTACAATGACCTAGATTATCACATCTAACATGTATTGATGGCGTTGGTATGTGGGTCTTGCATTGTATCATTTATTCGTGCTCCAGTAGTTGAATTTGTCATGAGTTTCTATGGTAGTTAATCCATGTTAATGCCTTTAACATTGTTTGTAGTTGAAAACCATCATGTGTTGTCTAAAGTTTTAAAGTATTTCTTGCAAACTTTCTTATTTGTACTCCAAACTCCATTATATTCTGTGAACATTAAAAAGATGAAAACGTTAGTGATGTAGCTTTGTTATTACGACTTGCTTCCTTTTGACGCGACGTTAAAAAACATTTCTTTGTGAGAGTAAGTTCCCGCCTATTTTGGTAACTAAGTGAATTAAGTCTTTAAATCTAATACAAACCTGGCTAGTAACTAGATGCTTCGTAAAACAAAAATAACTGTAATTATAGACGACCGCATTTGCAATGTCACGAAAGTTTGATCACGAAGAAAAAATACTGCATGAAAATACATATCATCTGTTTGACACACACATCGAGAAAAATAATGGCTTGTTAAACTGGAATGTCGTTATCCCGTTTGATTTGACTATAAAAGTATTCCATAGAGGTTCTATAGATATGTATAAATACAATATATTCCTGTTTGTCTATGTTGATCCTGGTTGCAATTGAAGAATGATTGAAAGCTTTTTTAGAGTTTTGTTATGATTCATAGCAAGTTACCAACCATGCAATGAAAGAAATATAAAACCATCCTATAGGGATGTCAGTTGTTTAATTTCAGGAGCATTTCGGCCACTTTACTTTAGGCTTAGACGGATGTACAATTAATATAATATTTTACAAGGAGTCTTACTAGAAACAGGAAGCCCTCGAGCAAAAGGATACATTACTTTAGCAACTTGCATAGCATTTTGCAGCCTTTATTGTCAATGAAGTTTGTGTTATAAACTAATTATTTTTTCGCTTTCAAACATGAACTACGTCGAGATCGCGTTTTCTTGTTTTATGTGTTTCGAGATCTTTCGTTTTCACCAAGATGGAAAGACGTGACTGTATATTGGCAGTCTTTAATGTTTTTTATAAGTATTGATTACGGTGGATGTTTGAAAAATCCGAGTTCCTGTTGGGGCCATTTTGAGAGTCTTTTGGTCTTTGTGTGCGCGAGTGTATCGAAAATGGCACAGAAAATACGCCGAAGCTAATTGAACCGAAGTGAAACCAAGAGGGATTCAGAAAGTATATAGAAAATCTCTGTGTTGCACTTTTCACTGTTACTACGTGGTAACAACACTTCCTTTGGATGTTTAATGAGTAAAATATCGCAGTTTAGCATCAAAAAAGTCCAATTTCCGCACGCTTAATCTTTACACACGTCATGTCTGAGGATAAAACACAATAACAAGGTTTATTGACTCAACTCAACATAATATCATAATTGCTTGTGATTAAAAAAATCACCGTCGTTAAAGACCTTTTATGTATCTATGAATCAATATCTCTAAGTATATTTCTAAATTCTCATTTTTCATACAAATATTTTCAACATTTACCCGTATAGTGCTATGACATTAAGGGACATCAAACGGTGCAATAAATAGTGAAGAGAAATTGCTTTTCAAAATTGTACGCAATAATTTAACAAATAAAGACTTATGTATGCATGACTTAGGCAGAAGTGATACTTGATACTTTTTCTTTTCGCCCACATAAATGCGTCATATTTAGTTTATTACAAACTACTCTTTTAATATTCTTTCGTGACAGCCCTCTATAAAAAAAGGCGAAAGGGTGTCTCAATCATCATTCATCATCCTGTTGTTGGAACCAGAAGAAGACAAGAAAAGGTTAATCATGAAGATAACCTATCTTGTCATCGCTCTTGGATTGCTTTGCACTTTTGCTTACGCTCAAGCAAAACTTGAAGATGGGGTTATGAAAGGTAATGATGCAAAGCTCATATGTTCAATACTTTATTTATCATCAGCCATTTCTCTTGACCAGCTTTTGTACATGATTAAAGAATGATGGTTTCCTCATTTAGAATCCGATGAAAAATCCGCACCAGTGGAAACTGTCGAGGAAGAATTAGTAGAAAATGATGATGAAAATCCAGAAGAAGAAAGTAATGATGAAAGTCCAGAAGAAGAAAGTAATGATGAAAATCCAGAAGAAGAAAGTGATGATGAAAATCCCGAAGAAGAAAGTGAGGATGAAACTGACCCCGAACATGACTTAGAACAAAGTGATGATCGTGAACTCACAGAGAACAAGTAAGTTAACTTTATCTACTACGTTTACGTTCCTGACATCGAAATGCTTCGTTTTGTATGCTATAGTTGGCCTTGACATTTACTCTCTGCCATGAAAATTGATGAACGCGAACAGGGCCGTCCTTATAACGTTTATCAGCGGGGAGATGTAATCCTTTCAAAAGACTGGCCATCGAACCAGTACCGAATACACTATAGAACAAAACCTCGACAATTTTTAAGGTCTACTAAATGACACCCCTCCGGTGTTTACTGTAACGCTGTTCGAACTGTTCATTTCTTGCTCTTATGTTATTCTCGATTTATATAAAAATGTTAGTCTCTTACTTCTTATTTACGCTTTATCCAAATCAACCGTAATGTTGATGTTTAGTCGTCAAAGATATTTTTCTGCCGACTAATATAATACTTTTACCGACTGCATTTAAAAATAAAGTTTTTGGGGTGTGTAACCTTTTCCTTACATGTACATTGTGTTTTGTAGTAATGATGTGAAAGCTGATCCAAGTGTAGAAAAACGCTCGCCTTTGTGGCGTCGTCGTCGTCGTTATTATAGACGTCGTCGCATTTGGCGTCGTCGTCGTTATTATAGACGTCGTCGTATTTGGCGTCGTCGCCGTTATTATAGACGTCGTATTTGGCGTCGTCGCCGTTATTATAGACGTCGTCGTATTTGGCGCCGTCGCCGTTATTACCGAAGACGACGTATCTTTGGCTAATATGGCAGAAACTCGTATGGATCGATCTGTGGAAGTTTAGCGATTAATAAGAAACATTCGTTTGATTTTAGCGTACTTGAAGTTGGCATTGTTGTATGATTTGCCTGTAGAAAATAAATGTTTGCATCGATCATTGACATAGTGTGTCTTCATCGTCTTTTTTTAGTTATTTCAATAATAAGACGTTTGGTTGTTCCTCAACAAGCCTTTAGAATATATATCATATCTTCAAATATTCACACAAATGAGACTCAATACTGGTACTTTAAAGTAAATTACCCACGAGATGTCAACTAAAAGCAGCATAGGTTAACCCATGAGACAAACGTACTTTCTAAAACCATAAGCCGCGATCCTTTAATCACTACACAAAAAGAAACATCACGTTTTGGCTGCACTTGATTCTTCTTCGCTTGTTCAATCATTGTTTTGAGCCTCCTTGAGAATCAATCACTTTAGAATTGCAATGTCTTTGTGGTTCTGTCATATAAATAAAAAGGTTCACTCAAATATCATATCATCTGTGTAGAAATTAGACGAGTAAGAGTGAGATTATCGTCAACATGTTTGTATAAAGCATCTTTTTACTGCTATCAATGATGTAATCCACAGCTCATTCAGGAAAGTTTCTTAAAAAAGCTACACTGTAGTTGGCAAAAGCGTTTGGCGTTTATTTTGCCAGTTAAGGATTTGTTTTTACTATATATGTCGTTTGGTGCTTCCATGTAGAAGGCTTTGGCAAAATTAAATCAAAGCAATAAATAAAAAAAGTTATATAGTGCGTTCGTAGGAAGATATTTAAAGACTTTACCACGCTAGATACTTTACAAAGATATTAAGTGCCTTTACACAAATCCGTAAATTTTCTACTTTACATGTCGTTGTTGTTGTTCAGTAATCATTATTCAAACAGTAAAATGACCTAAACAGCAAACATTATGAAAGATCTGTGTACATGGTTATTTCAGTCCAACTTTTAATGGCTGACGTCAGAGGCGTAAATCATGGATATGTTTGATGTTGGACTGCTCAAAATATTAGTTTGTCAGGCAAAACCTAGTAGCATGAAACAAACACACAAAATTTTCAAAGAAATCGATTTTGCAATAGTGCAACTAGTGGCGATGTCTGCTGCCTTTATCATTTTTTTACCTTTAGTTGCATGATAAAATAAGTTTCATTTCGCGTGTTTTGTAGTTATCTTTAACTAATTAACATTTATATGATAAGTATGTACTTATAGTTTCCTGATCAATTGCATGTAATTTTTTTTAATATTTTGTCGTATCTTTTGCACAAAGTTATTATTTCTTACGGACGAAACGTTTCGTATAAAATTTCGTTTATTAGTCAGTACGGACCTAGTCCAGAGTGAGAGTTGTTGAGAGTTGGTTAAAGACTGGAATGTTATTCGATAAGACTTTTAATTGGTGAAGATTGTTTGTAAATATCGTAGATCGTAGTTCTTTCTTACAAATTTCCATACTGTAAAACAAATCATAGTGCTGTTTGATTTGCTGGACGCGATCAACAGATTTCTGCGATCGAATTTGGCATTATTAAGCAGTGATTTATTAAGAGGGTGGGTCAACGCTATTAAAATAATTTTTATGCTTGGAATTTGAAATGTGCAGTATTCTCATGGTTTGTAACGCCCACTTCACATGAGCAAAATAAACATGAATGACAAGTTTCTTCTGCTCTAGAGATTTAGAAAGAGATTTAGAGTGTAAATTTTAATCTTCTTTTGTTGCATTGTACAGTTTCAGAGTTTCTTACTTCTTTAGATCTTTGCGTTTACTGTGGTTGATTAAAGCCAGGTTTTTCACGAGCGACATAAACATAAGGACAAACAGAGACAAAAAAAATTCAAAAGAATTAATGCAATGTTTCGCACAATCTGCGCGAAGTGCTGGTTCACTGCTCTCGAAACTTCACTCGAACGATGGGACTGTATTTTGACAATTGTATTTAACACTTGATAGGATATTTACAGTGGTTTGTGCACGATTTATGATACGGAGTTCCAAACGTTGGTTCTTTGCGACACAAATATGTTATTGAAACGTTGAGATTACGGCCAACCGTCAATCTTTAAACTTGAAACTTATTCAAACGCTATCGCCTCCTGCGATACGATTTCCAACTTATCACTTTTGTACGTCTAACAACGTCTGTTTTTCCGAACTCCCGAACCAACGCTTGCAAGCTCTTATTTATATTATAATTATTAGGATATAATTTTGGGCGTTTGCATGACTTGCACTACGCCATTCCGTTTATAGAGTACTGTCATTACCTACATCCTACCGCAATGCCACATTGGGTAGAAAAAGTGTTCCTAAGTATTTTGAATTTACGTACAGGATTTCCACTGAAACCACAGTTTAGTAACTATATACGTATTTGTCTAGTAATATATGACTTAACATTTTACAGTTTATATCATACGGTATATTCACACTCTACATAACATAACATGACAATTTACAACACACTCCCCACCTTGATTAGTCCCACTAATCAAGCATATTCTGTGTCTTCCAGACAGAATCAAGAGCAGCAGCTCTTTTGGGTCTACCCGTATTTTCTACCTTCCTTCCTTTCAGTCCTTTTTTCTCTCTCTTCTCGCTCATTCTCGCCTTCGTCGTGCTTCAACTCGGTAGGAAAGAGTTTTTGGACGGGGCGATTAAGGTGAACGACTTTACCGTTCCTAAATAACCGAACCTTAGCGCCTCTAACCACACCATCTTTCCCTACAAACAACTCTTCTATTACACCTGTTTTCCAATTTCCCCTTTTCACATTATCCTCATAAACAGTTACGACATCTCCCCTTTGCACTACCCTATTAGTATTGTCTTTGTCCTGCTTATGAAACTCTCTTAAATCAACCAAATACTCTTTACGCCACCTATTCCAGAAATGCATTTTTTTCTTACTCAAATACTGATACCGTTTTTTACAGTAACCCACGTCAGACTCCTCTTCACTAGACCCTTCGTCTGGCATGGACAACAATCTTCTTCCCGTCACCAAATGCGACGGAGTTAGTGGTTCACTACCCACCTCGTCGTACGTGTAAGTCAATGGCCTAGAATTTAATGTTGCCTCAACTTCTACCAATACTGTCAGTAGTTCGTCAAATGTCAACCTAGCATTTCCTAATACCTTCTTCAAGCACCTCTTCACTGACCTAACCATCCTTTCAAAAAATCCACCCCACCAGGGAGCTCTTTCTAGATTGAATTTCCACTCTATCCTATTGTTTCCCAAATACCCTTGCATTCTTTCATTTTTATAGAGGTTTTCTAAAGTCTTGACTGTTGCTTTGAACGTTTTTGCATTGTCTGACACCATTAATGATGGGGTCCCCCTTCTAGCTGCAAATCGTCTTAGGCATCTCACAAATTCATCCGCAGACAAATCTTTTACTAAGTCTAAATGTAAGGCCCTAGTTACACAACATGAAAATAATGCGATATAAACCTTATCTGTGCCCCCCGGTGCATTCTTCACATATAATGGTCCTGCAAAATCTACCCCTGTTTTCGAAAATGGTTCTGATTGCTCTACTCTAAATGCTGGAAGGTTTGCTTCGCTAGGTCTATTGTATGATTTACCCTCTAATTTCTTGCACACGATACATTTGTTGAGAATCGATTTTACCCTTTGTCTTCCTTGGGGAATCCAAAATCTAGACCTTATCTCAGCCAAAGTAGCCCTTACCCCACTATGATGTACCTTCCTGTGGCTGTGCTCAACTATTAATTCTGTCAATCGACCTTCCTTTGGTAGTAAAGTAGGAAATTTTGTTTCCTCTTCCAAATCTGACTCTGCTAGCCTACCCTGACATTTTAACAACCCATCCTTTTCTACTACGTTGAGCTGTACCTCTAACTGCTTAAACTTATCTTCCTTCTTTAACCTGTCCTGTGAAGCCTTTATCCAAAGTCTTTCTGCTTTCTGTAACTCTGACTCCTAACTCCGTGAAAGTCAAATCCTCATGCTTCCCTTTGATCCTAGCAATCAAATTCCTGACAAACCGTGCAACCCATGCCGTTACACGAAATAACCTTTCCACCCTACTGTACCTATCTATACAGATAATCTGGTCTATACCAAATTTCTCACTAGCGTCTACTACTAACACAGCCACCTTTCTTTCTTCCTGAACACTCTCCTCGGTCTTACTCACTACAGACTGAGGCCATTCCTGCTCTAGACTGCTCAACCAATTTGGTCCATTCCACCAAATTGAATCCTCTTCTAACTTTGACGCAAACACCCGCGACTACCTAAGTCTGCAGGATTTTCTACCCTGGACAATGCCCCAGCTTTCCTTACTCGTCAATGATAGTATCTCATTCACTCTATGTCTCACAAACTGCTTCCATTCACCTCTATTCTGAATCCAATACAAAGCAGTGATGCTATCTAACCAATATCTTGACTTCAATTTTCCTACCTGCCCTTCTAAAGCTTTCCCTACTGACTCTACCAATTTAGCTAACATAAGCGCAGACATAAGCTCTAAACGTGGAATCGTCAGTTTCTTAAGTGGTGCAACTCTAGTTTTCGCTGCCAATAATTTTACATGAACGGTAGAGCTTGTGCGACAAACAAAATACACTACTGCGCAATAAGCCTTCTCACTTGCGTCGCCAAATCCATGGAGTTCGCACGACTCGACCCTTTCGATTACCTTACTGTAAACGCATCTATTAATTTTAATTCTTTGAACCCTAACTAAATCCTCAATCCACTCTAAGTATATCTTTGCGTGCTTACCCTCTATTTTGTCATCCCAATCAACCTTATCAACACACAATTGTTGAAACAAAATCTTCATCAAAATAATAACGGCACTAATTAAACCCAACGGATCAAATATCTTTGCTAATGCGCTTAGCAGGCTTCTCTTTGTTAGTTTCGTCTTATCACCTAAGTCTTCTACAAACTTTCGTAAATCAAACGTAAACAGATCATTGTCACAATCCCAGCCTATACCTAAAACCTTTGCGCAGTCATTGTTATTTAGAGCCCCCAAACTCCACTGTGTGAATGTCTCGTCGTCTGAATCTGTAGTCGTCGTCACCTTGTTTCCGCATTCACGTTGCTCTATAAGCGCTCGCACGTTTCCATCATTCGTAAGCCATTTTCTTAACTTAAACCCGCCTTGGGACATCCTAAATTTCGCTTTCTCGTACAACTCGATTGTTTCCTGTGCACTCTTGCCCCCCGAAACTAGATCATCCACGTAAAACCCCTCATTCAATTTCTGAGCAAGCACTGGATCTGATTCTGCAAATTGCGCAATGTGATGTCTAAGCGTAGCGTTAAGCAGGAAGGGCGATGCATTTAGTCCAAACACTACTCTACAAAACCTATACACTACAACCTCTAAATTACCATTAGTCGCATCTCTCACCCACAAAAATCTCAAATAGTTCCTGTCTGCTTCGTCTACTTCTACGTTCAAAAAGGCTTTCTCAATGTCTCCTACCAAGGCCACTCTGCTCTCCCTAAATCTAATTAATATGTCAAACAACAACGGCGTTAGTGGTGGTCCCACATGAAGACAGTCATTCAAAGAAGTCCCTCTCTTACCCTCTTTTGACGATGCGTCATAAACAATTCTCAATTTGGTTGTTTTGGCCTCTTTACGTATTACGGCTTGATGGGGAAGGTAATGAACATTTACCCCAGGTTCAGACTCATCTACCCTTTCTATAACACCCGTTTCTAGCTGTTCCTTTATAATTTTATCATATTCTTTCAACAATGATGGCTCACTTGACAACCTCTTTATCTGCCCTTTCATGCGTGCTAAACTATTTGAATAATTTGACGGTAAGTGCTCATGACCCTGTTTCCATGGCAATTTTACTACATATTTTGACCCATTGAACTCTATTTTGTCAAGCAATGCTTCATGCACGTCATTAGTCTCTCTTACTCCAAGCGTTTCTAAATCCCACAATTTACTCACATCCCCATTAATGCTGTCTGCGTTTTGTGTTGCAATCTGTGAAACTAAATTAACGTGTGCGTTTTTCAAGTTCGAGCTCCCTTTCAGTGGACCGCTTATTACCCAACCTAAACAAGTATTGATGGCAACGGGTTCGTCATCCTTGCCCCTAATTATCTCCCCTTGTTGAAATGCCCAAAGGTTATCCGCACCTATCAAAACATCAACATCTAACGTGTCCTGCTTCAAATTAACGTCTGACAACCACAAATCCTTCAAATGCGAATACTTGCTCTTATCTACCTCAAGATGCTCATTTTTGATCGCGCAAATATGAGGAACTACTAAAGCCTCTACGCGTATTTTACGACCTCCTTGAACTGCCGATACCTCGCACTGAACAACCTCTGTCATTCTACCCTTGTTACTTCCACCACCGAATGTATTAACTTCCAACCATTCTCGCCTGGCAACGTTAAGCTTGGCACACCTCTTCGCGTCACACGTCACAAAGGATTTCTGACTTCCCGAGTCGAAAAGCACTCGCACTCTTGTCTTACCCTTTCCTATAAGTACCCTGCGCAGTTTGAAGAGCCACTCTACTTCTAGTACTAACATGGACATTAGCTACACTAACCTGTCCACTTTCTTCCCGACTATTTCTTTCATCCTTCTGGTTATTATTACTCTTATCACATATGGAAACATGATGACCCTCCCCACATACACTACATTTAATACGTGCACGACAATCTTTAGCTACATGTCCCTTATTTAAACAAATGAAACATCGTTTGAACTTACGAAGAAGTTGCATCCGTTCTTGCCGCCCTGTTACCTTGGTACATTCTTCATGCTTGTGCTCTCCACAGCAGAAAGCACAAAACAATCGGTTGTTTCGGCTGGCAAACAACCCGCTAGCTGTTCCCGGTTCCCGTCGTCTTCGTTGATCTTCTTCTTTCTCTCCGACCGCTAATTTGTGGCATTCCCGCAGCTCCACTTCGGCTTGTAATGCGTCGACAAAATCTTTCATGCCCCACTCTAAGTAGTCTCTTCCCCTGGTAATCGTTAGTTTTAACGAGTCAGGTATCTTTGTCAGAAGATTGGGCACGACTATCTCGCAGTACGTTTCCTCCTTTACACCGAGCGCCTCGAGTCCTCGGTAATTTGTTTCGACCGCGTCGAAGAACTTGCGCAGCCTCGTCGTGTCACTCTCGTTGTACACGGGTTTTAAGTTCATCAAATCATTTACGTGTGCCCTTTGCACCATCACTTTGCTCCCGTACCTCCGTTCTAACACCTTCAGTGCTTCTGTATAGTTAATCGAAGTCAGAGCAAATCCCGAAATTGCTGACTTGGCCGGCTCCTCCACCAGTCCCCTCAGATAGGTGAATTTGTCTACCTCAGACAGTCCGTCATTGTTGTGAATGGAACTTTCGAAAGAGTCCCAGAATTCACGCCAATCTTGTATCTTGCCTGAGAACTTTTTTCACCTCTAGTTTAGGCAGCTTCACTCTACAGCGTGCCCCACTGGATACTGTACTTGTCGATGTGTTGGCGAGTTCCTCGTTTCGTTTGTTCGTCTCTATTGTGCTCAGCGCTTCGTTAATTTCGGCCAACGCACCCAGAACTTCGCAGCCGTATTCCGATGAGCTGTCGATATCTGCCTCAATATCTTCATCCTTTTCCAACAAGCTCTGAATCTCATCGTCTAACTTCGAAATTGTATCCAATTTCTGTACGAGTACAAGCCGCATTTGTTCCAATTCGACTTTCCTTAGTGGCGCATTATCGTTTACCATACTTCTCACCTTGTTCACAACTTTTGTGGCGTACGATTTATGCCCACTCCTCGACTGTCGCTTTCTTGTCAGCTCTGACATCGTGAACAACCCTTTTTTATCCTATCTATGTGTTCTCGAATTCTGCTACTCTATCCGGCTCGAAGGACCACGTTTCGCACAATCTGCGCGAAGTGCTGGTTCACTGCTCTCGAAACTTCACTCGAACGATGGGACTGTATTTTGACAATTGTATTTAACACTTGATAGGATATTTACAGTGGTTTGTGCACGATTTATGATACGGAGTTCCAAACGTTGGTTCTTTGCGACACAAATATGTTATTGAAACGTTGAGATTACGGCCAACCGTCAATCTTTAAACTTGAAACTTATTCAAACGCTATCGCCTCCTGCGATACGATTTCCAACTTATCACTTTTGTACGTCTAACAACGTCTGTTTTTCCGAACTCCCGAACCAACGCTTGCAAGCTCTTATTTATATTATAATTATTAGGATATAATTTTTGGGCGTTTGCATGACTTGCACTACGCCATTCCGTTTATAGAGTACTGTCATTACCTACATCCTACCGCAATGCCACATTGGGTAGAAAAAGTGTTCCTAAGTATTTTGAATTTACGTACAGGATTTCCACTGAAACCACAGTTTAGTAACTATATACGTATTTGTCTAGTAATATATGACTTAACATTTTACAGTTTATATCATACGGTATATTCACACTCTACATAACATAACATGACAATTTACAACACAATGAAGCAACTGAATCAATCATCATCATAAGCTTAAGCACAACAAATTGACACAAGCATAAGGTAGAACAAAAACAAATTGAAAAGAAAATCCTTTTTCTTTTATATTTCCTCCGAGCTCTGAAGAATATGCTTTGCTTTGTTTTATCGCTTGTGCATATGTCGTAAGTGAGAACTAAGCGAAAACTAAGCTTTAAAGCCTGGTTTCCACTTGCTACATAAACATCAGGACAACAAAACACAAAAGAATGCAATGAACCATGTAAATGTCGCTAGTGAAATCTAGGCTTAAGTCATTTATAATTGAACTAGTTTTTACTACGTAATGAAACGGGCGTTAGAATGTATTTTAAAATCTCTGGAGTATAAAAAGTGGCAGAGACAATGTACAATAAATGCAATAAGGGTTGGATTGCAAACTAAGGGCTGCAGTTTTGTTGGCAGTTACTGTATATACTAGCATACTTTTCTAGAATTATCTAAACTTGAGCAACTAATGGTGCCTTTAAATGTGTAAGTATCACTTTGTATGTTTAACCCCATAGCTTTTTAATGTGTAGATTATGACCTTTAATCCTTATCACATTATTTTACTTTTTAAATACTTTAAGATATTAAAGACGACTGAAGAATGAAAAGATAAACTTACTCTTTGGATAATCAATATTATATGGTGATGGTTAATTTGTATTTTGGTCTTATCTTTGGAGCTTGACTTCATCGTTATTTCTAAAGTTTTGTTTCACGTCTATCGTATTTGACTTTACTAAGAAGAAAATAGAAAACATGCAAATGTCTACCTTGCTTTATCTGTTCAGATCTTCAATATTTATATCATGCGAACTGCTGAAATATTTGGTGTTACACATACAAGAGAGATTTATGAAAAAGCCATTGAGGTTCTTAGTGATTACCAGGCTCGGTAAGAGACAGTTTTGTATGGGAACTTGTGTATATATTTGGTATACAATTGTGAGATAGTCTTTCGTCTAAATGACAGAGAAATGTGCACTCGCTTCGCTGAACTTGAACGTAAACTTGGAGAAATAGATCGCGCACGTGTTCTGTACATGCATGCTTCACAAATGGCCGATCCAAGGGTAATTATTCAAGACATATATAAACTTGAGCGTCGTGGCAAAATAAACCTGCAATTTGCTTTATTTTAGACGACAGCATTCTTTGGAAGACTTGTCATGACTTTGAGGTTCATCATGGTAACGAAGACACTTTTCGTGAGATGCTACGCATTAAAAGCAACTTACAGACTAAGTATAATACACAGGTGTTGATGAAATGGCATGTGCAATTACACACTTGCTTTAAGCTATTTATTTGATGATTATACGGACATGCATATATGCGTTCACCTAATCTTTCTCATTTTTCACATGTGGGTTTAACTTCATGTCCGCTCAAATGCTTGGTGCATCTCAAGCAATGCCTGGTGAGTTATACGAATATGCAAGGAGAACTTAAGTGTATTGAATCTAGCACACTTCTTTCCTTTTTCACCACAGCCGCTAAATATTTTTTGTTGACAAATGTAGATGTACGTATTAACTTATACAGATGCGGCAACCGGTATGTCTGCGGATGACATAGAGAATTTGGAAAACAAGCTCGAGCAATGGCTGAACAAGCGAAAACGAATCAAGTGAAGCCGAAACGTGAGGTTCTTTTTGTGAAGTAATTAATGGATCGCGGCTTATTGTTTTAGCAAGTACGTTTCTCTCATGGGTTAACCTATGCTGCTTTTTATTGACATCCCCTGGGTGATTTAGTTAAAATTAACTGTACTGAGTCTTATTTGTGTTAATTTAATTTGTGTTAAAGGCGAAGCAAATGATGAGGACAATTTAGAAGCGTTGGATAGAATAGCGAACCTGAAGAGATCTCAATTGATGAAGACAATGAAGATAAAGATGCAAAGATTAAAGGTAATAAGAAACAATCATTTGATTCTAGACGTACTTTAAATTGGCATTGTTGTATGATTTGCCTGTAGAAAATAGATGTTTGCATTGATCATTGATTCTGTGTGTTCTTTTGTAAAAAAGCTATTTTGCTGGTAGCAACGTGCACACAAAATTACACCCCACCTCATCTCAAATATTGTTGAGAAGCAAATTGGCCCTTGCTTTAATCATGGGCTCGCGTAATTTCTATTAGAGAAGATATAGTTATATATAGTATTGATAGAAGACGCTCAACAGATCAGCGTCATCGTCAATACATATCAATAACTAAAAAATGGTATACATTGGCTCCTATAAAAACTACAGCCATTTTAAATCGTTGAAAATTTGCATTATTCAGAAGTGATCGATTCTCAAGGAGGCTCAAAACAATGATTGAACAAGCGAGGAAGAATCAAGTGCAGCCAAAACGTGATGTGTCTTTTTGTGTAGTGATTAAAGATCGCGGCTTATGGTTTTAGAAAGTACGTTTGTCTCATGAGTTAACCTATGCTGCTTTTAGTTGACATCTCGTGGGTAATTTACTTTAAAGTACCAGTATTGAGTCTCATTTGTGTGAATATATTGTGTGTTAGAGGCGAAGCAACTGATGAGGACAATTTAGAAGCGTTGGCAAGAATAGCGTATCCTGAAGAGATCTCAATTGATGAAGACGATGAAGACGAATATGCAAAGATTAAAGGTGAATTTGTGACAGCTCACGCACTTCTATGTCATTATGATCAGATCAAAATAACAGGAAGCGCGTAAATATTAAACTAAACATCAGAAGAGATTTTAACAGTGTATTTTTGTACAATCATCTTATTTGTAGAAGTTTAACTTGAACAACAAATGGTGCCTTCAAAGGTATAAGTATGACTTTGTATATTCAACCTCATAGCTATTTTCATAAATCATTATAAATTATTGTGCAAATCGTGATCTTTAATCCACTTCATGTTATCGTACTATTTCAGGTTTTTGGAAGCCTTATAAAAGACGACTGGATTTCATTGATGAATAATAAGTTGTACGGTCAAGGAGCATTCTTGCTTTGGTTGCATCTTTGGAGCTTAACTTCATCGTTATTTGAAAAGTTTGTGTTTCGTCATGTATCACTTTTGAAGGAGGAAACTTCACCACAGTCACGACATTCAAATGAGTCAGAATGCTTTTGTATGATTTCGCATTTACATAAACCCTCGACACTAGCTTCCGTATTGGTGGATATCCAATAACAGATAAGGTACTTTTGGACCAATCAAGGTATAGTGCCAGTCTACCAAATTTCTCTCGCGGCAAGCAATAAATATATTGTGAGGCAGAATATATTATTATATTATTCTGTATTACCATTCGAGTTACAAGGTGATGAGACGAATTCATTTAAAAATGAACAGCTTTGGAATTTACTACGATGAAAACTCTTCATTTTGAACGATTCTGTTTACAAATTTTTCATGATCAAATCACAAAAAAGTGTGATAACAAAATTAAGATGTAATGAATACATTTGATTCCAAACGGTAATTTGTGTTTTGTTATGAAGTAAAAGTCGTTAATTCCACATAACTTGAGTGAACAAAGTTACAGAATCTTCCTTCGTTTGTTAATTTTACGCAACTTTAACACCAGACCCATAAAATGTTTTGTTGTCATCACATTCTCTTTCCTATTTTAGACTGATTAATTAGCATCCATATTAGCAAAGTGAGTGTTCTTATAGCTCTTAGCACATAATAATTATAATATAGTGCAGGTTTAGCTAACATAATAAATATTATCTGAATTAGGGCATGTAATTTTATCTTAGCTTACTATTCAGTAACATAACGTGAGTGTCTTTTTTATCTTATCAACTTAACAAATATGAATAAATGAATGAGCGAATGAGTCACGTCTCCTTTGAAATAACATTTCTGCATTACACACTCAACAGGATCATTATAAAACGTTTTCTGTAAATGGCAATCGTTACAAGTGACATGGTTTTAGTAATCACATTGACACTAGCACGACTTTTATCATATTTTTGCTTAAAAATAAAAATACGATTGAGGGCATGCTTAGTTTACTTTTTAGAATTTAAAGTACGAGGAAAAGTTATTTTACTCCGAAGAGGTTAATTGTGTGTAATGACGTGGGAGTTAATGACGACACGTGTGAATCTACTATCGTACCAACAGACGCAAAGCGGAAGACAATTCATATTAAAATCGGCTTTACAAATTGCTGTGAATTCAATGGTAGAGTTGCAATGACCTAGATTATCACATCTAACATGTATTGATGGCGTTAGTATGTTGGTCTTGAATTGTATCATTTATTCGTTATCCAGTAGTTGAATTTGTCATGAGTTTCTATCGTAGTTAATCCGTGTAAATGCCTTTACTGACCATTTTATGTAGTTGAAAATCGTAATATGCAGTTGCTCTCTGAAGATGACTACCGCTAAGGTTATCAAAACGTCAGTCAACAACAACAAAAACAGTCCTTCTCAGGACTATACAAAACTGGACGATCATCATTTACAAACATGTAACGATACTCCCGGGTTCAAACCATTTACTTTATTACAATAATGACAAAGCTAAAGAGATTGGAACGCACAGGGTTAAAATATAGCAGATGTTCTTCAATTATGATTTAGGAAATTTGACCAATATTTCGGATATCTTACTGTAGACGTACGTGTACAACAAATGAAATATTTCATACGAAAGCTATAAATAGAAACAAAAAGTTTTAACAGAAGCAAAAGGATGTTATTGTTTTGGAAACGTGATAGAATTGTCGTCAATGAAGAGTGTAATGAGAGGTAGAGATTGAGTTTTTTCGTTTTGTGTGTGTTTCCGACATCTTTTGGTTTCACCTGGATTTAACTCCATTGACAGTCTATACATGGTATTTTGTAAAAGTCTTTGAGTGCGCCGTCAGAGCTGCAGAAAATAGCACAGAAAAGATTTATACGTCGAAGCCAATTGTGCCAAAGTGAAACCAGGAGAGATTCAGAAAGTATATGGAAAGTTAGACGTTTCCTTTTTTATTACGTGGCAACAACATTTCCCTGAGATGTTTAATGAGTAAAATATCGCAGTTTAGCATAAAAAAGACAAAATTACCGGACGCTTAATCTTTACAGACATCATGTCTGATGATAAAACACAATAACAAGGTTAATTGACTCAATTTAACATAATATCATAATCAACTTGTGATTAAAAAAATCACCGTCGTTAAAGACCTTTTATGTATCTATGAATCAATATCTCTAAGTATATTTCCAAATTCTCATTTTTCATACAAATATTTTCAACATTTACCCGTATAGTGCTATGGCATTAAGCGACATCAAACTGTGCAAAAAAAATCGTGAAGAGAGATTGCTTTTTCAAAATTGTATGTAATAATTTAAAGAATAAAGATGTATATATGCATGATTTCTCTAGAAATGTTTTCATGCTGTGACTTTTGTTGCACCTATAATTGCTTCACGTCTCTTACAAAATACATAATGTAAATATTCTTTCGTGGCAGCTCTCTATAAAAAGAGGCGAAGAGCTGTCTTCAATCATCATCCATCACCTGCTGTTGGAACCAGAAGAAGACAAGAAAAAGGTTAATCATGAAGATAACCTATCTTGTCATCGCTCTTGGATTGCTTTGCACTTTTGCTTACGCTCAATATAAACTTGAAGATGGGGTTATGAAAGGTAATGATGCAAAGCTCATATGTTCAATACTTTATTTATCATCAGCCATTTCTCTTGACCAGCTTTGTACATGATTAAAGAATGATGGTTTCTTCATTTAGAATCCGATGAAAAAACAGCCCCAGTGGAAACTGTCGAGGAAGAATTAGTAGAAAATTATGATGAAAATCCAGAAGAAGAAAGTAATGATGAAAGTCCAGAAGAAGAAAGTGATGATGAAAATCCAGAAGAAGAAAGTGATGATGAAAATCCCGAAGAAGAAAGTGAGGATGAAACTGACCCCGAACATGACTTAGAACAAAGTGATGATCGTGAACTCACAGAGAACAAGTAAGTTAACTTCATCTACTTCGTTTACGTTCCTGACATCGAAATGCTTCGTTTTGTATGCTATAGTTGGCCTTGACATTTACTCTGCCATGAAAGTTGATGAACGCGAACAGGGCCGTCCTTATAACGTTTATCAGCGGGGAGATGCAATCCTTTCAAAAGACTAGCCATCGAACCAGTACCGAATACACTATAGAACAAAACCTCGACAATTTTTAAGGTCTACTAAATGACACCCCTCCGGTGTTTACTGTAACGCTGTTCGAACTGTTCATTTCTTGCTCTTATGTTATTCTCGATTTATATAAAAATGTTAGTCTCTTACTTCTTATTTACGCTTTATCCAAATCAACCGTAATGTTGATGTTTAGTCGTCAAAGATATTTTTCTGCCGACTAATATAATACTTTTACCGACTGCATTTAAAAATAAAGTTTTTGGTGTGTAACCTTTTCCTTACATGTACATTGTGTTTTGTAGTAATGATGTGAAAGCTGATCCAAGTGTAGAAAACGCTCGCCTTTGTTTAGTCGTCGTCGTCGTTATTATAGACGTCGCCGTATTTGGCGTCTCCGTTTTAGACGTCGTTCTGTGTTCCGTCGCCGTTATTATAGACGTCGTCGTATTTGGCGTCTCCGTTTTAGACGTCGTTCTGTGTTCCGTCGCCGTTATTATAGACGTCGTCGTATTTGGCGTCTCCGTTTTAGACGTCGTTCTGTGTTCCGTCGCCGTTATTATAGACGTCGTCGTATTTGGCGTCTCCGTTTTAGACGTCGTTCTGTGTTCCGACGCCGTTATGTGCACCGAAGACGTCGTAGTATCCATACACGACGTTGGATCGGCTAATATGGCAGAAACTCGTATGGATCGATCTGTGGAAAGTGTGGCGATTAATAAGAAACATTCGTTTAATTTTAGCGTACTTGAAGTTGGCATTGTTGTATGATTTGCCTGTAGAAAATAGATATTTGCATCGATCATTGACTTAGTGTGTCTTCATCGTCTTTTTACTTATTTCAATAATAAGACGTTTGGTTGTTTCTCAACAATCCTATAGAATTACAATGTCTTTGTTGTTCTGTCATATAAATAAAAGTTCACTCACATATCGTATCATCTGTGTAGAAACAAGACGAGTAAGAGTGAGATTATCGTTAACATGTTTGTATAAAGCATTTTTTTTATCACTACTATCAATGATGCAATCCATAGCTCATTCAGGAAAATTTCTTAAAAAAGCTACACTGTAGTTGGCAAAAGCGTTTGGCGTTTATTTTGCTAGTTAAGGATTTGTTTTTACTATATGATATGTCGTTGGGTGTTTCCATGTAGAAGGCTTTGGCAAAATTAAATCAAAGCAATAAACAAAAAAAGTTATATAGTGCGTTCGTAGGAAGATATTTAAAGACTTTACCACGCTAGATACTTTACGAAGATATTGAATGCCTTTGCACAAATCCGTAAATTTTCATCTTTACATGTCGTTGTTGTTCAGTATACATTATTTAAACAGTAAAATGACCTAAACAGCAAACATTATGAAAGATCTGTGTACATGGTTATTTCAGTCCAACTATTAATGGCTGACGTCAGAGGCGTAAATCATGGATATGTTTGATGTTGGACTGCTCAAAAATATTAGTTTGTCAGGCAAAACCTAGTAGCATGAAACAAACACACAAAATTTTCAAAGAAATCAATTTTGCAATAGTAATAACTAGTGGCCATGTCTCTTGCCTTTATTGTTTACGACCTTGAGTTGCATGATAAAATAAGTTTCATTTCGCGTGTTTTGTAGTTATCTTTAAAGTGGTTATATCACGAATTTTAGCCCCCCTTTTTTATGAGCTTAATTGAAAATTTGGATTATTTGAAGAACTATGACATGTCGCTGGACTTAAACAGATAAATATAAGTTGCTTAATTTTGCCTCCAAAGTCGGGTACTATTTGCGAATTTTTTACGACGCCATATTGATACTTGTGACGTAGATAGTTGAACACGTCTGTTTCCGTCAATATAATATTATATTATAGAAGGTGATTTTGTTGTCGTTTTTCTTGTCTTAAAAACAAATAATGACAGTATTTTCAATAAAATATTAAAAAACAAGTTTTCCGGAAAGTATGGCCTCAAATCAGTGCTCAGATAATTCGAATTCGATGTCTGAATGCGTACCTGATTCGAGCTCGGAATCCGTGGGTTATGTCGAGCATTTAAACGACTTCGCATATGACGATGAACCGCTAGCAGGAGATGGTGATTAAGTGCATACTCCAGATGATCCCGATAGAATTCTCCCTGCGACATTAGAACAACGAAGTGATGGCGTAATTCCACTCGGTGAATGGTAAGTTGTTGTTTTCTCCTGTTTGTAATATACATAAAGTTACTTTATAAACCAGAATGCTCCCACGTTTCAGGTGTAATTGTCAATGCTGTCATACCGATTTGTTAGAAGGCGCATTAGAGTACAGATGCTGTAAGGAAATAGGACCAGCTTTGCAGAAAATGACATTTGATGGCAGCATTGAGAAAATATCATGCATAACACAGCATGCCAAATTTGGGCCTTTAGTTCATGAGGCTGTCCTTGAAAACGTCGGGCCACTATTGAGAGATAGGAATGGACGTGCTTATCGCCGCCAAGCATCACAATCATTAAATATGTAAGATTGTAAATTGTATGAGAAACAACGTTATCATCAACATTGTTTCATCAACAATAATTAGTCCAACCTTTTTATTTACTTCAGGTACTTGAGAGCTGTGGCATACAGATGGTTGATGCGATGGTTTTGTGGGTCTATGGGATGGGAGAATACTCGGCCTTTACCTGCTTGTGTTTACCACTTTATTCGGAAAGCATATCCAAGTGGTAACACAACAGGTTACATACCATCAGAGGGGCGATGATGGAATAGTCTTCTAACTTGTGCACTGTAGAGACTGTTGACCTTCTTTGCTGAGTTTGGAATGGTCAGGAAATATGCCTAGATGAAAACCAAATAGGAGATACATGGATGCACTATATAAGTTGACATGCAGTTTAATGGTTTGAAACAAGAGTAAACAATAAAACAAATTGGTGCAACTACTGAGAGGTTAAGCTGAAAGAATTAAATGAAAGAATATCTTTTCTTCAATGTCAGTCTGGGAAAAAGACAAAAGAAAAATATATGGAATTGAATCATAGCATAAATGTAAAATGGAAAATAGCAAGCCGTTCAAATGGCGAATCGTTTGCTTCCCCAGTGCATACTTAAACATGCTCAGCTTCATCACTAGTAGATGGTACTTCCTCATTGAGAGAACATGTTTCCTTCAGCGATGGCTTATGGAGAGTATGTCGAATAATCTACAAAACTTATATCGAATTTACGTATGACAAAAGAAAAATTAACATAAACAAGCGTAAACTTACTTGTCTTCGCTTTTGATCGGTTATTTCGTCCTGTAATGGTTCAGGAATCCCAGCCACGTCAATGGTTGGGATAGCATCTTTCTTCATCCTTCTTTTGAGCTTGACTTACACGCTCAAATTAAGGTCAAAACAAGAATCTTCAAAATGCGCAGAACACAGACACGAGGTAGAGGAAGCCTCAAAACCCGGTCTATGTTTACGCACAAAATTTACCCATTTTCTATGTCTTTGCGGCTCTGTTTCTTTTTTAGGAAACAGATGCATCGACATTCCTTCGGTTTTTGAATCATTGGCGCAACTAATTTCATTAGGTCCGCCAGCAACACAGCGTTTTCCTCCGCGTTTCTTATTAAGATTACTAGTAGAATACGCCATGTTGATATATGTGTTCAACTTTCTACGTCACAAGTCATTAGCATACCGATCAAAAAGTTCGCAAAAAAAATGCTGAAAATCGTGACTTTGAACGTCCGTAAAATCACTTTCACCAATCCAATTTCAATTACAATTGCAGATTTAAAATCACTGAAACAAGGTCTTTCAATTTAGCTAATAAAAAAGGGGGGCTAAAATTCGTGATATAACCACTTTAACTAATTAACGTTCATATGATAAGTATGTACTTATAGTTTCCTGATCACTTGCATGTAATAATTTCCTTTTTGATCCACGCGACCTATATATTGGTGAAATCTCGATTTGTTTCTGTCTGTTAACAATTCCGGGATGGGGGGGGGTTACGGAATGAGGGGGAGCGCACAATCACAATAAGGTAGAACCTTTTTGGAACTTCTGTAAGTTTCTATTTGATTTTAAATGTTCGGAATCCGAATAGATATGCGGCCTAAACAACGTTATACAGTAGATACTAAAATCGAGTGATTGTTGGATCCAAAAAACGATTCGTGTGAGCACATATAAAGTTAGTCTCCGACAGTCGGATCCGTCAATCTAAAAAAGAGGATAGAAATAGAACTTGTTCTATTCTCATCTGACCGACAAGATCAGAGGAAGCCGACTAACCAAATTATATATATTTGAAAAAGACTTGGAAACAAGAAGAAAAGTACGCAAATATATCGATAAATTACTGGAAAAATCAAATGGCTGCTCTCAAGATTATAAATATCTAAACGTATCTAAATATCAACACAACTATCTGACCGTCTGAACAAGCAATCAAAAGACGGAACCAAAACAATAGGATCTGACAAATCGGAACGTGTAAACAGGCCTTCAGATAGAAAGAAAACTCTACCCATGGCGAAATAAACCTTGCCAACGCAAAGCTAAAAGTTAAAGAGACACGCATGTAAAAATTTTTTGTCTATCATTCTAATCACCCAATCATAACGTATGTATGAAACCACCTAGAATGCTGTACACAGAGGTGGTTCCAATGGCTGTGACTATGGTCTGAACCGTGCAATTTTTCCAGATAAGGGGTCGGGACAGCACCCTTGCGTTAGCAACTTTGTCGTATCTTTGCACAAAAGTTATTATTTCTTACTAACGAAACGTTTCGTATAAATAGTTGTAAAATTTCGTTTATTAGTCAGTACGGACCTGGTCCAGAGTGAGAGTTGTTGAGATTTTGTTAAAGACTGGAATGTTATTCGATAAGACTGTTAAAATGGTGAAGATTGTTTGTAAATATTGTAGTTCTTTGTTATAAATTTCCATACTGTAAAACAAATCAGAGTGCTGTTTGATTTGCTGGACGCGATCAACAGATTTCTGCGATCGAATTTGGCATTATTAAGCAGTGATTTATCAAGAGGGTGGGTCAACGCTATTAAAATAATTTTTATGCATGGAATTTGAAATGTGCAGTATTCTCATGGTTTGTAACGCCCACTTCACACGAGCAAAATAAAAATGAATGACAAGTTTCTTCTGCTCTAGAGATTTAGAAAGAGATTTCGAATGTAAATTTTAATCTTCTTTTGTTGCATTGTACAGTTTCAGAGTTTCTTATTTCTTTAGAGCTTTGCGTTCATACTGCGGTTGATTAAAGCCAGGTTTTCACGAGCGACTGAGCGACATAAGCATAAAAACAAACAAAGACAAAAAAATTACAAAAGAAGACAATGAAGTGACTGACACAAGCATCAACATAAGCATAAACACAACAAATTGACACAAGCATAAGGTAGAACAAAAACAAATTGAAAAGAAAATCCTTTTTCTTTTATATTTCCTCCGAGCTCTGAAGAATATGCTTTGCTTTGTTTTATCGCTTGTGCATATGTCGTAAGTGAAATCCAAGTGAAAACTAAGCTTTAAAGCCTGGTTTCCACTTGCTACATAAACATTAGGACAACAAGACACAAAAGAATGCAATTAACCATGTAAATGTCGCTAGTGAAAACTTGTCTTAAGTCATTTATAATTGGACTAGTTTTTACAACGTAATGAAACGGGAGTTAAAATGTATTTTAAAATCTCTGAAGTATAAAAAGTTGCAGAGACAATGTACGCTAGATGCAATAAAGGTTGACATGCAAATTAAGGGCTGCAGTTTTGTTGGCAGTCACTGTATATACTGGCATACTTTTCTAAAATTATCTAAACTTGAGCAACCAATGGTGCCTTTAAATGTGTAAGTATCACTTTGTATGTTTAACCCCATAGCTTTTTCAATGTGTAGATTATGACCTTTAATCCTTATCACATTATTTTACTTTTTAAATACTTTAAGATATTAAAGACGACTGAAGAATGAAAAGATAAACTTACTCTTTGGATAATCAATATTAAATGGTGATGGTTAATTTGTACTTTGGTCTTATCTTTGGAGATTGATTTCATCGTTATTTGTAAAGTTTTGTTTCACGTCGTTCGTATTTGACTTTACTAAGAAGAAAATACAAAACATACAAATGACTACAATGAGTCGTGTAATGTAAGCCTCGATATTAGCTTACTTGTTGGTAAATATATCCAATAACAGATGAAGTAATTTTTGGCCAATAAAGGTATAGTGTCATATTCTACCAAATTTTACTTGCACCAAAAACTAAATATGCGTCCCAGGATGGAAAATGTAAAAAATATATTCATTGCCAGCCATATTGGTCGAAAAACCCATTTATGGTTTGATTATCGGTTCTTTGAAGTAACCTACAGCTATAAACATGGCCGCTTGATCTCACATGAAAACCTACCATTAGTTTGTGCAATGTAAAAATGTGAGCTCAAAGGCAGTGAGATCCTTTGGTGTTTCACTTGTGTGCGCTGAATTTTATTGGCATAAAATGATTTTACTTGTGAATAGGATTTCTTGGGCAAAAGTGATAAATATATCTTGATTAAATTGCATTGTGAATGCTGTTTGTATGATTGTGTCAATGAAAAAGCTTTATTTCAAGCTTTGCGTTCTTCCAGTTAAATAACAAATATGAGATTGACAAAATATGGAAAATGAGAAAAATGAAAACAGGCAGTGCTGTTGCTAGAACTTTAAGGGGGGGTTGTTTATTCATATATTCACTTGTGCTTGACTAATTTCCTATAAAAAAACAGCCAGTGCTGTTGCTAGAACGTTGGGGCAATGGCTGAACAAGCGAAAAAGAATCAAGTGAAGCCGAAACGTGATGTTCTTTTTGTGAAGTTATTAATGGATCGCGGCTTATTGTTTTAGCAAGTACGTTTGTCTCATGGGTTAACCTATGCTGCTTTTTATTGACATCCCCTGGGTGATTTAGTTAAAATTAACTGTACTGAGTCTTATTTGTGTTAATTTAATTTGTGTTAGAGGCGAAGCAACTGATGAGGACAATTTAGAAGCGTTGGATGGAATAGCGAATCTTGAAGAGATCTCAATTGATGAAGACAATGAAGATAAAGATGCAAAGATTAAAGGTAATAAGAAACAATCATTTGATTCTAGACGTACTTTAAATTGTCATTGTTGTATGATTTGCCTGTAGAAAATAGATGTTTGCATTGATCATTGATTCTGTGTGTTCTTTTGTAAAAAAACTATTTTGCTAGTAATAACATGCACACAAAATTACACCCCACCTCATCTCAAATATTGTTGAGAAGGAAATTGGCCCTTGCTTTAATAATGGGCTCGCGTGATTTCTATGAGAGAAGATATAGTTATGCATAGTATTGATAAAAGACGCTCAACAGAACAGCGTCATCGTCAATACATATCAATAACTAAAAAATGGTATACATTGTCTCTTATAAAAACTGCAGCCATTTTAAATCGTTTAAAATTTGCATTATTCATAAGTGATCGATTCTCAAGGAGGCTCAAAACAATGATTGAACAAGCGAGGAAGAATCAAGTGCAGCCAAAACGTGATGTGTCTTTTTGTGTAGTGATTAAAGATCGCGGCTTATGGTTTTAGAAAGTACGTTTGTCTCATGAGTTAACCTATGCTGCTTTTAGTTGACATCTCGTGGGTAATTTACTTTAAAGTACCAGTATTGAGTCTCATTTGTGTGAATATATTGTGTGTTAGAGGCGAAGCAACAGATGAGGACAATTTAGAAGCGTTGGCAAGAATAGCGAATCCTGAAGAGATCTCAATTTATGAAGACGATGAAGATAAAGATGCAAAGATTGAAGGTGAATTTGTGACAGCTTACGCACTTTTATGTTACTATGATCAGATCAAAATAACAGGAAGCGCATAAATATTAAACTAAACATCAGAAGAGATTTTAACAGTGTATATTTTTGTACAATCATGTTATTTGTAGAAGTTTAACTTGAACAACAAATGGTGCCTTCAAAGCTATAAGTATGACTTAGTATATTCAACCTCATAGCTATTTTCATAAATCATTATAAATTATTGTGCAAATCGTGATCTTTAATCCACTTCATGTTATCGTACTATTTCAGGTTTTTGGAAGCCTTATAAAAGACGACTAGATTTCATTGATGGATAATAAGTTGTACGGTCATGGAACATTCTTGCTTTGGTTGCTCCTTTGGAGCTTAACTTCATCGTTATTTGAAAAGTTTGTTTTCGTCATGTATCACTTTTGAAGGAGGAAACTTCACCACAGTCAAGACATTCAAATGAGTCAGAATGCTTTTGTATGATTTCGCATTTACATAAACTCTCGACATTAGCTTCCGTATTGGTGAATATCCAATAACAGATAAGGTACTTTTGGGCCAATCAAGGTATAGTGCCAGTCTACCAAATTTTTATCGCGCCAAGCAGTAAATATATTGTGACGCAGAATATACTATTATATTATTCTGTATTACCATTCGAGTTACAAGGTGATGAGACCAATTCATTTAAAAATGAACAGCTTTGGAATTCACTACGATGAAAACTCTTCATTTTGAACGATTCTGTTTACAAATTTTCCATGATCAAATCACTAAAAGTGTGATAACAAAATTAAGATGTAATGAATACATTTGATTCCAAACGGTAATTTGTGTTTTGTTATGAAGTAAAAGTCGTTAATTCCATATAACTTGAGTGAACAAAGTTACAGAATCTTCCTTCGTTTGTTAATTTTCCGCAAGCTTAACACTAGACCCATAAAATGTTTTGTTGTCATCACACTCTCTTTTCCTATTTTAGACTGATTAATTAGCATCCATATTAGCAAAGTGAGTGTTCTTATAACTCTTAGCACATAATAATTATAATATAGTGCAGGTTTAGCTAACATAATAAATATTATCTGAATTAGGGCATGTAATTTTATCTTAGCTTACTATTCAGTAACATAACGTGAGTGTCTTTTTATCTTATCAACTTAACAAATATGAATAAATGAATGAATGAATGAGTCACTTCTCCTTTGAAATAACATTTCTCCATTACACACTTAACAGGATCATTGTAAAACGTTTCCTCTAAATAGCAATCGTTACAAGTGACATGGTTTTAGTGATCACATCGACACTAGCACAACTTTTATCATATTTTTGCTTAAAAATACGATTGAGGGCACGCTTAGTTTGCTTTTTGGAATATAAAGTAGGAGGGAAAAAGTTATTTTTACTCCTAAGTGGTTAATTGTGTGTAATTACGCGGAGTAAATAACGACAGGTGTGAATCTACTATCCTAGCAACTGACGCAAAGCGGAAGACAATTCATATTAAAATCGGCTTTTACAAACTGCGGTGAATGAATCAGACCTAAAAATATGCATTGCATTATTTTGTTGACTTACACACAAACTATTTGAAGTTGAGAGTGCGTTAGATATCGTTGGAAGAATGGTGAAAGTGGATTAATTGTTATAGAAATATTTGTGTTAAAACAGGATACATAGTTTTTGTAACAATAGTTTTTGCCATTGGTGATGCTTAATGACTGAATTATAATAGTACACGTTCACAAGTATTTGTAATTGTAGTGAACCCTAGTGAGCCTCCGTCGCCAGTTGAATGACAAAATTAGGTGTCAAAAGACATTTAGGTGTTGAAAGGTTTGCGTCGACTTTTTGTATGATTTAATGATTCTAGAAAGTTGCTGCGAGTTGCTGTTGTTTAATGTAAGCATGGCGATGGTATGGATATAGTTGTGGGTTTCGTGTTTTCTTCTGCAATATTCACTGATTGTGCTTTAGTTTTGATTGATATGTAGAGCGAAAATTGAGTTTTCTTCAACTAAATATTAATTTTGAGAAATAGAATAGAAACCATCGTGTTAGGTTTCCTTAACAGACCAGGAATTAAAATACAAATGCTAAAAATTGGTTACTGATTTCGCTGCTTAAAATTATTTGAGTGAGTTTGAAGACAATCGCCAATATCAAATGCATTTAAAAATACAGTGCATGACGAAAGAAAAACGATCATTACCGACCATGTCTCATTTTGCTTTGCTCTTTTTAATAAAATTTTTATTTTCACTTTTACAATAAAGAGGTTATTTAGCAGTGAAATTCCCACAGAGGCTAATGCACAATAAATGAAATATTTGATTCTTATTTTGCAACTAATCTTTTGGGATTTACTAAACAATAAAATTTACTCACGCCGCTTGGAGCCATAAAAGCATTGATAGAATATTCTTTTGTCTCAGGCCCCCAGCACAGAATAAGAAAAGACAGTAAAGTCACTCGTGTCGGAATCTTTGATGTTTTTGTCCTCGCGCATGGTGGCCGCCATTATTCCATCCAGATGATTGGGGTTTTTGACTCTTTCCAAACCTTTAAAATGATCCGAAGTCGTTTCTTAACTGAAAATATACTTGAATTCATTATTAAGTATTAACGTCATGTAATTTTAAGGGTTGGAAACAATTGAGAAATCCTAATCATCTGGCTGGAATAATGGCCGACTTGAGGACAGGTTGTACACCTGAGTGACCCTTCTGTATAATCATTATTCTGTGCCCCAAGTATGTCTGACGAGAATAACATCAATTCTTACCAACTTTGTTTATCAGCTTTGTATTTGCTTGTTTTATGTTCATTTGATATTGAAAACATGTCATTCGATAATTACAAGCCTGATTTTTCAAACTGAAAGAATTCCGTTATATAGACATAGTAGTTTACACACAATAGCGTGTTGAAGTTCGATTATCTCTTTGTAATAACTTTATACTTCATTTACAAATTTGCATTTTCAATAATTGCTGGCATGGTACTACATACCTTTAAGCGATTACATGCAGGCTATAGAAAATGCTTTGAGTGGATAACTTTTATGCCAGAATTTCAAAAATAGAGATATATGTGTATGATTTATGCAGAAATAATGAAAGAACGATTTTGGTAAAGCAGGGGAAAAAATTCAATGGTAGAGTTGCAATGATCTAGATTATCACATCCAACATGTATTGATGGCGTTGGTATGTGGGTCTTGAAGTGTATCATTTATTCGTGATCCAGTAGTTGAATTTGTCATGAGTTTCTATGGTAGTTAATCAGTGTAAATGCCTTTACTGACAATTTTATGTAGTTGAAAATCGTAATATGCAGTTGCAGTTGCTTGCGTATTGCGTACAATAATGACAAAATCTAAAGAGATTGGAACGCACAGGGTTAAAATATAGCAGATGTTCTTCAATTATGATTTAGGAAATTTGACCTAATAAATTCGATATTTCGGATATCTTACTGTAGACGTACGTGTACAACAAATGAAATATTTCATACGAAAGCTATAAGTAGAAACAAAACGTTTTTAACAGGAGCAAAAGGATGTTATTGTTTTGGAAACGTGATAGAATTGTCGTCAATGAAATGTGTAATGAGCGGTAGAGATTGGGTTTTTTCGTTTTATGTGTTTTCATCTTTTATACTTTTGGTTTCACCTGGATTTAACACCATTGACAGTCTATACATGGTATTTTTGTAAAAGTCTTTGAGTGCGCCATCAGAGCTGCAGAAAATAGCACAGAAAAGATTTATACGTCGAAGCCAATTGTGCCAAAGTGAAACCAGGAGAGATTCGGAAAGTAAATGGAAAGTTAGACGTTTCCTTTCTTAGTACATAATAACAACATTTCCCTGAGAAGTTTAATGAGTATAATGTCGCAGTTTTGCATAATAAAAACAAAATTTTTTACCGGATGCTTAATCTTTACAGACGTCATGCCTGGGGATAAAACACAATAACAAGGTTTATTGACTTAATTCAACATAATATCATAATCAACTTGTGATTAAAAAAATCACCGTCGTTAAAGACCTTTGATGTATGTATAAATCAATATCTCTAAGTATATTTCCAAATTCTCATTTTTCATACAAATATTTTCAACATTTACCCGTATAGTGCTATGGCATTAAGTGACATCAAACTGTGCAAAAAATAGTGAAGAGAAATTGCTTTTCAAAATTGTATGTAATAATTTAAAGAATAAAGATGTATGTATGCATGACTTCTTTAGAAATGTTTTCAAACTGTGACTTTTGTTTCACGCATAAATGCTTCACGTCTCTTGCAAAATACATATGTAATATTCTTTCGTGGCAGCTCTCCATAAAAAGAGGCCAAAAGCTGTCTCCAATCATCATTCATCATCCTGCTGTTGGAACCAGAAGAAAGCAAGAAAGCAAGAAAAAGTTTAATCATGAAGATAACCTATCTTGTCATCGCTCTTGGATTGCTTTGCACTTTTGCTTACGCTCAAGCGAAACTTGAAAATAGGGTTATGAAAGGTAATGATACAAAGCTCATATATTCAATACTTTATCATCAACCATTTTTCTTGACCAGCTTTTGTACATGATTAAAAAATGATGGTTTCTTCATTTAGAATCTGATGAAAAAACCGCCCCAGTGGAAACTGTCGAGGAAGAATTAGTAGAAAAGTATGATGAAAATCCAGAAGAAGGAAATGAGGATGTAAATCCAGAAGAAGAAAGTGATGATGAAAATCCAGAAGAAGAAAATGATGATGAAACTGACTCCGAACATGACTTAGAACAAAGTGATGATCGTGAACTCACAGAGAACAAGTAAGTTAACTTTATCTACTACGTTTACGTTCCTGACATCGAAATGCTTCGTTTTGTATGCTATAGTTGGCCTTGACATTTAGTCTCTGCCATGAAAGTTGATGAACGCGAACAGGGCCGTCCTTATAACGTTTATCAAGGGGGGATGTAATCCTTTCAAAACGACTGGCCATGGAACCAGTACGGAATACACTATAGAACAAAACCTCGACAATTTTCAAGGTCTACTAAATGACGCCCCTCTGGTGTTTACTGTAACGCTGTTCGAACTGTTCATTTCTTGCTCTTATGTTATTCTCGATTTATATGGAAATGTTAGTCTCTTACTTCTTATTTACGCTTTATCCAAATCAACCGTAATGTTGATGTTTAGTCGTCAAAGATATTTTTTCTGTCGATTAATATAATACTTTTACCGACTGCATTTAAAAATAAAATTTTGGGGTGTGTGACCCTTTTCTTACACATACATTGTGTTTTGTAGTAATGATGTGAAAGCTGATCCAGGTGTAGAAAAACGCTCGCCTCGGTGGCGTCATCATAGTCGTTGTAGTTTCCGACGACGTCGTAGTTTCCGAAGACGTCGTAATTTCCGAAGACGTCGTAGTTTCCGAAGACGTCGTAGTTTCCGAAGACGTCGTAGTTTCCGAAGACGTCGTAGTTTCCGAAGACGTCGTAGTTTCCGAAGACGTCGTAGTGTCCGAAGAAGTCGTAGTATCCATAGACAACGTTGGCACGGCTAATATGGCAGAAACTCGTATGGATCGATTTGTGGAAAGTGTAGCGATTAATAAGAAACATTCGTTTGATTTTAGCGTACTTGAAGTTGGCATTGTTGTATGATTTGCCTGTAGAAAATAGATATTTGCATCGATCATTGACTTAGTGTGTCTTCATCGTCTTTTTTTACTTATTTCAATAATAAGACGTTTGGTTGTTTCTCAACAATCCTTAGAATTACAATGTCTTTGTGGTTCTGCGATATAAATAAAAAGTTCACTCACATATCATATCATCTGTGTAGAAATAAGACGAGTAAGAGTGAGATTATCGTCAACATGTTTGTATAAAGCATTTTTTTATCACTACTATCAATGATGCAATCCATAGCTCATTCAGGAAAGTTTCTTAAAAAAGCTACACTGTAGTTGGCAAAAGCGTTTGGCGTTTATTTTGTCAGTTAAGGATTTGTTTTACTATATGAGATGTCGTTGTGTGTTTCCATGTAGAAGGCTTTGGCAAAATTAAATCAAAGCAATAAATAAAAAAGTTATATAGTGCGTTCGTAGGAAGATATTTAAAGACTTTACCACGCTAGATACTTTACAAAGATATTAAGTGCCTTTACACAAATCCGTAAATTTTCTACTTTACATGTCGTTGTTGTTGTTCAGTATTCATTATTCAAACAGTAAAATGACGTAAACAGCAAACATTATGAAAGATCTGTGTACATGGTTATTTCAGTCCAACTATTAATGGCTGACGTCAGAGGCGTAAATCATGGATATGTTTGATGTTGGACTGCTCAAAAATATTAGTTTGTCAGGCAAAACCTAGTAGCATGAAACAAACACACAAAATTTTCAAAGAAATCGATTTTGCAATAGTGCAACTAGTGGCGTTGTCTGTTGCCTTTTTTATTCACGACCTTAAGTTGCATGATAAAATAAGTTTCATTTCGCGTGTTTTGTAGTTATCTTTAACTAATTAACATTTATATGATAAGTATGTACTTATGGTTTCCTGATCAATTGCATGTAATTTCCTTTTTTAATATTTTGTCGTATCTTTTGCACAAAAGTTATTATTTCTTACTAACGAAACGTTTCGTATAAATAGTGGTAAAATTTCGTTTATTAGTCAGTACGGACTTAGTGCAGAGTGAGAGTTGTTGAAGGTTGGTTAAAGATTGGAATGTTATTGCATAAGACTGTTAAAATGGTGAAGATTGTTTGTAAATATCGTAGTTCTTTCTTACAAATTTCCATACTGTAAAACAAATCATAGTGCTGTTTGATTTGCTGGACGCGATCAACAGATTTCTGCGATCGAATTTGGCATTATTAAGCAGTGATTTATTAAGAGGGTGGGTCAACGCTATTAAAATAATTTTTATGCTTGGAATTTGAAATGTGCAGTATTCTCATGGTTTGTAACGCCCACTTCACACGAGCAAAATAAACATGAGAAGAAGAAGACATGAGAAGATTTAGAAATATCTTTCTAAATCTTCTGCTCTAGAGATTTAGAAAGATATTTAGAATGTAAATTTTAATCTTCTTTTGTTGCATTGTACAGTTTCAGAGTTTCTTACTTCTTTAGATCTTTGCGTTTACTGTGGTTGATTAAAGCCATGTTTTCACGAGCGACATAAACATAAGGACAAACAGAGACAAAAAAAATTCAAAAGAATTAATGCAATGAAGCAACTGAATCAATCATCAGCATAAGCATAAGCACAACAAATTGACACAAGCATAAGGTAGAACAAAAACAAATTGAAAAGAAAATCCTTTTTCTTTTATATTTCCTCCGAGCTCTGAAGAATATGCTTTGCTTTGTTTTATCGCTTGTGCATATGTCGTAAGTGAGAACTAAGCGAAAACTAAGCTTTAAAGCCTGGTTTCCACTTGCTACATAAACATCAGGACAACAAAACACAAAAGAATGCAATGAACCATGTAAATGACGCTAGTGAAATCTAGGCTTAAGTCATTTATAATTGAACTAGCTTTTAAAACGTAATGAAGCTGGAGTTAGATTGTATTTTAAAATCCCTGGAGTGTAAAAAGTTGCAGAGACAATATGCGCTAAATACAATAAGGGTTGACATGCAAATTAAGGCTGCAGTTTTGTTGGCAGTCACCGTATATACTGGCATACTTTTCTAAACTTGAGCAACCAATGGTGCCTTTAAATGTGTAAGTATCACTTTGTATGTTTAACTCCATAGCTTTTTCAACGTGTAGATTATGACCTTTAATCCTTATCACATTATTTTACTTTTTAAATACTTTAAGATATTAGAGACGACTGAAGAATGAAAAGATAAACCTACTCTTTGGATAATCAATATTATATGGTGATGGTTAATTTGTATTTTGGCCCTATCTTTGGAGATTGATTTCATCGTTATTTCTAAAGTTTTGTTTCACGTCTATCGTATTTGACTTTACTCAGAAGAAAATACAAAACATGCAAATGACTGCAATGAGTCGTGTAATGTAAGCCTCGATATTAGCTTCCTTGTTGGTAAATTTATCCAATTACAGATGAAGTAATTTTTTGGCCAATAAAGGTATAGTGTCATATTCTACAAAATTTTACTTGTACCAAAAATAAATATGCGTCCCAGGATGGAAAATGTAAAAAATATATTCATTGCCAGCCATGTTGGTAGAAAAACCCATGTATAGTTTGATTATCGGTTCTTCGAAGTAACCTATAGTTATAAACATGGCCGCTTGATCTCACATGAAAACCTACCATTAGTTTGTGCAATGTATAAATGTGAGCTCAAAGGCAGTGAGATCCTTATGGTGTTTCACTTGTGTACGCTGAATTTTATTGGCATAAAATGATTTTACTTGTGGATAGGATTTCTTGGGCAAAAGTGATAAATGTATCTTGATTAAAGTGCACTGTGAATGTTGTTTGTATGATTGTGTCTGAAGAACATGAAAAGTTTAATGACCGCATTTTAAAACGCGCTCATACTCACCGAGTGGAGCTTTAAGATCACACCATAGTAGTTTGAAGAGACAGCATTTTCACTCCAGTAATTGCAAAAATCCTGTTTTTGATGGAGAAATGACAGTGCTATATATCAGAGAGGGTGTGCTTTTTAGTTACACTAGGTGGGTACGAATGAGCTTTTAAAATACGGGCATTATAGGTCTCTTATGTCTTAGAGACACACCCATTGAGTGGAACAGAAAAACAGGAAGAATCTTAAAATCATGTTTAAAAATTTGTAGATTCCCTTCATTCAGTGGGCATTATATATAAAAAGAACGAATTTCATATGATGGGAACACCTTAGAAAATTGTCCACTATTTTCATAAAAAAAGGCATGGTAAAGTTGAGTGTGTGGGTTAACGCAGCTGAGTCTTAATATTGGCAGATTTTGAGTGTTTTGAGAATGTTAGCCTGTGCTTCATGCACTTAATTAGCAAGACGCTCAAAGCCGTTTGTGGGTTTGATATGTCTTATACATACTTTGGTACATTTTTTATTATTTAAAAGATAGTAGATGGTATTATTGTAGTTAATGGTAATTGTCTTCTTTCAATTCACATGCATTTAATCACAGCTGCAATAAATGCCTGTCTGTGAACTAATTAAGTTCGGATTATGGAGTTTGCCTGAATAAATGTGTAGTGTCAAATCTGATAAAACTCGTTTAAAACGATTTCACGACATCTATATAGCTTTCTCTTGCTGATTCTATATTGTGTATTTTGATTCTCATGCATGCAGCAATTTCATCCATCGTGAAAATATTACATAAAGATCTAGACAATAATATAAATTTATTGTTTGAGCATGTCATACATAAGGCATGTGTCTTAAATAGAGTGCCCTTTACTTCACCTGTTTTATAGTGGACGATATTGTGTAGATTTAATATACGGTGTAGTGTAGTATGATAAAATAATTTATTTTTCTTAGTTTTGAATGTGACTCAAACCCGAGAACGTACACTAGACTAGTATCGTTTCCTTCTGATACGGTTTTATTTCATTCATGCAAATATGGCGAATTCCTGATTCACATGATTTAGAAATAACCATGCATAACCAATAGTTTCGCTGAATGTTTCGCTGTGATGAAATTTATGTTGTATGTAGGTTTTTCATTTTTAATTTATTGTATTCAGTTCACCTTGACTGACGCTTTAAATATTATGCTCACACGATATTTCTTGTTGTCATTATGTTCATATTTATATACGCCTTCAACATATTGCTGATGTAGACTGTGCGTATTGAGAAGCATACATACATTTCTTTACCTGGTAGACTTGATACCACACTCATTCAAAAAACTCATCGTTCTTCATCTGTTGCTTTTTTATTACTAGCAGAAGTCAGATCTTCCATCTTATGGAGCAATACCTCTCATTCACGATTTTAAGTTATATTTTAATATTGAAATTAAATACTTATTGAATAAGGTTATACCATGTATTTTTACATTCAAATGTTTCTGAATAGAGTAAATCTTAAGATTCTTTTGAAAGAATTGTTTAAATGGGGCTATTATACTTTATAATGTAGAATAATTCCTTTGGCATGTATTTCATCATTTCATTAACTTTTAAATAACCTCACGATTTTAGAAATTTTTGCTACATTGTTTTGTTCAACGTTTACATTATTTTCATGTCATTGTTATTATTATCATTCTTAATGCGATTTTTTCTATTAAAAAAATAATTTATCTTAGGTAAAAAAACTTAATAACATCCCTAGAAATCGATGCATAGTTTTTGTCGATTCCAAATAATGAAAAAAATTTTTAAAGATGACTGCCCCACGTTGTCATTCAATATAAATGAATATAAATTGGCAGATTGACCTAAATATTTTAGGTTACGTATCACATAAGTGGTACTTGTACAACTAAGATTGAATATGAAATGTGGCGAGAAAGAAAATGTTCCAGCTTGCCAGAATTTCTACATTTATGTTGCTTCTAAAATTCTCTTTTAAAAGTTTCACCATTATTTTCTATGTATGCAATTTTCATATTAATCGTTGTTCTTATATATACGTACGTGTTTTTTTTTATGTAGCACAGCATAAAGGTATACATAAAATGTATGAAATACATAGCAATGTTTGGGAAATATGTTTTACACGCTTACGTATACTGTCAAAAAGTGCGTTACAGTTGTTGGGCGTTGTTATTTTAAGAATCGAAAGTCGCAATATAAAATTTTGACCGTCAGTTTTATCTGTTCTTATGTGAAATGCAGTTGGTGTTTCATCCGGTCATGAGTTTGTTTTTTATTCAAAGCTGGGCGAATTTTCGTATGAAATATCACAAAGAAGTATTTTGTAATCCACAATGGTTATGATATCAGATTCTTTTGTGGCAGCTCTCTATAAAAAGAGAGCTCAACTGCCTATCATCATTATTCATCATTCAACTATTGAAGAAGAAGACGAGTGAAATATTCAAACCATGAAGATAACTTATCTTCTCTTTGCTTTCGGGTTGCTTTGTACTGTTGCTTACGCAGCCACAATTCAAGACGATGAAAACTTTGAAAATGCAGTTCTGAACGGTATTGATAATGTTATGTAGAATATTGTTAAATTCAACTGCTGCATGCTTTATCCATCATTCAATATTGCTCTTTACAAGCTCGCACTCGTTCATGATTGAATAAAAATGGTTGTTTCATTTAGAATCTGATGAAGAAACCTCTCCAGAGGATAACATCGAGAAAGAATTGAAAGTAAATAATGATCAAAATGAACTGTCGGAGGATGAGTAAGTAACTTCTGTAATACGTCTTACATTCTTTAAAAAGATATGCCAGCTTGTGTTGACAAAAACCCATAATAAGCTTCCCTTTGTAAATTTTTGATGTTGAGCTTGAGATAAGTGGTGAAAATGACAGTGCCTACTCCGAACCTCATAAGAATTAAGAGTGGAGAATGTTTTCATTTGATTAAAAACGTTCACTCGTGAAGAAAATATTTGCACAAAAACGAACAAGAATCATAAAGCTTGTCCCTTAGTTTTTACTACTTATCAATAAATTGATAAAATACAACTTATCTTATCTAATGACGATTAAAACCTGCTTATAATTGAGTTTCTAGAAATTTTCTATGTGTGTGAGTTATCAAATAAGTTGTATTATGTAGTGACGATTTGGAAGCTGATCCAACACTAGAAAAACGCTCACCTTTTCCTTGGCGTAGACGTCGTCGTCGTCGTCATTACCGTCGTCGTCGTAACCGTCGTCGTCGTAACCGTCGTCGTCGTAACCGTCGCCGTCGTAACTGATAAGCTAATGGATGAATGAACTGTGGATACCGTTGGAAGACCGAAGACTAACCATTATTGAGGAACATTCAGTGATTATATAGATGTAGTTTAAATAGAGACTCTTGTATGAGTTGCATGTAGAAAAAATAATAAATGATGCAATAAAAATATGTTTTTGTCTTAATTTCGAGATGCCATTTGATTGGTCCTTACCAATCTTTTGTAATACCATTTATGTAGAAACGAGATTTTCAAGAGTAAATTGCAGTAAACATTTTCACATAAAATACCCTTCAAGAACATTAATCATACAAGCTGTTCATAAAACAATTATTTATTAAACGAGAGAGCACTTTTCTTGACAAAACTGAAAGCACAATCACGATCAGAAAGTCATTTCTAATTTTTATCTTCGCAATGAATGTGGACGGTATATATTTGCTATTGGGCCTCTGACTTCTGCCCAGATAAGCAGAACCTTTTATAAAGCAAGATCCAACATTCCTACAGCATTCCTACGAAATGAATAGGATTGTAAATTTGTTATCTAGTCAAGACAAGGTCAATGCATTAAAAAGTAATATATGAGGACAACGTATAATTGCTGTCGATCAAAGAACGTGAAAATCATAAGGACCGTGCGATCATTTCATGAATATGTTCTTTTGTTGTCAAGTATCTCAACATAACGTTTCATATTTGGAAGCTTTGTAAAAGACATGCAAAGAGTAAAAATATAGACTTGTTGCATGGATAAATAGTGGTCATGGAACATACCTGTTTTGCTCTTGTCTTTCATGTTTTATTTTCATCGATTATGTTCAAAAAAAATTTAAATGGTTGCTAATGTATGATGTGTCATTTCCATAAATCTTCACATCAGCTTTCCTATTGGTATATGTTCAATAAAAGATGAGGTAATTTTGGACCAATCAAGGTATAGCGCGTGTCCAACAAACTTTATTTCCAACAAACTATAAATATGTTGTGAAGCTGAATTGAAAATATATGTGTGTGTTGTTTGAAAAGATAAATATTGAAGAAGTGTGTGTTACTAAATGATTTAGCTACAATGAGACCGGTCTCATACTCAATTAAAATTAGACTTAAGTAGATTTTGATTTACTGCAATGAAAAAGCTTTATTTCAAGCTTTGCGTGCTTCCAGTTAAATCACAAATATGAGATTGACAAAACAAGGAAAATGAGAAAAATGAAAACGGACAGTGCAGTTGCTAGAACGTTGGGGGGGGGGTTGTTTATTCATACATTCCCTTGTGCTTGACTAATTTCCTATGAAAAAATATATGTTTTCAAGAGAGCTCAGTTGATCACAACTGAATATATAAATAACCAACACCCCTCCCCCTCCCCTTTAACGTTCGAGCTACGGCTTGGAAACAGCGTCATAGCATCTTCAAATTCTATGAGAAGAATGTCCAAAATCATGTTAAGTAGTTTAGATGAAGACTATCCTATGTTTCCTACCACGATGCTGTATATTAGAGATAAACATTGAAATTTGTTTTTTAACCTATTTTTATCGCTATATGTTTTTAACGCACATCCATTCTTTATATCATTTACCCCCATAATTTGCACGACATAATTTATCATAATTATGTCGTTGCTCGGTTACCACACTTACGGTACAGTGTCGGACTAAGAATTTTCGTAATATTATTCCCAAATATGGCAATTTTCAAAGCTTATATGGCATTCTTATCAGAACTAGGTTAATTATAGAAGGTGAGTGACATGAGCAAGAGAAGGGAGTAAGGGGTGGGTGGTTTGATTTCAGGACACCAAGAAAAATTTATGCAAAAAGTACAAGCTCAATATAAATGGCACGCTTATGAAAATTATTTGCTGTTTTGACACTGATGCAGAGCAAATGAGACAACGTACTGAAAGTGTTTTACATTTTATGCTACAAATGATGTCTGTGTGTAAACTAAATATGTCAAAATCAACTAGTTTGGTTTAGTTGACAAATGTTGTAAAACATTGGTGAATCTTAGATAACTGCTGAACGTTTGTATGATATCTGCAATTTTATTTTTCTGACTGTATAGTTTGATTTCCATGTGGGGCAATGTTGTGATTCGTGAAAAAAATAACACGAAGTATAAAATTATATAAATTTATTGTTTGAGCATGTCTTATATGTACGGGCATGATTTGTGGAACATTGGATTGTCCTGATTATCCGATTTCGCATATAAATCTATAATCTTAATTTCAAATTAACGAAGGCTACCTATAGCTACATATACATATGCTTCCTAAATATTCTTTTATGATGAATCACGTTACAGTTGTTCATTTTCTTGCACTTAAAATCACAAATGTATAACACACGGACAAGCACCAATATAGTTTCCTTTTGCAATATTTCAATCTCATTATTGCTAGTACGACGGGATTCCTCATTCATGATTTCAGAATGACTTTGCCTAACGTATGATTTTACTGAAAGTTATCATGAACTTTATGTAATCATTTGATTTCGGTGAATATTAAATCTTAGTCACATCTATTGCACCACCTTGCATGCATGCACTTAAAATGCTTTTAGCAACATGGCTCTGTATAATGACTCGTTTTTGCTGTTTCTCCTTGTAAGAAATAATACACTTCTACATTATTTACTGTTTATTAAGGAATATTTATCCGACAAATACGCCATGAAAGTTCTAACATTTGAAGCCTCTCGGACACTCATTTGTCACCCAGTTAAATAAATATGACCACAACTACAAGTTCATATTGGACAATGTGCATTGCATATTTCATCAACTTTGAAATTTATTGATTCCTAACTTATAGCGATACATGTAGTTTTTAGACAATTTTATGTAATCAGTAAACAAACATGCATGTACGTTACATTTCGCATATAAATGTTATTGTCAGTAATTTGCTTCTCTCCTAGTCCAATTTGACGTTCACAAACGCTTAAATAACTCCTCCCCATGGATATCAAAATTTCAGCATAAAATCATCGCATGTATTTTTATCGATTTCAAGTCATGAAGCATTAAAATCCTGGTGACCTCAACCATATTCCAGAGCACTTTTAAAAAAGGAACTTTGATCATCAATGCAAAAATGACACTTAAAAATACTTTACTAAATATTAAAATGCTTCGTCTCATAAGTGGTGCTTCAAAAGCTGAGTGCCCAAAAAAAAAAACGCTCATCAAGACCACGCACATGTGATAATCAAGGTCAATGTGACTCTTTTGTTTATTTCTTACTTTTATTCTTTGCCGAACTTTCTTCAAACTTCAAATTTGTGAAATCCAGGAAACAAATATTCTATCCTCCAAGTATAACTCATTTATATGTGTTTTGACCAGAGGCTTTGGAAGCTTTTAAGAGTTGTGGGTGTACCATATTCGCCATGTCATAACGCAAGAATAGTAATGGAATTCTTTCTTATTGGTTATTTTCAATCAGTTTTTCTTCTTTCTTACTGGCTCCTGGTGCCTGTTCAACAATTTGAAAATTTGGTACACACATCATAAACGTTAAAGTAACATTTGTGGGTGTCTTTACTATAAGGTACACCCACACTTCAAAAAACCCACCCCTTCCAAGTCCCTGGTTTTAACTATTATACAAATTGTAAGAAAAGAGCTAGTACATGACACTAAAATTTAATATTTAAATAATAAATATATATTTTGAAGACAATAAAACGTCAGAGCTTGCATAGGATATGTTTATTTGTGTCTTTACTTGTCGAATTCCTCCGTAAGATTTTGAAAAATCTTATATTCTCCATTTGCCATACAGCATTGTGAGGCACACTACTACACATCACACTGGCATCATGCCAGTATAAATATTCATAAGAAGAATAAGAGCTTGCAAATGAAGTTAAAAGTCATTATTTTAAATGATCAAAGGACAAATATAAGTTTTTTAATTGTGCATATATAGGGTTCTAATTGCGGAATACATTACTTGTAGTTTTGATGAGTCATCCGGTCATCAGTTTCTTTTTCTTTCAAAGCCTGGAGAATTTTCCGATGAACTGATATCACAAAGAAATATTTTTATTTCATTGTGGGTAAAATATCGGATACTTTATTGACAGCTCTTTATAAAAAAGGGACCGAAACTGTCTTCAAACACACTTCTTCTAGCTACTGTTGGAAAAGTAAGAAGACAGAAAGAATTAACGATGAAGATAATCTATCTTCTCCTTGCTATCGGGTTGCTTTTAGCTGTAACTTACGCAGCTCCAACTGAAAACGAATACAATCTTAAAGATGGAATTTTGAACGGTATATTCATCAATTTTCGATATTTCATTTAGAAAACTGCGAAGCTCATCTATTCAATGCTTTATTCATTATAAGAAATTTTGTCAACCATGCTTTTGTTCGTGATTGAAGAACGATAGTTGTTTCTTTTAGAGTCAGACGAAGAAAACTCCCCAGAGAAAAACATTGCGAATGACTTAGAGGGTAACGATGATGAAAACTCAGAAGAAGAAAATAATGATGAAAATCCAGAAGAAGAAAATGATGATGAAAATACAGACGAAGAAAATGATGACGATACTGACCCCGAACACGACTTACAAGAAAATGAGAACGAAGATGAACTGACAGAAGATGAGTAAGTTAACTTTGTCGAATAGATTTTACATTCCTTATTCCCTTTCAATGGTGTATTCTTGTGTTGCCAAAAAACTTGACATCAAAGGCTTAGTGTTGTGACTTATAAGATCAATCCCATGTGTTCCATGTACTGTTTCTGTGCGTTTATTATAGAGATAGAATATATAAAAAATGCTAATACCAAATGCTAGTTTGTTGTACTGTTCAATAAATTTACAATAGTTGACGGACTGTATTTTATACATAGTGACGATGTGGAAGCTGATCCAAGTTTAGAAAAACGTTCTCCCTCTCCTGGACGTTATCGTTCTCGCAAACGTTCTCGTTCTCGTAAACGTTATCGTTCTCGTAAACGTTATCGTTCTCGCAGACGTTACGGTTACCGTGGTAAACGTTACCGTGGTAAACGTTATCGTGGTAGACGTTATGGTGGTTCCCGTAGACGGTACAGTAGTCACCGTAGACGGTATCGGAAGTACTACTAACGCGTTCGTAAATATCCTTATCATCGCGGATAGAGAACTCTTTTTTAATAAACATTTCTTTGCTTAGTTCACTAAAGAAACATGTAGCTTGACTTGACATTTAATCTTGTCTTACATAAGTAGGAAACCGATAATAAATGCATAATCATTGAAACTGTGTACTCGTGATTCTTTGCTGTTTCTGTTGATTACTGAATCAATAAACATTCATCGTAATTATTTATATACCATCAAAAAACATTATACACCGTTTGTGTAGAAATGTGTGCCTGCATGAGAACAGACTACTGTCTAACGGTAACATGTTTGTATACATTTCACTCTGAAGATGACTACCGCTAAGGTTGTCGAAACGTCAGTCAACAACAACAAAAACAGTCCTTCTCAGGACTATACCAACCTTGACAATCTACTTTTACAAACATGTAACGATACTCCCGGGTTCAAACCATTTACTTTATGTTTGTATACTCTTTCCATTTTTTTAAGAATAAGAAATTATAATGCTGAAGTCTCTGTGAATCTGAATCTTTGCTTTGTTATTGCACTTTATTTTTATTATTCTAACAATAATATGACCGATAAATTATAGAGTAGACAATATGAATGAACTGTTTGGCACGCCTATAAAGAACTGCAACTGTTTTAAATGTCAAATATTATGGCTTGTCCAATAGTAAGTAAACTTTGTCTGCAAAACGAGCACATCTATTTGAGTTTTCCTTATTTATGTAATCGCAAAACCTGCTCTAGAATTTTACTAAGTATCTACTACAGTTTTCGTTAGCCAAAATACAGAAAACACTTGCTGGATTACATAACCATTGACTTCACAAGTATACATGCATGATGCTAACACTGCAAATCAACTGACAAACACTATGCAAAAGCGGCCGACTGAGATCAACACATTGTATTATTTAGACTTTCAGTGACGATGTGAAAGCTGATCCGAGTCTAGAAAACACTGACTTTCTCCTTGATTTCGCTGTCGATTTTACCGTAAGTAATCGATACCGCCGTTACCCTGGTTGTTTTCAAAGACGTGTTTGTGGTATTCACAGACTTTATTTGGGTATCTTCGTCGTCTAGAGTAACAATAACTGTAGACAAGAAACATTTGTTGATGATAGATACAAGTTACATTGACATTCTTCTGTGAGCTACATGCATTGAGTTCTTATAGAACTCAATGGTTACATGTAGAAAAAAAGGAATATTTGCATAAATCAGGGACTTTGTAGTGTCCAGTTGGTTGTTCGTTTCCAGTCCTTTAAAAATTACAGCAATCTCATATTCCCAGCTTTTAATAACTGTTGACTGATGAGATGAATGGATAACTGTTCATCACACTCATGACCGATACCTTTTCTGTGGAAATGTGATAAGATGGAGATTAAATTACGACACCTACAAGTTCCTGTTTCAGCAAGCTGAACAGCCGGAACATACCATAAATACACATTAATGACAACTTATACATATGAAAAGAAAAGTTAGTCGAAAATTATGAAGTTCACTTCAATTTTGAGTATTTGCTTCGTTGTTTTCATCAAAGAAGTTTGTGGTAAGTTGATGATACTAGAATTCAACTTAAACTTGGATTGTGAAAGCAGATTGCGCTGTCTGTAATTTCAAATAGGGAAGTAGCAAGTACAGTTCTTTACTTCGTTGATACTTTCGAAGAAAATTCTAATTCTTTCTGTAGATAGGAGGATCAATAAGTCAAACATCTTTGTCTCTTTCTAAATTTCATGTTTTGATATGATTGAGAATGATAAGCTAAATCCGTCGACTAAATATATAAATAGTTCTATTATAATAGTAGGTACGATTTTTATTGTGTTTCCATTGACAGTAGTTATACATTGTCCTATATATTACTTGTCAAACCATTGATCTGTCTCGACAAGACAACAACTTAAAATCCTTTATTTCGTAGGCCTTTTGTTTTGCTTACGTCAGAGAAGTTGATTTTAGATAGTTTCTGCGTGCGTTGATTTGTTTATAGCTCAGTTTGTATTAATCTGGGCAAACCGATTTGAGAGCTCAATCAATTGAATCAATGAATAAGAATGGGCAAATCAATCACAAATACATGTCAGAGGAAATTTAAAACGTTTTGTTCAAATTTATCCGTTTTGCAGTGTAGTTATTTTATAGAAGAAATAAAAGATTTTTTTGTGTTTGCACAGGCTTATGCAAACATCAGACTCGACCTTCGGTCTCGGGCATGCGCTGATCTGCTCTCGAGTTCTCCTAAATGTCTCCTCGATTTGCATAAGGTTATGCAAACACATTTTTTGATTATCATATAACGTAACTTTCTAATAACTTTATTTCTTATCTAATCTTGTCAAAGGTTCTGCTTGTCCGCGGACAAACAAGAGGTCAAATAGCAAATGTGTTGATGAATGTTTACCATCCATTGGCTGTGCAGATAAAAACAAACAATGTCTGTGTGATGGTGATTGTGGTTTTAGCTGTGTCAAGAAAAGTATAGGCATATTTATGAGTGATCGCCAACTTCCATCACCTTCGTCTTTCATTAAAAAACAACTTCCATATTTCATCGTTTCTAGGTTTGAGGTGCACACAATTAAAGAAATTTCGTAACGGTCGCATTATCGGCAAAAACACCAACTTTAATGCGACTTTAAAGTTTGTATGCAATCCAAACTTTCAGCTGTTTGGAGCAAGTATTCGTCGCTGTCGGGCCAAGGGACTATGGGATGGAAAAAAATCAAGATGCAGTAAGTTCACATGACTAATAACATAGAGTAAAGGCAATCAACAATATTTTTTTATTTTACTACTTTATGTTATGAAATGAGAACTGAAGGTGAAATGAGAACTCTGTAATAATATGATTTTTCATCTTCTTGAGATGAATTGTCGGCCGAATCAGCTGATACATTGAAATAAACAGAATCATTCGGTCAATTGAACTTCTTCAATCTTTTATCTTTTTAATCCATAAGTATTTCTTCCCATAGAAATCGCATGTTCTGATCCTGGAATTCCCAGTAACACGAGAAGAAACCGACGCAAACAAAGTCTTCAAGGATTTTCAGAAAGAACAAAGCTGCGTTATGATTGTGCACCTGGTTACACCACGACAGATAAAACTACCATTACATGTCTGAAAAATGGCCGATGGACATCGTCTCCGCCTGTTTGCAGAAGTACGCTGGCATTGATTATATATATATAATATACATATATTGATAAGAACAAGAAAATACGAAAAAACTACGATTTCATCCCGACAAGCCTGTTTCGTGATTTCTCACTCTTCAGGGGATAATAATGTACATGTATATCTTATGAGAAAAGTCAAACAAAATTTTACTTTGTACTTTGTATACAACTGCTAACTTCGTGAAACTGCTGTGCGCGATAATTGCATTGTCCGTTGCTGTTACATATTCATCATTTTAAAATTAAGACATCTTGTGATGTGCTGATTGCGAAAACGTTAGATTTTGAATTTGTATATTTTGACTGTTTTCCACAATAAAATGAAAGTTTCTCGTCTGTTTCAGTCCAACAGTGTTCGAGAGTAGTGCTTCCATCTAATTCACAAGTACGTATACCTCGTCGCTGGAAGAATAAAGCCTCTCATCAACTAGGAACTCGTCTTCTGCTGTCTTGTAAACCTGGTCATCGTAGTCCAGTTGCCATTGGGCTCATGCGCTGTGTGAGTGTCGGTTGGAGATTGCAAACGAACAGATTCATGTGCATAGGTGAGAAAATTACACACGTGATTCACATCCGACTTGTTAAAAAGTTAACCATTAGTGTAATTGTTATTGATGGTTGTAACTGCTTCTTTATGAGACAGCTAAAAGTTGTGGAGATCCAGGATCGCCCAGAAATGGACGAAAATCAGGATTATCTTATTCCTTCAAAGATGTTGTACATTATTCATGTGATTCATGCTATGAGTTATCTGGTGCAAGTTACAGACAATGTCTCTCAGATGGATCTTGGAGTGATCAACTACCTCAATGTACACGTAGGTATCTTTTTATCCCCATGTTACAACCTTATCCCCATGTTACAACCGACAGCCGTGAATGATATGTGGTAAAAAACAAACAATTTTATTTTATTGTTGATTGTGCAATATCTTTGTCCCTACGTACGCCTTGATGGCCTCCTTTCTTTTGTAATCTTTTTCCATTGATCCATCAAATCTGTCAAACGAGTTTTCTACTTTTAATCTTTAACTTTTTTAAGGTAAAACGTGTGCTGATCCTGGTGACTTAAGACATGGCATTCGACAATTGTCATCTCAGCCAATTTATTGTGGATCATTTGTGGAGTACACTTGTGACATTGGTTACAAACTCGATGGTAATCTCCGGCAGACGTGTCTCTCGAACGGAAAATGGAGTGGAAGCAAGCCAACTTGCAATAGTAAGAATATGTGCTTTGCTCCCGGTTCCCTCCTCTTACTGTGCAGATTAAGCCTTTACAACAACTTTGTTTGAATAGTCATTAATTGTGGAGATCCTGGACAACCTAAAAATGGAAACACCGTAGCTGCTGACGGCTATACGTATGGAAATGATGTGAGATTTTCTTGCAATGACAACTATGTCTTAGAAGGCAGTGTTGTGGCAACATGCGAGATCAATGAAAAATGGTCAAGAAATCTTCCTTTCTGTTTGGGTACGTTGATAAATAGTTCACTAAAGTTTGTGCAGTTATTGCATAACGTTATTTTTTCCTGATTAACTTACAGAAAGATGCTCAGATCCATCGGGGAAAACCAATGCAATAGTTACAGGTAGCAAATTCTACCATGGAAAAACAGTCATGTTCACCTGTCGTAAAACCCACATGCTAGTTCCAGGCAAAAACAAAAGATTGACTTGTGAAAATGGTGAATGGAGAGGCATCATTCCAACATGTAAAGGTTCGTAAAAATGACTGGGAGAAGTTTCTTTGAATTTCGTACAATGAAACTTCTCCTTTTTCAGAAAATATGAAATGACCATTGTAAACGCATTATATTCATGAATTCAAAGACATTTTTAGTGTTACAAGAGCTGAATAAGCACTCAGCTTCTGAGATAATTTTTTTTAGCTATGTGTCGTCATGTGCCTAAACTATCCAATGGTTACGTGCATATGAGGTCACGAGAACATGGCTCTATTGTAAGATTTCGATGTAAGAATAGTCATCAGCTAATAGGAAATGAGAGATTTTCTTGCAACGATGGTCGATGGTCTAGTGCAATGCCAAAATGTCTGGGTAAGTTGTAGTATAGCATTTTTTTTTTACATTGAAAATACTGAGAAACCATTGAAAGAACTCGTACATTTTACACTTGATATCATTCATCACTGGTATACTAGCAGGGGCAGAGGGAGCGAAAGCCCCCCCCTAGAAAAAATGCTGGGTAGACAAAGCCAGTTGGCATTATTTGCTGGAAAGTTGGGTAAATTAGTTCATTTAAGATAGAAAATGTTCCGACCACCCCCCTAAAAAATGTCGTGTTGTCATGTCATTTATGGAGGTGCCATTCTTGTTCGATGTGTTATTGCGACAGAAAAGCGATGGTTAGGTCTTTTTACCTTGTAAAGCCAGTTGCCAAACTGCTCCATTGTTGTTGTTCTATTTACAACTTTGTTAAACCTGGTTGACAAATTCGGTTCGACTCTGTTTTTTCAGCGATTTGCCCCACTATCAGGAGTTTACAAAACGGTTGGGTGTTTGGTGAAAGATATTTGGACGGCGACCTTTTAAGTTTTCGTTGTCGTCCTGGTTATGTTTTGGACGGAGAAAGCTCAATAAGATGTACTAAAACACGTCAATGGAATGCAAATAAACCAATTTGTCGAGGTGTGTTATTGTTGATTGCCTGAGCATAATTGATCCGGAGAAAACCATTGCACTCTTTTTATAATTATTTTTTTACTTGTCTTCATCATTATTTACATTAAAGAAAATGGTTTGAACCGGGGAGTATCGTTACATGTTTGTAAATGTAGATCGTCCAGGTTGGTATAGTCCTGAGAAGGACAAAAATTGACTCTGAAGATTACTACCGCTAAGGTTGTCGAAACGTCAGTCAACAACAACAAAAACAGTCCTTCTCAGGACTATACCAACCTGGGCGATCTACATTTACAAACATGTAATTATTTACATTGAATACACAACTTCGTAACTTTATGCCTCAAACAATACATGAAAAATAAGGATTTAGAAGACAAGCGTTATGCATGGCATTCATCGTTTTCATGTTTTTCTTTTATTCAGCCCCATGTTCCAAACAGCGAGCACCATTGCACGGTCGAGTTACTCGTGATGGTTTCAAACATCAAGAACAAATATCATTCGAATGTAATGGAGACTATCATCTAGAAGGCAGAAATGTCTTGACCTGCTTTGATGGTGCTTGGAATGATAATCCTCCAAAATGTTTAGGTAGATAATAGCTGGTGATGATGAACATGTTAAATGTTTGCGACCTTGCATGCAAAGATTGAGTGAGTTTAGTTTTAGCAATGAAAAACATCTTGTTTGTTGGATTACAAATTATGGTACGATCTCATTGATGACACCTAAAAGTAATAATTTGACTTTCCAGCTCCTTGTCTGCCGTTTAATAATCCTCCATTTCTTGGTGGATCTTTGCAAAGAGCTGGTTTCAGACATGGAGAGTTGACGATATTCAGTTGTCGGGATCCTTTAGTTGTGGATGGTGAAGATACTTTACGTTGTAATAATGGCCGATGGAATCATCCAACTCCCAGATGTGCTGGTAAAAAATTTGTCTGTCATGTGACAAACTGCTCAATACTAACATGACGGACTATGGATTCATTTGTTTTCCAATAGGTCCATGCACTAAACTGGCAGCTCCAGAAAATGGCTTTATTTTCAAAAACGGTTTTAAACACGGAGAAACAATAACATTTAGATGTCGACCTGGTTATCAAATTGTAGGCATAGACAGAAGAAAATGTAATTTTGGCGAGTGGAGTGATTCAACGATGCCACGCTGTGAATGTAAGTCGTGTTAAACGCAATGAACAACAACAAATAAAGTGTTCAGATTGATTTGTGAAGATTTGACGTATTTTATACAAGCTTGAACTGTCTGTTTTTTTTAGTACAATGTCCTGATCCCTCAAGAACAACGAGTGCACACGTTAGGGGAAATGAATTTTATGAGGGCAAGCGAGTTGAATTTGTTTGCAGAGAAAATGAAATCATGGAACCGTCTGTTTCCAAGCAACTGACATGCGCAGGAGGAGCTTGGAACGGTGTCATACCATTATGTAAAGGTAATAAAGATATTTTATTCCCTTAAAGTCCATTCACAATTGACAAAATTTCTATCATCCAATGAAATCACAAGGTCAGGATGACAGCCATTATGATTGCATGATACATGAGCTAAGTAACGAATATAATTGAGTTTCGGAACAAATTTCACATTCTTAAGCGGAAAAGAAATGAAAAAGTGACTGTAACGACTTTAATAGCACCGTAAGCCTGTAACTCAATCCCATGCAACATAAATAATGAAATTTCACTCATTGAAAAAGTTTAATTGAACTGTTGAAAAACATCTGCTGAGGTTTTGTCCAAAATAACCAGCTATACAACATTATGAACTTAGAATAGTATATTGATATCAGGCTCTCTATTAACATAAGTAGACAAATTGTTTTTACGTCGCTTTTTTTCTATGTGAAAACCAACGTATTTTACAAAAACTTGAGTATCTGCTTTTCAGTGCGATGTCCTGATCCCTCAAGAACAACGAATGCCCAAATTGTAGGAAATCAATTTTATGATGGCAAGCAAGTGGAATTTGTTTGCAGAAGCAACGAATACTTGCATCCGTCTGTTTCCAAGCGACTGACATGCACAGGAGGAGCTTGGAACGGTGTCATACCATCATGTAAAGGTAATAAAGATTTTTAATGTCCATAATCGTTTCTATACCGTTGTATCTATATTGCACATGTTAACGAATTACTAAACATGAGAATTTTCAGCGATAACAACTACTGAAAGAATTTCAACAACAACGACGCCGACTCCTATCAAAACAACGTTGTTTACCACTAAAAGGATGACAACCAAAGGTAATAGTCTTGTCAGGCTAACACTTTTCTAACATGTATAACAGAATTGTAAAGTTTTAATGTAGCTAGGATATGATTAGTCAAGCAACCGATCACAATTTTGAGTTGATTTTGTACTAGTTAAATTTACTTTTTGCAAAGGATTGGTAAAGTCTTGTCCTGAGGTCAAATTAAGAAAAGGAAGAGTTTTCGGCAGGGGCGTAACTCCTGGCTCGAAAATATCATTCGACTGCACGAAAAATTGGGTGTTAGAAGGTGAAGAAGTGATCAAATGTTTGGAATCTGGCCAATGGAATGCAACATTACCAAAATGTGTGCCCACAGGTGACGAAATACTTTTTATTTTGAAATATAGATTATAGAAAATCTTACTGCTTGGAGTGTATAACGTGTTTCATTGTATTCCATGATGCTTTTTCTGTCGTATGTTTTGTCAGCAAATGTGCCGACCTTTGTATAAAATGTAAAAAATACTGTCATTGCTGATCTTTTGAAAGGACCGAGAGTGAGCTGTCCAGTTATTGGAAAGATCAAAGGAGGATATGCAACACTTAATGAATCTCATCATGGCGGTAGAGTGACGTTTCTTTGTCTTAAGAATTATAAAATGGAGGGAAGACATAACATCTTATGCCGAAGTGGAAAATGGAGCAGATCTCCTCCAAAGTGCCTTGGTATGTTTCCTCATCTTGTCTGAACGATGGTTGGTCGTTCTAACTTACAATATTGATAATAAAATATGTGTATTATGAGTAGATGCCCGATGATAGAACGAAAAAAACTCTATGTAATTCAATGATTTTCTTATCTAACAGCGACGTGTATGAATCTCAGTGCACCTCCGAATGGTTTGATAAAAATTAAAAGTGGACACTATCAACATGACATCATAGTTTTTGGTTGTCATCCTGGCTATGTTATTCAGGGACAAGGATACTTGCAATGTAATGAAGGAAAATGGAGCAATGTCGTGCCGACCTGTGTAAAAAAAAGCCAAACCTGAGGAGTTCAATGTATCTAGAGATACAAAAACATCTATTTCCTTTCAACAATTTTGACATATGACGTTATAATTTTATATAAGCTTTAAAAGTATTATAGAGTCTAGTTTCTTTTTACAAAACTGCCATCCGGTACATTTGATTAGAAACCTATAGATAGCAATAGAGGCCTATCTTTTGTATGATTTATGCATTAATTTTCACGATTTTTTGCGCAGTTGACGTGCTTATAGGGTCATGCCACCTGCTATAACATTTTAGCCCTGTTTTTTTTGCTTAAGATGGTTCGGGAATCAAACTCAACTACCATTCACCCATTAGCTCCCAGATATATTCACCGTTTTTTTTCATGAGGGAAACCGGCGTATTGAATATTTATGCAATGTTTTACCGGAGGAAAATCCTCGTTTGGATGCTCATTGCTCAAACCTCGCCTACATTGTTTACGAGTTATCTTTACAACCAAATCTTGCATTGAACTATATTTTTACGACCTCACTTATATTTACAAAAGCCGTTACCCTGTGTTTCTATTTTTACAAGATTTTTTAAATATATAGTTTTCAACGAAGCAGCATACATCAATAAAAAATTGCTTGATGGCAGGCACACGTTCCCACTAAAAAAATCCGAATTTGGCAATTCTCTATAACGCCATTTTTGAGCTGCTTTTAGCTGGCTTTTGCGCTGTTTGTTGCGTTTGTATTTGAAAATATATTCATCAGACAACGAGTATTCTTCATAATGACGCAGCTCTCTCGTATATTTCTCACTACATCGTTTTTCAATATATCGTTTTGAAATATTTTTGAAAATATTGTTTATGATTTTTTAAATACTATATTAACGCTTTCGTAGTTTGCAAGCAGAGGCTGCGGAACCGGGGGGGGGGGGCATTGGGGGCAAGTGCCCCCCCACTTTTTGCAACAGGGAAAAATGTGCCCTTTTTCTGGAATGAAAGTGCCCTTTTTCATGGTAGAGATATGCCCTTGTTTTAAGTAAAATTGGACTGAAGAAGTTTTTCTTAGATACAAGTAGCCCCGAGAGTAGAACAAAGTCTGTCGGCATCATGCGAAATCAGCTATAGCTTAGTTTTTGATCTTGATTACCCAGATAGATCAAAAATCGCGTTTCTCGATTGGGGTTGTCTTCGCAGACGTCCGCCCAGTAACTTAATTAACCAATGAGAAGTCGCAATTTATGATCCACATGAGACTATAAATTCTACGGCAACGCATTGCTCCCGTCGTATTGTCTTTCAGGCCATTGGTCCTACAAAACTGTTGACAGTTCATAATCGTAATAATTGAAAATTTTGCGGTTTAAATCACTTCTAATCAAAATCATCATGCCTAGAGCTGCTAGGTGAAAACAAGAAAAGAAAAAAGAGCTTGTAGAAACAGCTAAAAGCATGCGAAAACTGACGAGTTTTTTTAGTAGTGCTCCAGCAGAGAACGTTGTTGAACAAAACATCGACTCTAGGTCTAATTTGACACTGCCGTCAGCTACAGAAACTCCATCAACGTGTTTATCTCCTCATTCTCATTCCAAACCAAAATTCGGCGAGTCTGACTCTACATCGTCTTCAGAGATACTAGTCGCGCCGCCGACCGAACCAGTTCACACAACTTCTCAAAACCTAACGTATACGTCTTTGCCAAGTTCCACGACTACCTCCCTATTGGTAGGACCTATGCAAATTGAGTCAACGGAAAGTTTGCTAGGACTCGATTGTAAGCGTTTGTGCTGAGAGACTTGCGATGAGCGCAGCCTCTGGAGAACGATCTTTTTCATGCCAGCGGCTTGTCAAGACACATCTCAGGAGCACAATGACGGCAGCATGTAAACAAGGCCAGAACTGACGAACTGGACTTACGTTTAATAGCTAAGGACTTTGTTCTCAAAAACGAACGTAGGGTTAGATTTTTTGGGAAATTTTAATGAGATCGCATTACTTAATAAAATTGTTCATGTAGTCATCTTAGTTCAATTTGTTAGCACGCACGCCGAGCAGTAGAGAATACGCATAGCATTCTAAGAATGTCTACCAATATTTTGCAGACTTTGAAACTTAATCATGATTCATGAAACAATGTATATCTGTAATATACTAAAACAGTAAGCTGCAAACTCACATGCCCTTTTCGGTCAGTGCCCCCCCACTTTTAAGATACTTCCGCGGCCCCTGGTAACATGTTTGTATACATTTGACTGTGAAGATGACTACCACTAAGGTTGTCGAAACGTCAGTCAACAACAACAAAAACAGTCCTTCTCATGACTATACCAACCTAGACAATCTACATTTACAAACATGTAACGATACTCCCGGGTTCAAACCATTTACTTTATGTTGTATACTCTTTCCATTTTCTTAAGAATAAGAAATTATAATGCTGAAGTCTCTGTGAATCTGAATCTTTGCTTTGTTATTGCACTGAATTTATTTTCTTAATTTTTATTATTCTAACAATAATATGACCAATAAATTATAGAGTAGACAATATGAATGAACTGTTTGGCACGCCTATAAAGAACTGCAACTGTTTTAAATGTCAAATATTATGGCTTGTCCAATAGTAAGTAAACTTTGTCTGCAAAACGAGCACATCTATTTGAGTTTTCCTTATTTATGTAATCGCAAAACCTGCTCTAGAATTTTACTAAGTATCTACTACAGTTTTCGTTAGCCAAAATACAGAAAACACTTGCTGGATTACATAACCATTGACTTCACAAGTATACATGCATGATGCTAACACTGCAAATCAACTGACAAACACTATGCAAAAGCGGCCGACTGAGATCAACACATTGTATTATTTAGACTTTCAGTGACGATGTGAAAGCTGATCCGAGTCTAGAAAAACACTGACTTTCTCCTTGATGTCGCTGTCGATTTTACCGTAAGTAATCGATACCGCCGTTACCCTGGTTGTTTTCAAAGACGTGTTTGTGGTATTCACAGACTTTATTTGGGTATCTTCGTCGTCTAGAGTAACAATAACTGTAGACAAGAAACATTTGTTGATGATAGATACAAGTTACATTGACATTCTTCTGTGAGCTACATGCATTGAGTTCTTATAGAACTCAATGGTTACATGTAGAAAAAAAGGAATATTTGCATGAATCAGGGACTTTGTAGTGTCCAGTTGGTTGTTCGTTTGCAGTCCTTTAAAAATTACAGCAATTTCATGTTCCCAGCTTTTAATAACTGTTGACTGATGAGATGAATGGATAACTGTTCATCACACTCATGACCGATACCTTTTCTGTGGAAATGTGATAAGATGGAGATTAAATTACGACACCTACAAGTTCCTGTTTCAGCAAGGTGAACAGCCGGAACATACCATAAATACACATTTATGACAACTTATACATATGAAAAGAAAAGTTAGTCGAAAATTATGAAGTTCACTTCAATTTTGAGTATTTACTTCGTTGTTTTCATCAAAGAAGTTTGTGGTAAGTTGATGATACTAGAATTCAACTTAAACTTGGATTGTGAAAGCAGATTGCGCTGTCTGTAATTTCCAATAGGGAAGTAGCAAGTACAGTTCTTTCTTTCGTCGATACGTTCGAAGAAAATTCTAATTCTTTCTGTAGATAGGAGGATCAATAAGTCAAACATCTTTCTCTCTTTCTAAATTTGATGTTTTGATATGATTGAGAATGATAAGCTAAATCCGTCGACTAAATATATAAATAGTTCTATTATAATAGTAGGTACGATTTTTATTGTGTTTCCATTGACAGTAGTTATACATTGTCCTATATAATACTTGTCAAACCATTGATCTGTCTCGACAAGACAACAACTTAAAATCCTTTATTTCGTAGGCCTTTTGTTTTGCTTACGTCAGAGAAGTTGATTTTAGATAGTTTCTGCGTGCGTTGATTTGTTTATAGCTCAGTTTGGGCAAACCGATTTGAGAGCTCAATCAATTGAATCAATGAATAAGAATGGGCAAATCAATCACAAATACATGTCAGAGGAAATTTAAAACGTTTTGTTTAAATTTATCCGTTTTGCAGTGTAGTTATTTTATAGAAGAAATAAAAGATTTTTTTGTGTTTGCACAGGCTTATGCAAACATCAGACTCGACCTTCGGTCTCGGGCATGCACTGATTTGCTTTCGAGTTCTCCTAAATGTCTCCTCGATTTGCATAAGGTTATGCAAACACATTTTTTGATAATCATATAACGTAACTTTCTAATAACTTTATTTCTTATCTAATCTTGTCAAAGGTTCTGCTTGTCCGCGGACAAACAAGAAGCCCAATAGCAAATGTGTTGATGAATGTTTACCATCCATTGGCTGTGCAGATAAAAACAAACAATGTCTGTGTGATGGTGATTGTGGTTTTAGCTGTGTCAAGAAAAGTATAGGCATATTTATGAGTGATCGCCAACTTCCATCACCTTCGTCTTTCATTAAAAAACAACTTCCGTATTTCATCGTTTCTAGGTTTGAGGTGCACACAATTAAAGAAATTTCGTAACGGTCGCATTATCGGCAAAAACACCAACTTTAATGCGACTTTAAAGTTTGTATGCAATCCAAACTTTCAGCTGTTTGGAACAAGTATTCGTCGCTGTCGGGCCAAGGGATTATGGGATGGAAAAAAATCAAGATGCAGTAAGTTCACATGACTAACAACATAGAGTAAAGGCAACTAACAATATTTTTTTACTTTACTACGTTATGTTATGAAATGAGAACTGAAGGTGAAATGAGAACTCTGTAATAATATGATTTTTCATCTTCTTGAGATGAATTGTCGGCCGAATCAGCTGATACATTGAAATAAACAGAATCATTCGGTCAATTGAACTTCTTCAATCTTTTATCTTTTTAATCCGTAAGTATTTCTTCCCATAGAAATCGCATGTTCTGATCCTGGAATTCCCAGTAACACGAGAAGAAACCGACGCAAACAAAGTCTTCAAGGATTTTCAGAAAGAACAAAGCTACGTTATGATTGTGCACCTGGTTACACCACCACAGATAAAACTACCATTACATGTCAAAAAAATGGCCGATGGACATCGTCTCCGCCTGTTTGCAGAAGTACGCTGGCATTGATTATATATATAATATACATATATTGATAAGAAGAAGAAAATACGAAAAAACTACGATTTCATCCCGACAAGCCTGTTTCGTGATTTCTCACTCTTCAGGGGATAATAATGTACATGTATATCTTATAAGAAAAGTCAAACAAAATTTTACTTTGTACTTTGTATACAACTGCTAACTTCGTGAAACCGCTGTGCACGATAATTGCACGTCCGTTGCTGTAACACAATCATCATTTTATAATTAAGACATTTTGTGATGTGCTGATTGCAAAAACGTTAGATTTTGAATTTGTACATTTTGACTGTTTTCCATAATAAAATGAAAGTTTCTCATCAGTTTCAGTCCAACAATGTTCGAGAGTAGTGCTTCCATCTAATTCACAAGTACGTATACCTCGTCGCTGGAAGAATAAAGCCTCTCATCAACTAGGAACTCGTCTTCTGCTGTCTTGTAAACCTGGTCATCGTAGTCCAGTTGCTATTGGGCTCATGCGCTGTGAGAGTGTCGGTTGGAGATTGCAAACGAACAGATTCACGTGCATAGGTGAGAAAATTATAAACGTGATTCACATCCGACTTGTTAAAACGTTAACCATTGGTGTAATTGTTATTGATGGTTGTAAATGCTCCTTTATGAGACAGCTAAAAGTTGTGGAGATCCAGGATCGCCCAGAAATGGACGAAAATCAGGATTATCTTATTCCTTCAAAGATGTTGTACATTATTCATGTGACTCATGCTATGAGTTATCTGGTGCAAGTTACAGAGAATGTCTGTCAGATGGATCTTGGAGTGATCAACTACCTCAATGTACACGTAGGTATCTTTTTATCCCCATGTTACAAACTTATCCCCATGTTACAACCGACAGCCGTGAATGATATGTGGTAAAAACAAACAATTTTATTTCATTATTGATTGTGTAATATCTTTGTCCCTACGTACGACTTGATGGCCTCCTTTCTTTTGTAATCTTTTTCCATTGATCCATCAAATCTGTCAAACGAGTTTTCTACTTTTAATCTTTAACTTTTTTAAGGTAAAACGTGTGCTGATCCTGGTGACTTAAGACATGGCATTCGACAATTGTCATCTCAGCCAATTTATTGTGGATCATTTGTGGAGTACACTTGTGACATTGGTAACAAACTCGATGGTAACCTCCGGCAGACGTGTCTCTCGAACGGAAAATGGAGTGGAAGCAAGCCAACTTGCAATAGTAAGAAAATGTGTTTTGCTCCCGGTTCCCTCCCCTTACTGTGCAGATTAAGCCTTTACAACAACTTTGTTTCAATAGTCATTAATTGTGGAGATCCTGGACAACCTAAAAATGGAAACACCGTAGCTGCTGACGGCTATACGTATGGAAATGATGTGAGATTTTCTTGCAATGACAACTATGTCTTAGAAGGCAGTGCTGTGGCAACATGCGAGATCAATGAAAAATGGTCAAGAAGTCTTCCTGTCTGTTTGGGTACGTTGATAAATAGTTCACTAAAGTTTGTGCAGTTATTGCATAACGTTATTTTTTCCTGATTAACTTACAGAAAGATGCTCAGACCCATCGGGGAAAACCAATGCAATAGTTACAGGTAGCAAATTCTACCATGGAAAAACAGTCATGTTCACCTGTCGTAAAACCCACACGCTAGTTCCAGGCAAAAACAAAAGATTGACTTGTGAAAATGGTGAATGGAGAGGCACCATTCCAACATGTAAAGGTTCGTAAAAATGACCGGGAGAAGTTTCTTTGAATTTCGTACAATGAAACTTCTCCTTTTTCAGAAAATATGAAATGACCATTGTAAACGCACCCGCTAAAGAGGAAAAACCTGTTTTACAAAATTTTGCATTAAGGTCATGAATTCAAAGACATTTTCAGTGTTACAAGAATTGAAAAAGCACTCAGCTTCTGAGATAATTTTCTTTAGCTATGTGTCTTGATGTGCCTAAACTATCCAATGGCCACGTGTATATGAAGTCACGAGAACATGGCTCAACTGTAACATTTCGATGTAAGAAAAATCATCAGCTAATAGGAAATGAGAGATTTTCTTGCAACGATGGTCGATGGTCTAGTGCAATGCCAAAATGTCTGGGTAAGTTGTAGTATAGCATACTTTTTTTACATTGAAAATACTGAGAAACCATTGAAAGAACTCGTACATTTGACACTTGATATCATTTATTACTGGTGTACTGGTAGGGGCAGAGGGAGCGAAAGCCCCCCCCCCCTAGAAAAAATGCTGGGTAGACAAAGCCAGTTGGCATTATTTGCTGGAAAGTTGGGTAAATTAGTTCATTTAAGATAGAAAATGTTCCGACCACCCCCTTAAAAAATGTCGTGTTGTCCTGTCACTTATGGAGGTGCCATTCATGTTCGATGTGTTATTGCGACAAAAAAGCGATGGAAAGCTAAGTCTTTTTACCTTGTAAAGCCAGTTGCCAAACTGCTCCATTGTTGTTGTTCTATTTAAAACTTTGTTAAACCTGGTTGACAAATTCGGTTCGACTCTGTTTTTTCAGCGATTTGCCCCACTATCAGGAGTTTACAAAACGGTTGGGTGTTTGGTGAAAGATATTTGGACGGCGACCTTTTAAGTTTTCGTTGTCGTCCTGGTTATGTTTTGGACGGAGAAAGCTCAATAAGATGTACTAAAACACGTCAATGGAATGCAAGTAAACCAGTTTGTCGAGGTGTGTTATTGTTGATTGCTTGAGCATAATTGATCCGGAGAAAACCATTGCACTCTTTTTATAATTATTTTTTTACTTGTCTTCATCATTATTTACATTAAAGAAAATGGTTTGAACCGGGGAGTATCGTTACATGTTTGTAAATGTAGATCGTCCAGGTTTGTATAGTCCTGAGAAGGACAAAAATTGACTCTGAAGATTACTACCGCTAAGGTTGTCGAAACGTCAGTCAACAACAACAAAAACAGTCCTTCTCAGGACTATACCAACCTGGGCGATCTACATTTACAAACATGTAATTATTTACATTGAATACACAACTTCGTAACTTTATGCCTCAAACAATACATGAAAAATAAGGATTTAGAAGACAAGCGTTATGCATGGCATTCATCGTTTTCATGTTTTTCTTTTATTCAGCCCCATGCTCCAAACAGCGAGCACCATTGCATGGTCGAGTTACTCGTGATGGTTTCAAACATCAAGAACAAATATCATTCGAATGTAATGGAGACTATCATCTAGAAGGCAGAAATGTCTTGACCTGCTTTGATGGTGCTTGGAATGATAATCCTCCAAAATGTTTAGGTAGATAATAGCTGGTGATGATGAACATGTTAAATGTTTGCGACCTTGCATGCAAAGATTGAGTGAGTTTAGTTTTAGCAATGAAAAACATCTTGTTTGTTGGATTACAAATTATGGTACGATATCATTGATGACACCTAAAAGTAATAATTTGACTTTCCAGCTCCTTGTCTGCCGTTTAATAATCCTCCATTTCTTGGTGGATCTTTGCAAAGAGCTGGTTTCAGACATGGAGAGTTGACGATATTCAGTTGTCGGGATCCTTTAGTTGTGGATGGTGAAGACACTTTACGTTGTAATAATGGCCGATGGAATCATCCAACTCCCAGATGTGCTGGTAAAAAATTTGTTTGTCATGTGACAAACTGCTCAATACTAACATGACGGACTATGGATTCATTTGTTTTCCAATAGGTCCATGCACTAAACTGGCAGCTCCAGAAAATGGCTTTATTTTCAAAAACGGTTTTAAACACGGAGAAACAATAACATTTAGATGTCGACCTGGTTATCAAATTGTAGGCATAGACAGAAGAAAATGTAATTTTGGCGAGTGGAGTGATTCAACGATGCCACGCTGTGAATGTAAGTCGTGTTAAACGCAATGAAAACAACAAATAAAGTGTTCAGATTGATTTGTGAAGATTTGACGTATTTTATACAAGCTTGAAATGTCTGTTTTTTAGTACAATGTCCTGATCCTCAAGAACAACGAGTGCACACGTTAGGGAAATGAATTTTATGAGGGCAAGCGAGTTGAATTTGTTTGCAGAGAAAATGAAATCATGGAACCGTCTGTTTCTAAGCGACTGACATGCACAGGAGGAGCTTGGAACGGTGTCATACCATCATGTAAAGGTAATAAAGATATTTTATTTCCTTAAAATCCATTTAAAATTTACAAACTTTATATCATCCGATGAAATTACAAGGTCAGGATCAAAGTCATTTTGATTGCATGATACATGAGCTAAGTAACGAATAGAATTGAATTTCTGAACAAATTTCACATCCTTAAGCGGAAAAGAAATGAAAAAGTGACTGTGACCACTTTAATAGCACCGTAAGCCTGTAACTCAATCCCATGCAACATAAATAATGAAATTTCATTCATTGAACAATTTTAATTGAACTGTTGAAAAATATCTGCTGAGGTTTTGTCCAAAATAACCAGCTATACAACATTATGAACTTAGAATAGTATATTGATATCAGGCTCTCTATTAACATAAGTAGACAAATTGTTTTATTTCACTTTTTTTCTATGTGAAAACTAACGTATTTTATAAAAACTCGAGTATCTGCTTTTTAGTAGACAGAAATGTCTTCACCTGCTTTGATGGTGCTTGGAATGATAATCTTCCAAGATGTTTAGGTAGATAGCTGGTGATGATGAACATGTTAAATGTTTGCGTCCTTGCATACAAAGATGGAGTTAGTTTAGTTTTAGCAACGAAAAAGCTCTTGTTTGTTGGATTACAAATTATGGTACGATATCATTGATGACACCTAAAAGTAATAATTTGACTTTCCAGCTCCTTGTCTGCCGTTTAATAATCCTCCATTTCTTGGTGGATCTTTGCAAAGAGCTGGTTTCAGACATGGAGAGTTGACGATATTCAGCTGTCGGGATCCTTTAGTTGTGGATGGTGAAGATACTTTACGTTGTAATAATGGCCGATGGAATCATCCAACTCCCAGATGTGCTGGTAATATATTTGTCTGTCATGTGACAAACAAACTGCTCAATACTAACATGACGGACTATGGATTCATTTGTTTTCCAATAGGTCCATGCACTAAACTGGCAGCTCCAGAAAATGGCTTTATTTTCAAAAACGGTTTTAAACACGGAGAAACAATAACATTTAGATGTCGACCTGGTTATCAAATTGTAGGCATAGACAGAAGAAAATGTAATTTTGGCGAGTGGAGTGATTCAACGATGCCACGCTGTGAATGTAAGTCGTGTTAAACGCAATGAAAAACAACAAATAAAGTGTTCAGATTGATTTGTGAAGATTTGACGTATTTTATACAAGCTTGAAATGTCTGTTTTTTTTAGTACAATGTCCTGATCCCTCAAGAACAACGAGTGCACACGTTAGGGGAAATGAATTTTATGAGGGCAAGCGAGTTGAATTTGTTTGCAGAGAAAATGAAATCATGGAACCGTCTATTTCTAAGCGACTGACATGCACAGGAGGAGCTTGGAACGGTGTCATACCATCATGTAAAGGTAATAAAGATATTTTATTTCCTTAAAATCCATTTAAAATTTACAAACTTTATATCATCCGATGAAATTACAAGGTCAGGATCAAAGTCATTTTGATTGCATGATACATGAGCTAAGTAACGAATAGAATTGAATTTCTGAACAAATTTCACATCCTTAAGCGGAAAAGAAATGAAAAAGTGACTGTGACCACTTTAATAGCACCGTAAGCCTGTAACTCAATCCCATGCAACATAAATAATGAAATTTCATTCATTGAACAATTTTAATTGAACTGTTGAAAAATATCTGCTGAGGTTTTGTCCAAAATAACCAGCTATACAACATTATGAACTTAGAATAGTATATTGATATCAGGCTCTCTATTAACATAAGCAGACAAATTGTTTTTATTTCACTTTTTTTCTATGTGAAAACTAACGTATTTTATAAAAACTCGAGTATCTGCTTTTTAGTAGACAGAAATGTCTTCACCTGCTTTGATGGTGCTTGGAATGATAATCTTCCAAGATGTTTAGGTAGATAGCTGGTGATGATGAACATGTTAAATGTTTGCGTCCTTGCATACAAAGATGGAGTTAGTTTAGTTTTAGCAACGAAAAAGCTCTTGTTTGTTGGATTACAAATTATGGTACGATATCATTGATGACACCTAAAAGTAATAATTTGACTTTCCAGCTCCTTGTCTGCCGTTTAATAATCCTCCATTTCTTGGTGGATCTTTGCAAAGAGCTGGTTTCAGACATGGAGATTTGACGATATTCAGTTGTCGGGATCCTTTAGTTGTGGATGGTGAAGATACTTTACGTTGTAATAATGGCCGATGGAATCATCCAACTCCCAGATGTGCTGGTAAAAAATTTGTCTGTCATGTGACAAACTGCTCAATACTAACATGACGGACTATGGATTCATTTGTTTTCCAATAGGTCCATGCACTAAACTGGCAGCTCCAGAAAATGGCTTTATTTTCAAAAACGGTTTTAAACACGGAGAAACAATAACATTTAGATGTCGACCTGGTTATCAAATTGTAGGCATAGACAGGAGAAAATGTAATTTTGGCGAGTGGAGTGATTCAACAATGCCGCGCTGTGAATGTAAGTCGTGTTAACATCTGCTGAGGTTTTGTCCAAAATAGCTAGCTATACAACATTATGAACTTAGAATAGTACATCGATATCGGGCTCTCTTTTAACATAAGTAGACAAATTTTTTTTATGTCACTTTTTTTCTATGTGAGAATTAACGTATTTTACAAAAACTTGAGTATCTGCTTTTCAGTGCGATGTCCTGATCCCTCAGGAACAACGAATGCCCAAATTGTAGGAAATCAATTTTATGATGGCAAGCAAGTGGAATTTGTTTGCAGAAGCAACGAATACTTGCATCCGTCTGTTTCCAAGCGACTGACATGCACAGGAGGAGCTTGGAATGGTGTCATACCATCATGTAAAGGTAATAAAGATTTTTAATGTCCATAATCGTTTCTATACCGTTGTATTTATATTGCACATGTTAACGAATTACTAAACATGTGAATTTTTAGTGAAGACAACTACTGAAAGAATTTCAACAACAACGACGCCGACTCCTATCAAAACAACGTTGTTTACCACTGAAAGGATGACAACCAAAGGTAATAGTGTCTTTTCTAACATGTATAGCAGAATTGTAAAATTTTAATGTAGCTAGGATATGATTAGTCAAGCAACCGATCACAGTTTCGAGTTGATTTTGTACTAGTTAAATTTACTTTTTGCAAAGGATTGTTAAAGACTTGTCCTGAAGTCAAATTAAGAAAAGGAAAAGTTTTCGGCAGGGGCGTAACTCCTGGCTCGAAAAGATCATTCGAATGCTGGAAAAATTGGGTTTTAGAAGGTGAAGAAGTTATCAAATGTTTAGCATCTGGCCAATGGAATGCAACAATACCAAAATGTGTGCCCACAGGTGACGAAATACTTTTTATTTTGAAATATAGATTATAGAAAATCTTACTGCATGAAGCATATAACGTGTTTCATTGTATTCCATGATGCTTTTTCTGTCGTATGTTTTGTCAGCAAATGTGCCGACCTTTGTATAAAATGTAAAAAATACTGTCATTGCTGATCTTTTGAAAGGACCGAGAGTGAGCTGTCCAGTTATTGGAAAGATCAAAGGAGGATATGCAACACTTAATGAATCTCATCATGGCGGTAGAGTGACGTTTCGTTGTCTTAAGAATTATAAAATGGAGGGGAAACGTATTATCTTATGCCGAAGTGGAAAATGGAGCAGATCTCCTCCAAAGTGCCTTGGTAAGTTTCCTCATCTTGTCTGAACGATGGCTGGTCGTTCTAACTTACAATATTGATAATAAAATATGTGTATTATGAGTAGATGCCCGATGATAGAACGAAAAAAACTCTATGTAATTCAATGATTTTCTTATCTAACAGCGACGTGTATGGATCTCGGTGCACCTCCGAATGGTTTGATAAAATATAAAAGTGGACACTATCAAGATGACCTCATAATTTTTGGTTGTCATCCTGGCTATGTTATTCAGGGACAAAAATACTTGCAATGTAATGAAGGAAAATGGAGCAATGCCGTGCCGACCTGTGTAAAAAAAAGCCAAACCTGAGGAGTTCAATGTATCTAGAGATACAAAAACATCAATTTCCTTTCAACAATTTTGACATATGACGTTATAATTTTATATAAGCTTTAAAAGTATTATAGAGTCTAGTTTCTTTTTACAAAACTGCCATCCGGTACATTTGATTAGAAACCTATAGATAGCAATAGAGGCCTATCTTTTGTATGATTTATGCATTAATTTTCACGATTTTTTGCGCAGTTGACGTGCTTATAGGGTCATGCCACCTGCTATAACATTTTAGCCCTGTTTTTTTTGCTTAAGATGGTTCGGGAATCAAACTCAACTACCATTCACCCATTAGCTCCCAGATATATTCACCGTTTTTTTCTTCATGAGGGAAACCGGCGTATTGAATATTTATGCAATGTTTTACCGGAGGAAAATCCTCGTTTGGATGCTCATTGCTCAAACCTCGCCTACATTGTTTACGAGTTATCTTTACAACCAAATCTTGCATTGAACTATATTTTTACGACCTCACTTATATTTACAAAAGCCGTTACCCTGTGTTTCTATTTTTACAAGATTTTTTAAATATATAGTTTTCAACGAAGCAGCATACACCAATAAAAAATTGCTTGATGGCAGGCACACGTTCCCACTCAAAAAAATCCGAATTTGGCAATTCTCTATAACGCCATTTTTGAGCTGCTTTTAGCTAGCTATTGTGCTGTTTGTTGCGTTTGTGTTTAAAAATATATTCATCAGACAACGAAGATTCTTCATAAAGACGCGGCTCTCTCGTATATTTCTCACTACATCGTTTTTCAATATATCGTTTTGAAATATTTTTGAAAATATTGTTTATGATTTTTTAAATACTATATTAACGCTTTTGTAGTTTGCAAGGTTCAAAGTTTGACTAAACACGAAGAATCGAAATGGTTAAAGAAATCCCCATGAAGAAGAATAGTTCAGACTTTAAGTAAGTTTAACTTATGCAGCTTTTTGAAAACGCTTTGTTGCAGCATTTTCATATTTCAAGTTCTTCGCCATTTTTTTTTGTTTATATATTTCTTATTGCAAAGTCTCGTGAATATTAATTTCTAGATGTTATTTATATTTAAAAACCTAAAACACGTACCACCAAAGTTCAAAGAAAACCATGCGTATTCCTTTGAGTTATAAAATAAATCGTACATCCCGATGATCAGATAATTATCTTATTATAATCAGGGACAACCAAACAAACATATCTTGCCACCTGTAAACAATGAAAATAGATTAACAAAACGAAAAAAATCCATCGTTAAACTCAAAAGCAATGCGTAGCCAGTTCGTTTATCTATTACTCCTGAGTACTCGCAGCCGCTTTGTAAATTTTTCTGTGTTTACAGTTTACTCACTATGGAAACAAGAAGCTTGTAGTAAAATGTAAATTAATGATGTTCGCAAATTTTACATTGGCAATTGAAGGAGAAAATATATTTCAGGCTGGCTACACGAGTGGTTGAAAGTCGGGAAAATGATATGGTGCAATTGTAAAACTAAATGCGCAAGACACTCGTTCGTCACTATGTCAAACAGCTCAAGTAAAGCATTCTAAAAGAAATTTTGTTATTGATCAACATCTTATTTCTCCTTATTTGGTTTTAAATACTAAACACAAAGCAGGCATTTGACATTTCCTGTGATTTTGATTTCCCACTGAGTCAGCAATTAGCAAATACAATCAAAGAACACAAGCTCGTATACTTAAAATCACTTTTGTTCAATTCATCAATTATGTCCTCAAAATACGAGAAAAAAAGATGAATACAATCTCTTTAAAATCCATTTATTTCGGTAAGAAAATTTATTTGTTCTCAGTTTTGGCATATTGTTTACCTCAACTAAAAACGACATTCAACTATTCGCATTTTTCTCTTTGAAAATCATTCCGATGATCATAGCAACGGTTTCATTATGAGAGGATATGTACTGCTTGTGAAAACAATTTATGTCGAAAGACCAATATCAAATTTTACGATGAAATATCTGTTAAAGTAAAATTTATCATTTGATTTTGTGCATTCTGAATTTTTACATGTCACACTTATTTGAGTTAGTATGGTATCCATTCAACCGGTGTTTGTTTTTTTGAATGTGTGTTGACAGAAAAATACTAGGTTATTTAATTTATATCTACTATATGTTTTTATAAACCACACAAAAACTGTTTTGTAATTGAGTTAAACGTTAAAACAACTCGTTCGTTTCAACATTAGTTTACGTATGTTGCTTACCCCTGTGTAACGTCAGTCTCAGTCGTACTTGCTTTGTATAAATGTTTTTAAGAAAAAGAACATTTCAGGGAGTCATGCTTTGATTGCTTTCAGTCAGTATTATCCATTTTTTTCTGTGTTGACTGTGGTTTCATTTTAGCTGGTATTTAACTATCAAAATTCTTTGAAATCTTTACATTTTTGTGTGGTTTCTGTTTCACTTTGGAAATGATGTTCATTATATTGACAAAGCTAATGATTTGTGTTTGTGTTGTAGAATTGACCAAAAATTGTGTTGTGTAAATTCCTTAATAATGCCAAAGTTATTTTTCATTTTTTTAGTTACTTTGCTCAACTTTGTTGTAAGAAGTCAAACTGAATTCCTATCATTTAACAAGACGTCAGTTGAAGCAGGACCTCTAGAGCTTACTCAGGATTTTGAGCTTTCATTCAGAACTTGTAATGGTGGCACATTGCTTCGACAGGGTGGCAATGATAGTTTTTTTGAACTTGAGGTACTTCCAGGAAGAGGGATTAAAGAAATGAACTTCACAATCAGTTCTTTAGCTGTACGATGGCAGGTTTCTGGAAAGCCTAATATATCAATGGTAACTTTAGGAATGGGTTTGGATCAAAATAAACCCTATATGATCAGGTTTACCCCTCACATCAACAATGCCACAATATCTGTGAGTCTTGGTGAGGAGGCTAGTCAGGTTACTTTACCTGGTGAAATATTTAATGTTAGTAGTGAAAAGTTAATATTAGGCCAGAATTTTATTGGTTGCATTGATTTTGGTAAAAGATTTAATTTAACTAATGCAAGCAATGGACCAATGAAGAACTGCCATTTGAATAGTGGGGAAAGATGTGTCAGAGGTAATGCTCTATTATGAAATACATCAATGTTTCTATGTGTAGATTTGAAATATTCCATTAAACATGTTGTGCTCAGAAAATTTCATGGCTTAAGAAAAGCGAATGATGAATGATGTATTTCTTTGCTCATAGTTTTAAAGTCACTCCAAATATATAAGTACTTTCTTTCACTTTTCTAGTACCATGTCAACTAGGCTTCAAAGGTTTTTATTGTGAAGAAAACATCAATGAGTGTGCCTCACACCCATGTCACCATGCTTCAACATGTGTAGATGGTTTCAACAATTATACATGTCATTGTGGTAGAGCATGGTATGGTAGGAACTGTGACCAACTCAAAGAGGAGAGGTTATGTAAAAGCATAATGTGTGCAAACGGTGGAATTTGTAGGCATATCTCAAACTTCAACAACTACACTTGTGACTGTGTCCCTCCTTACACTGGGATAAATTGTACTGAAGAATTGAATCCATGTGCCAGCTCTCCATGCTTAAATAATGGGAATTGTTCAAATATTGGTAAAGAAGAGGATTTTGAATGCAATTGTTCAAGAGGTATTGAGAATTAACAAAAAATAGTTCTCCTTGCACAGGAATTAAAGGATCTAAGTAGTTATATGTGCATGTTTACTGGATGAAAACAGTTGCTTTCAAAACAAAGTCTTAATGCACAGCAAAAAAATGAGTATTTTCTCTTTTCACAAATTATTTAAACTGATGGTGCTATTGATGTAGTTCTGTCTTAGCCAGTTGGATCTCCTTTTGTGTGCAATATACGGTACTTATGACTATTGCCTGAACTGAAAATTGCGTATTTTCAACACAGATCTTAAGTTAGCTTAATGATCGAAGTCAAATTTTACTGCTAGTTAAAAAATATTAGGTGTCTCAAAAGTATAACAGAACTAAATTTGATGCTCATTTGTATTCTATTTCTTTTCAGGATTTCGTGGAAAGACATGTGATGTTAACGTTGATGATTGTGCAATAGCTGACTGTGGCACTGGAAAATGTGTTGATCTTATTGCAAATCACTCTTGCAACTGCACAGGAACTGGATTCATCGGTAAATCATAAATACATCACTCTCTTGCAATTACGACGTAACAATTAAGATACTCTGGTGATTTATACAAGTAATTTGCAAGCCAAATTATCTAAAAAACAACGTTTTCATTGAACAATTTAGCCATAAAAGTTGTTTTTGAAGTCATGCGTGGCGCCTGGTGATGATTGTTATACATTAACTGCAGATTTCAATGAAATTAGTGCACAATACCACTGACTTTTCTCTTTAAAAAGACGTTACTGGATTGACGTCAAAGCTACGTAGCAACAATGATTGATGTAACTAAGAGAGCTACTGATTAATGACAATATGGAAAAAACTGTTTTTGGGTACATCGTTATTGAACAATGGGGGGGGGAGGAGCATTTTATACGTTTAGATCTTATACAACGTTGTAAAGCATAATTGAACAATGTAGAGTCGAATCTTTAGGGTATATTTGTACATTGCAGGGAATGAATGTGAAATTGATATCAACGAATGTGACGATTCACCATGTATGAATAGAGGCAATTGTTCTAACTTTGCTGGAGGATATTTGTGTACATGTGATGGATATAAAGGGAAAAACTGTGCAATAGATATTGATGAATGCGAGAATGATAAAATGTTATGTGGGAATAACGGTACCTGTTTGAATACAAATGGGAGTTTTTATTGTAAGGTATGAACGTAAATAATCACTTGGTAATTTATAAATTTCTATTTCTTTTTTGATTTGTGAGGTGTGAACGTAAATAATCACTTGGTAATTTATAAATTTCTATTTCATTTTTGATTTAACTATTGTCGACATTGCTTCGTCATTTCAATGTTATGTTGTCGATGAAGTGAGTTATTTTATGTCATTTGACGTAACGAGTGACGTCATTTAACATTATTGATGACTTACGCAACGTGGAAAAGATGAGGGGGAATTTATTATTAAAATTTATTTCACACGTCGATGGTATGTTTTATTCTTACTCAATCATCCTTTGACAGTGCGACAAAGGCTTTACTGGCAAATACTGTAATGAAGACGTAACTCTCTGTAACCCCAATCCATGTAAGAATGATGGGATATGTCACAATTCTACAGTTAATTCAACGTCAGAGAGTGGCAACTCAAGTTTTATTGTTGCAAACTATACCTGCATGTGCCAACCCGGCTGGAGAGGTCGGAACTGTACGGAAGATATCGATGAATGCCGCGAAAATATTGGTAAGTGACGTGTGTATGTTAGCAATGTAGGATGAGGTTGGGTTGGTGTGGGATATTTTGGTGAAACTTTTTTATAAAATCGTAAAACAAAACAATGTGCTCATACTTCATCTTTAAATTATTGTTTGTTTCAGCTCCGTGCAACGCAAGCAACAACGGTTCTTGTATAAATACCATTGGTGGTTTTGAATGTGAATGTCTGCCAGGTTACGATGGAATTCCTTGTGTAGATATCGACGAATGTCTGAACAATAAAACGTGCAACGAACAAGGGACATGCGAAAATAGAATCCCTCAAGAAAATGGGGAAAAATTTAAATGTAGTTGTTTTAATGGCTTTTCGGGTAAAGTTGCAGCTTAGTTCTTGTTATATGTTTTAAAATATTGTTCACTTCAAATATAGTCTTCTTTGGTCATTTATCTTAAATTTTGTCACATAGTTATGCTAATTTTTACAAAAGCACATTGAAACTTTTTGACCAGTCCGATTTGTTGTTCAGTTCATAAGAATTAAATTTATGCACGTACAATTACATTAACACAGGTAAAAGCCAATGATGCTTGTGTGTTTCCCTAGGTGATACCTGTGAAATAGACGTTAATGAATGTGTTGATCAAAGAATTGGAATGTTTCACACAAGATGCAACAATGGTACATGCATTAACGGACCTGGTTATTTCACGTGTAATTGTTACCGTGGTTGGATGGGTGAATTTTGTGATGTAGACATTGACGAATGCAATGTTGGTGGATACTGTCAGAACTTTGTCAGATGTGACAACACTCTGGGGAACTACAGCTGTATTTGTGAAGATGGATTCAATGGGTTTAACTGCACGAACGACATCGATGAATGTGAACTTTATCAACCTTGTAATACAACCGGAGCAAAAAGATGTATTGATTCTGTGAACAACTATACTTGCATATGTCGCGAAGGTTACACGGGTATGTTTGTCACTTATGTTATTTACGCTCATTCGTATAGCTTGAACTTTCTCTGCAATGGTTTTGAGTTGTTTTCATAATCGGAAGTACGCGTGGGACCGCGAGTAAATTGCTATTGTACTACTGTCTTGTCTTTAAACTGGATTTCAAATTATCTAAAATACAATTTTCAACGTGCTCATGATAAAATTGTTTAGAAATTCTGTTTATTAAATAGTCCCTGGGAAATTTTTAACAAATGATCGTGTTATTTTAGTGCTGTAAGACAAAAACATTATAATAACGTTTTTTCTTACTATTTGTAAAGGCCGTAACTGCAGCGAAGATGTGAACGAATGTGAAACTGAACGTCCATGTATGAATTCCTCTGATTGTATCAATATGTATGGAACTTATCGCTGTGTCTGCAACGAAACGTTCACTGGGAGAAATTGCGACATTATACTCAACCCTTGTGATACATTGAGCCCATGTGATAACAATGCAATCTGTAATGTGACGTCAGACTATAACTATACCTGTACCTGTACTGAAGGATTTGCTGGAAGACAATGTAAAAACTCGACTATCGTAGGGTTTGATGGGACATCTTCAATGACTGTTGATATCTCCGAAGCGCCATCGAATATATCGTTTAGTTTTCAAACCATATTTGCAAATGGTGTTCTTGTATCGCAATCCGGTTTATGGACTCTATTTCTTACGAACGGTCAGATTCGGCTGACTTGTGATACAGTGTTGACGATGTGTAACGTTTTGGGGGATCTAAACGAGTTCACGGACTCAAACTGGCATCAAGTCAGTGTAAACTTGAATGGCTCACTTATCTCTGTTCATGTTGATTCTAATGAATCATGTTCCCTAACATGTCTTAGTTCATCACGTCGAAGACGAAATGCCGACACATCCAAACAACTTGTCGTTGGGGCTGGTGGTGATAACTTGCCGAATTTTATCGGCAGCATACGAGATTTTGCTGTAGATGACAGGAAGTATTACCCAGGTAAGTGCAATTTCTTTTGTTCATTGTCATAAGTACTTTAGAATTCTTGTTTTTTATACATATGGAGAGTGTAAAATAGAACAACAACTTCGTAATGATTTTGCTGTCTCTCGAACTAATAATTGGCGAATATCTTTTGTTGATTGGTAGGCGTTGATGAAGTTATTTCAAAGGGAGTAGTGTCTGGGCATGATCGCCAAGAGGTCTGTTCGCCTAATCCATGTGTTAATGGCGAATGTATTGATCTTTGGACAAGATATTCATGTAAATGTTTTAGAAATGTTACAAAAATCAACTGCTCCGATTGTAAGTATTCTACGTTTCATTCGTCTACTTGTTGTTTTGAAAAGAATCTGCATTTGAAAGCTCACAGTCCTGTTGTTTTGGGTTTACTTCACCCATCGACCTCGTCGTGTTTTTTTTTAGATGTTTATGCACTTAAATTACTTTATTGTTGAACTTGAAATGTAGACAATAATCTACCTCCAGCGCTAATAAACTTATAAAAGTGTTGCAATTGACGAAGTTTGTGTGTTGAAATTCAACTCTCCATTGAATTTTTATTTCAATAGGTTTATCTCCATGCTCTGGTCAGTGTCAACATTTATACGGTGGGGAAAACTGTGAATATTATGGATGTGAGTGACTTGAAAATCGCTGTCATGAACAATTTGTGGGAAGGCAGATAATTTTATATATCGTCTTTTAGGTATAAGTGAGGCGACGTTTCATCAATCTTTGGTGCATTTCACAAACTCGTCTCAATTGTCAGAGATTACAAACCTTTTAGTACAATTTCGTACGCGTCAGAATAACACGGTCATTCTGTCCAGCGTCCATAATGTGTCGTACTTTTTAATATTAATACAAAATGGTCGTGTCGTGGTGAGGTACAAATTTTCTGATAATGCAACTGGAAATGTTAGCATTGGTGAGAGTCTTTTCTTATCTTTTTTAGTCTGTCTTTTTGTAAAGATGTAATTTCATATTAAAACTTTATTCTTTACACGTCGGTGTGGTGATCTCATTGGAGGGGACGTCGACTTCTAATGAATGATGTTACCACTTAAGTTCTTCTTTACTTCCTTTTTCTAGTTTTCATCAGATTTTGATACAAACCATGTAGTCCTTATTCTATTACTCTGTCTTCCTTTGTCACAAACTTGAAATGAATATGTTTTGGTGATTCTTTTCTTAATTTTTAGATGGTGTTGTTTCTGATGGAAATTGGTACGAATTAAAGATCAGTTCGCAATCATCTGTTACTCACTTCAATATCTCCACATTGAATCATACAAACTTTGCTTTCACTCGTCGTGTTAGCTCCAAATATCAGAACATTTTGCTGCTCAACAAAGATCTCACTAATCTTATAGCGGATGGTGGTGTATATGTTGGATCGTCTCCTGCAATGAACACGTTTCATGATGATTTTAGTGGTTGTATTAGGGAAGTAAAATTGGGTGAAAATCTTTTGACGTTTTTTTCGCCAGCAACTCTCAACTCTACGCAAGCCAAAACTGCATTCTCTATTGAAAAAAGAGTAAATATCAGTAATGGTTGCCATAGCAGAAACCTGTGTAACACCACGGAACCACCATGCAACAATGGTAGATGTATACCTGATTGGAATACGTTTACATGTGAATGTCCAGATGGTTATCGTGGTAAACAATGCCAAATTGATCCATGCACTGATTCCCCTTGCGTTCATGGCTCGTGCTCAGTGCGTGGTTCAAGCTATGAATGCACGTGTAACAACAGTTACGTGGGGGATATTTGTAATGAAACATGTTATGAAGCTTATTGTCAAAATGGTGGTAAGTGTATGATTGCAGGCACGCAGCGTACGTGTAATTGTCCCTCTAATTGGACCGGCATGCTTTGCGGCACTTCATTACCACGTGACGATGATGATGATGATGATGATGATATGTTACCATTGATAATAGGAGTATCCGCTGGTGGCGGAGTTTTATTGCTATTTATTATTGTTGTCTTATGTATATGCACACGTAAATCAAGCTCTTCATTTGGAGTGTATAGTCCGAGCATCGAAGAGAAGACTGGGGCAAAGCTTGAAATGAATTCCGTACTTAATTTGCCTCCCCCGGAAATATTGATTTAGGTTACTTAGTTTTGGAAAATTTAATTATTTAGTGAAGAAATCTATTTGTATATATCACAAATGTTACACGGGTTATGTCAGTTACTTGTATTATTTAAAGTCACTTATGTATAACTTGACCTTGTACAACAAAAGTTGTAAGTAGTTTTCAAAAAATTAAAAGTACACATTAGGACAGCGTGGGATCGTAAGGAATTCGGTATTGTACCGTCTCAAATCTTGAATTTCATAGCGTTAAAAATACAATCTCATCTTATGATTGAAGTATTGTTGATGAACAGTCGTTGTAAAAATTGGAGAAATGAGCTCGTCCTCAAAAACAAAGCCATTTTTGCACTGATGTTATCTTTTATAAAATTTTACATCATTTACGTTATGTCTTAATGTTTGTAAAGGTCGTAACTGCAGTGAAGATATCAAAGAATGCCAAAGAACTGAACCTCGGTGTACCGAAAATAGAAGCAACCAATGGCCATGTGCGCCATTGAACCCGTGTGACAACAATGGCATCTGTAATGTGACGTCAGACTGCAACTATACCTGTACCTGTACCGAAGGATTTGCTGGAAGACAGTGTAAAAACTCGACTGTCTTAGGGTTTGATGGGAGATCTTCGATGACTGTCAATATCTCCTCGGAAATATCAAATGTATCGTTAAGTTTTCGAACCATATTTCCAAATGGTGTTCTTGTATCGCAATCCAGTTTATGGACTTTGTTTCTTACAAGCGGTCAGATTCGGCTGACTTGTGGTGAGATGTGTAACATTTCGGGAGGCCCAAACGAGTTCACGGACTCCAACTGGCATCAAGTCAGCATAAACTTGAATGGTTCAACGATCTTTGTTCATGTTGATTCTAATCAATCATGTTCCATTACAAATTGTCTTAGTTCGTCACGTCGAAGACGAGATGCCGACACATCCAAACAACTTGTCGTCGGGGCTGGTGGTGGTAATTTACCGAATTTCATCGGCAGCATCCGAGATTTTACTGCAAATGACATAAAGTATTACCCAAGTAAGTATGAAGCTACAATTCCTTTTATTTCTTGTCATTAATCCTTCTGCAAATCTTTGCGCATTTTTAGTACAAAGTTGCTAGGCGACTTTGCAGTGTTGTCATGTGTAAAGCGATCAGTACGAGAACGATATATGTTAAACTCAGCCTACATAAACGTTTTCGGGGTCAGGTGTCTGACATTTTGATGTATTTGAAAATGTGCAGCTACTTTCCATCATTCCGAGCAAACCATTGCTATCAGGTTTCAATCCTCTGCCAATGGAATATTCTATTTTGGATGTTTTATGAAATCTAGCTATTGATATTGCACTGTTTCCTAACTTCAAACATGTACTAATATATCGCGTTCGTATGATATTAGCGCAGTAAAAGCATGCAAAAAAATAGCAACTTTATCTTGTTATGACCTTTGCCGTCCTTTGACATTTTTGCAAGCCGTCGGCAACCTTCTCATATGTTAAAAGCTTCTAAGCAATTTCCTCGCAATATATGTTTATGAGAACTTGCAAACTTGACAAATTGGATAAATTTTGATATCGGAACTTTATTAACTTTTTAGATAAAATGTTACTAGGTATATGCATTTATAGATGAGCGTTCTTTTGATGCACAGACGTGGTGTTTATAGCGCGTAAATCATCGTCAAATTGTGTATGATGATTGCGTCTCCTTTAAAGTGACATGAAACGCGTTGTTTCCAAAAAGCACTTTAGTTAAATTTTCTTTGAAATTTATTAAAACTAAGGTTAGCTATTAAATATATATGTTGGACTAATAGACAAAAACATTGAGATTAGAACGTTTCAATCAAATGTGGAAATAAAGTAAATGGTTTGAACCCAGGAGTATCGTTACATGTTTGTAAATGTAGATCGTCCAGGTTGGTATAGTCCTGAGAAGGACTGTTTTTGTCATTTTGACTCTGAAGATGGCTACCGCTAAGGTTGTCGAAACGTCAGTCAACAACAACAAAAACAGTCCTTATCAGGACTATACCAACCTGGACGATCTACATTTACAAACATGTAAAAATGTGGTAAGTTGTCGAGTGTTCAATGTTTTGTATTTTACATGGTCATTCGTTATTACAAACAAAACTGGAATCGTGAAATTTAAAGGCAGTTAAATTACGTCACATAGCAACTCTCAATCTACATAACAGCGTCGAACCAATATTCAAAATAGCAAATTTCAAATATCAAATACAGCAAATAACCTTGTGTTCCCAACTAGATACTGACCGAAAATTCTTTTTTTTTTGTAAATTTAGACGACGTAATCGTTAAATAAAACTGTTTTCTAGTGTTTGCTGTCTCTCAGCATAAATTGACGAGTGCTTTTATTTTTTGTAGATGCTCCTAGAGTTGATTCAAACGGAGTAGAGTCTGGGTACGAACGTCGTAACGTCTGTTTCTCTAATCCATGTATGAATGGCAAATGTGTTGATCTTTGGACAAGATATTCTTGTGAATGTGATGGAAATTATACAGGAATCAACTGCTCTGAGTGTAAGCATTTTTCATTTTTCTGCTCGTTGTCTTGAAAGGTATCTGCGTTTAATGGCTCGTCATCCTTTGATTTTGCTAATTTTGGGTTGTACTTGATCTATTGATTGTGTCATGTGCCGTGTACTCTATACTCTACTGCTTTAATGCTAAAGTTTAAAAGTCCACAAAAGTCTACTTACAAGACGTTAAAAACTCGTGAAAGTTTGTGGGTCAAAATTAAACCCCGAAATTCTTTTATATATCAACAGGTTCTGTGGGTGACATTTGTAATGAAACATGTTATGAAGGTTACTGTCAAAATGGTGGTGAGTGTGTGATTGCAGGCACGCAGCGCACGTGTAATTGTCCCTCCAATTGGACCGGCATGCTTTGCGGCACTCCATTACCACGTGATGATGATGATGATGATGATTTACCATTAATAATCGGAGCTTCCGTTGGTGGCGGAGTTTTATTGTTATTTATTATTGTTGTCTTATGTATATGCACACGTAAATCAAGCTCTTCATTTGGAGTGTATAGTCCGAGAAGCGAAGAGAAGACTGGGGCAAAGCTTGAAATGAATTCCGTACTTAATGCGCCTCCCCCGGAAATATTAATTTAAGTTAGTTAGTTAGGTGAATTATAATGTAAATTTATAACTTATATCTCAACACTGCCCGTACCTGTCTTTACCAACGCGCACGGCTATGTAGACAATCTTACATCAAGGTAGACTTATTTTACCTAGCAACAGATGTTAGAGGACGAATTTATCAATGTATTTTATTCAGTTTTTGTAAATCGTGTATATACAGTCATAAAACAAAAAAACGACATGCAAAGTGTTAAAATGTGAAGCGCAGATTAATTTCAATGTTTGAGTTGTGTTTATTGTTGAATGCAAACAGTGCATCATTCTGTGCAACAATCTCCCAACATTGTCTCGTCCAATGATGAAACTCGCTCCATGCTATATGTCGTTAGCTTTACAATTTTTTGTAGCGTCCGCTATCTTTCTTTCGAGACTTTTGTTCCATGGCATAACAGTAGCAGGATTTTTGAGAAATACGTGTCCCGTTCTTCGGCCAACAAAAAGATAGGTTCCGTTCCTCAATTCAGTTTCAAAGTTTAAACCTAAACAAATGTTATATCAAAATTTAAGTAAAATCTTCATGAATAAAACCAACAAGAGCTCCGTTTGCTTACCCAAACGAACAAAACTGTAAAACATGTTTTCCTGCAGCACTTTTACGCATTTCATCCTCTTCAATTCATCTTTCCCTTTGTAAACATCATTTCCTTGAAAAACGATGTTTTGTTGGCGAAAGGCGTAGCATCTTTTCTTCCTGCTTTTCTTCAAAGAAATTGTGCTTAGATTTTGTGGAATTTTGCTGTTTGCAGATGTAGTGTTGATGGCGGTGATTTCATTTGATATTGACAAAGTGTGTGCTGTATTAGTGATGGCGTTGTTGGTTCGTTTAACGGTTTCTGTGGTTGTAGCATATTTTGCTCTATTTGACAACGATGGTGATTCTGCTGTCGTTTTGGTTGACGGCTTTGTTGTTGCTTTCGTTGACGGCTCTGATGTTGCTTTGGTTGAAGGCTTTGTTGTTGCTTTCGTTGACGGCTTTGTTGTTGCTTTCGTTGATGGCTCTGATGTTGCTTTGGTTGACGGCTTTGTTTTCGCTTTGGTTGACGGCTTTGTTGTTGCTTTGGTTGACGGCTTTGTTGTTGCTTTGGTTGACGGCTCTAATGTTGCTTTGGTTGACGGCTCTGTTGTTGCTTTGGTTGACGGCTTTTTTGTTGCTTTGGTTGGCGGCTCTGATGTTGCTTTCGTTGACGGCTTTGTTGTTGCTTTCGTTGACGGCTCTGTTGTTGCTTTGGTTGACGGCTCTGATGTTGCTTTGGTTGACGGCTCTGTTGTTGCTTTGGTTGACGGCTTTGTTGTTGCTTTCGTTGACGGCTTTGTTGTTGCTTTCGTTGACGGCTCTGTTGTTGCTTTCGTTGGCGGCTTTGTTGTTGCTCTCGTTGACGGCTTTGTTGTTGCTTTCGTTGACGGCTTTGTTGCTGCTTTGGTTGACGGCTTTGTTGTTGCTCTCGTTGACGGCTCTGTTGTTGCTTTGGTTGATGGCTCTAATATTGGTATGTTTTTTGGCAGTAGTGGAAGGAATCCACAATCTGTTAGCAAGTCAGAACCTGCACATCCAACTTTCTTTATTTTAGATACAACTTGAAATTTAAAAACTAAAAAAGATCGATGAGAAACGCGTCACAATCGTCTTCGATAACTTCTTAAAGTCTGATGTCTATTTTGTCAGCCACCCACGTCATTAACGACGTAAAAGAATGGTATTTGTCTTGGTTCAACCCCAAAGAATGACGTCAGAGATGGCATAAGTCAGTCGCATGTTTTATCTCATCATAATTAATTTTATTTTCTCGCTCAAGTGTGCACGTAACTTGCGCAGTAATCTTTTGCCGCACCTTATGCAAATAAATCTTTCAATGTGAACATAAGTTTCATCAACACATTTTATTCCTGATTTGACAATAAAGCGTTGTAAAAAATTTCGAATCATAAAATGGCACTGGAGATTTAGACCCCCATTCCAGTGACGCATTGATACAAGAATCATATTTTAGTGGTAACACAAAAGATTGTGATTATTGGCAAGATTAGGCTTTTGAGTCTTCATACTAAAGTTTCAAGAAAATTTCAAATATCATTAAGCTTGTGTAAATCATACAAAAAAGCGAATATTACATAAAAACGAGTACTTTATATAAACTCATATTCTCTGAAAAGATTCTTTTGTGAATAGTGCAATGGGCACGTTTTTATCTACTTACTAAAATCTGCGCGACATAATCTCTTTGCAAGACTTTCTTGCCGCACAAGGCCACCAGAACACGACCCGAACAAAAGCAGCAGTGTGATTATCTTGATAAACATAATTGTTCTCTTGAAAAGTTGCTACTTTCTTTGCCAAATGCGAAGCAGTTGCCCGATTTTCTAGCTCCTTTGTTTTGTGATTGTTGTTTTAAAGTCTTCCGTATTTATATGTTTGGCACCACAGGAATAATCTGCTCAGCAGCTGCGTGCAAGCGTTAAAGACATCCTGTATTGTCTTACGTAAACAAAAAAAACTGTCAAAAGTCGAAATTTTCTGTGACGTAGTCCTACAATCATACAAGGTGAACGTGATGAAAAAAATCTGTCATGCAACTACGACCCATGACTCATTATAGTGTAATCAACTGAAAACCATTGCAATAAACATTTTGTCAACATACAAGGTCCATTAACAGAAAGTGCCCTTTATGTTAATGTATTGGTATTAGACTATTAGCATATTTTGCGTACGACAAAAGAGATCCAGTTACAAAAGCGATCAGTATATCAATCCCATAGGTCCAAGGTCCGTTGCCCTCGTACCGTCTTCAAATTCTATTCGAAATAATTGAACTCGAATCTTTTTTCTTATTTACTTTACAACAATGGTAAAAGAAACGGCTCTTTATGGTAAGAATGCATTGGAAACTGTATTTGATCTAAGAGCTTTGTCAAATTAATATTTACGTAAATAATTGAGATATTTTTACTATAATGGCAACTATTGTCACAACTTAAACACGTGTGCGACACAAATTTTGACAAAAATGATTTTCTTCATTTTAGACATTTTGGAAGTTCAGCCAACTGCCTCTTCGCAAGAGCTGAAGAAGGCTTACAGAAAACTTGCCATGAAATACCATCCTGACAAAAATCCCAACGAAGGAGAAAAGGTGTTTGCCACTGGCTGTTGTTAAATCCTATCCTGATGGATGGAAAATAAGAGTTTGATTATTCTTTCAGTTTAAGACCATATCTCATGCTTATGAAGTTCTATCTGACGAGAAGAAACGTAAACTTTACGATGAAGGTGGTGAACAAGCATTGAAAGAAGGATCTGGAGGAGGCGGATTTCACAATCCCATGGATATTTTTGACATGTTTTTTGGAACAAAATCTCGTTCCAGAGAAAGAGATGTTGGTCGTGATATGGTTCATCAATTGAAGGTAAAGTAAAGCAATTACATGAAAAAGATTATCTACACTGATGCTATAGTTAATTGTTTAAAGTATCCATAGGTATCCCTAGAAGATTTATATTGTCTAATGTATCCATAGGTATCCCTTGAATATTTATATTAATTGTCTAAAGTATCCATAGGTATCCTTTGAAGATTTATATTGTCTAATGTATCCATAGGTATCCCTTGAAGATTATATTGTCTAATGTATCCATAGGTATCCCTTGAAGATTTATATTGTCTAATGTATCCATAGGTATCCCTTGAAGATTTATATTAATTGTCTAAAGTATCCATAGGTATCCCTTGAAGATTTATATTGTCTAATGTATCCATAGGTATCCCTTGAAGATTATATTGTCTAATGTATCCATAGGTATCCCTTGAAGATTTATATTGTCTAATGTATCCATAGGTATCCCTTGAAGATTTATATTAATTGTCTAAAGTATCCATAGGTATCCTTTGAAGATTGATATTAATTGTCTAATGTATCCATAGGTATCCCTTGAAGATTTATATTGTCTAATGTATCCATAGGTATCCCTTGAAGATTTATATTGTCTAATGTATCCATAGGTATCCCTTGAAGATTTATATAATGGAGCTTTGAGAAAACTAGCATTGCAAAAGAATGTCATTTGTAAACATTGCAATGGGCGAGGTGGAAAAGAGGTAATTTAAAATGGTTTACTTTATAAGCAATTTTCGCGAAGCATCTTTGTATGTTTTGTTACAGGGGGCAATAGAAAGATGTCAGCCTTGGTGGTACTGGCACTGTGACTAAACTTCACCAGATTTTTCCAGGAATGGTTCAACAATCACATTCGATATGCTTTGAATGTCGGGGTGCTGGTGAAAAGATTAAAGGTATATTTTCCATTTAAGGTCTTGCTCATGTTTGACTAAAAATTCAATTAATGAGGAAGAGATGGTTTTGTAGAAAAAGATAAGTGTAAAGAATGTCGTAAAAGATAATCGAGCAAAAAATACTCGAGGTTCATATTGATAAAGGAATGATGGATGGTCAGAAAATTGTATTTAGTGGAGAAGCAGATCAAGAACCAAATATGAAACCTGGTGATGTTGTGATCATTCTGGATGAAAAGAACATTGTACATACCAAAGGAGAAAGCATGACTTGTATTTAAACATGGAGTTAAACTTGGTTGAAGCGCTGTGTGGATTTGAGAAATATATTGAAACGCTCGATAAACGATGGCTTAAGATCAACTGTCAACCAGGGAATGTCATTAAAACAGGTGAAATCAAGATGATTTCGGATGAAGGAATGCCAATCTACAGACAATCTATCTCTAATGGAAATCTATATGTTAAATTTAATGTGGTTTTTCCTGTGGATAATTTCTTTAATGAAGATTCGATAGGAAACTTAAGAAGCTTCTACCAGAAGCAAAAAAGCCTCTCATTACAGATGATGTTGAAGAATACATTTTGCAAGACATTACTCCTCAACAACAGAACAACCAGCATTATTATGTAAGTTTATAATGATTGTGATGTATGTCAATCTTCTTGTTCACTCTCAACATTTGTTTCCTTCATTTCTTAGCAAAATGGCTTTGATGATGAGGAAGAACCACAACACTCAGGAGTGCAATGTCAGTCACAATGAAGAGTTCAGTGAAGCCAATGACTCAAGAGTTGTAAAATATACTTACAAATTACATTATAAATATTGCAAGGCTTTGGATAGCCTGCTTCTCTTGTCTGTAGTTGTTATGTAGTCATAAATATCATATATATTGGCTCATTTTGTTGATTTATACAATATACGGTAACAACCTTTCATAAGGTATAATTGAGTAACAAATTGAAGTTAAGGTTTCACACCAACTCACTAACCAATCACAATGCGTGATGTATTTGCTTAAACCTGCAATTGGGTCAGCTCTGTCCTCCTTTATTTTCGTTCACCTGAACATTTTGCTGAGTTGGCAACTAGTTTCAGTTTTCACTATCGTGAACACGGTCAAAACAAACATGGTGGAATGAATAGAGATGACAATTCCTGAAGTTGGCGGAAGTTTTCGACTTTATTTGAGGGAGTAAGCTAAGGAGCTCAACTCTGCAGTCATGTTAGAATCGTATATTACTCCGATCCTTATGAACTATGTCGACAAATACATCAGAAATCTAAAACCAAGTGATCTCAACTTATCTCTATGGGGAGGCGACGTGTCATTGACAAATTTAGAGTTGAATCTTCACGCTTTAGAAAAGGTGAACTGGAAATTAGTTGAAACGTTTTCAATGATAGAAATGTAAGCACGAAATGTGAACTCTTACACGTTTCAGCTCTTCCAGACTTCGTGACTCAATCGATTTGATATTTTAACGTTTAGAATGCATTTTTGGTTAACAAAAAAGCTTTATACTCACAAGCGACTTTTTGACGATCATTTCATTTCACAAAAAATCGTACAAAATGATTATTCACATCGCAATTTTCCTATTTTTGCTTGACATTTGTAGTATTTACAGGCACTACACTATTTTCTTAACAATTTCACAAATTTCTTGATAGGAGATCAGTTTTCCAGTGACATTTTTGAGTGGTAAGATTCATGAATTAAGCATCCATGTTCCATGGACTAAACTGTACTCAGAGCCGGCAGTCATCACAATCAATACTATAGAATGCGTTCTAAAAATTCGTGATGATGTATCTCAAGCGGATGAGAATGATGATGAGAGCAATGTATTACCGGCTGATGTTAAAACAGTCAAAGGATCTTCTCCTTCCAATGACAATGAGAAAACATTACCACCAGGTTATGTGCAGAGCTTACTGAATAAGGTTCTATATAATTTATCTATAAAGGTCAATAACCTTATCTTGAAGTATGTTGAAGATGATATCGTTTTGTCAGTGAACATCAAGTCTGCAGAATTTTATAGCACTGATGAAAATTGGTCAAAAGCATTTGTTGACGTATCTGCTCCTGATTGGATACTTCATAAAACATGCAACATCACGGATCTGACGGTTTGCCTCGATCGGCGAAATGCCAGCGGAGTGATAGAAATGTATCAAGACCCTCTTGCCTATAAATGCAACCTCTCGTGTCGGATGCAAGTCTTCTTTGACAAGGAGGGGTTCCATTTGCCTATTGAGAAAAACATTAGTGTTTATTGTGAGTGTTTAGAAGTATCTGTTACTGATCAACAACTTCCACTTCTGATAAGACTTGCGAGATTAGGTCTCGGTCTTTATTATGGGACAGTAGATGTTCCTGGTTGTCAACCATCATCTCATTCTGCAAAGGATATCATGAAAAAACAAGAACAAAAGTCTAATATTATTAGTCCACTTGGCTCAAGTTTTACTCAAGGAGTCGACACTGAACTATCAAATGATGGATGGTTATCATGGGCATATTCTATGGTACCCAGTCTTAGCACGGATCCAAAAACACAAGATGCTTCCTTGGTAACACTCACGTCGAGATTTTCAAGCTACGTATCTCAAGCTTCATTAAATTTAAAAATCACTGAAGCAACGAGCGAGGGTCAAATTCTTGGTGGTCAAAGATTTGTATTCAAACCAATTCTGAGTATTGAAGCTTCTGGCATCGCCCAAGAAATAGTCTTAAGAGGGGGCACCTTTATGGATTTTCAAATCGGCGTGACATCAGTGACAGGCTGGTTAATAGACGCTTTCGTTGGCAAAAATGAAAGACGGCTATTCAATGAACAGATTGACGAAGATGGGAGAGACTTCGAGGTTTGTAATTGCTATACAACTGGCTATATAATTATGATTTATGATTAGTTTGGAATATAGAAATTTAGATTATGGAATTATCATTAAAGATTGATTTAGAATATAGAATTATCATTTACGATTGGTTTGAATCATAGAATTATTATGATAAATTTATAATATAAAATTATCATTAACGATTCCTTTAGAATATAAAATTTCCATTATTGATTAATTTAGAATATAAAGTAAATGGTTTGAACCCGGGAGTATCGTAACATATTTGTCGATGAAGATCGTCCAGGTTGGTAGAGTCCTGAGAAGGACTGTTTTTGTTGTTATTGACTGGCATTTCGACAACCTTAGCAGTAGTTATCTTCAGAGTCAACTGACTACCGCTAAGGTTGTCGAAACGTCAGTCAACAACAACAAAAACAGTCCTTCTCAGGACTCTTCTAACCTGGATGATCTACATCCACAAACATGTTAGAATATAGAATTATCATAAACGATCAGTTTAGAAAATAGAATTAGGAAGAGAAAACTGGGAATACTGGTTTTGATTGTTTTTAGGAGGTGTTATTTCTAAAAATTGGCGCAAAGGATGCAAGCTCCAGTAAAAGTGTATCTTTCCTTAAAGGCTCTCTGTTTGATTTTGAGAGAAATCTTTCAAAACCACAGCTCTATGAGTTACCTCAGGACATGAAAGAATTTCGTCGTAAAAACTCTGAAACAAACGTCCTTGAGCGTTTTGGCGCTATCTTCTTTGAATACTTGTACACAATGGAAGTCGAAGGTGCTGAGGATGGTGTTTATTACAAAACAGTGCCTGCAGTGAAAGAAGAATCAGAACAGCGGTATATTTTTGGATCGTCTATGGTTGAGATAACGAGCAGTCTAGTTCATAAGCTGGAGTTGGTTTTTAAACTGGCAGGCGACGATGTTAACTTAAGAAAAGGTATTTTATACGCATACTAGCTCTCCTCTCATTAATGCATTCAATATATCGTTAACATATGCAACTAATTAAGCTTTGCATTGTATGACACAAGAAGAGTATAGTTTGATTTCGTACAATTGAGTAATTTATAAATCATTTCGTTGATTTGGAGAGTGTTCGAATAGTTTGAATATTTATTGAATTTTTGTTTCAGAGAGAGACGAAGTATTTTATGATGATTTCGTCGAAGAACAACTGTTGTCAGGGACTATATCTCATCGTTTCATGCACGTGACAGTTCTGGACGCAAGTCTTGTTATAAAGATGGCAGATCAGGCAAAGACAGCGCATGTGCAGAATGAGCCTGAAATCCTCACTGACAGTTCATTTAGCGAAATACTCGAAGAGAACGAGGTTAAACACGCAATACCTTTGTTGAAGATTTTTCACTGTCACAAAGTATGCTTTCATTTTTTATATCTTTTTCTTTTCAGCTCAATTCAAATACCTCGACTGTAATAGCTGGTTGTGTGTTTCAAATTGAAAGACTTGATTACCAAAGGAAATCTCCAATGTTCCCACAGGAGTTGGTTAAACTGCTCAATGAAAAAAGCGGCAACAAAGTGCTGCGTCAAAATGCTCACAACGATATCTACATCAAGGTAGATGATATAAACTCGACCTCTACATAGTCAACCTTTTCACATCGTACATGATACAACATCTATATTCTCAGGTATTTGGAAGTCAAGTTGCTCTTTCTAAGCACGATGAACTCACCGTAGACGAACCAATGACTTTGAATATCGTCCCAGCATGCAACATGTCATTGTCTGCCAAGCAAAGTTTGTATAATAGGTAAGGTCATGTTGCTCTGGTCTGCAACCATAAATCGCACGCCTAACTGCAATATTTCAACACGTTTGTTTCAGAGAACTTAACGGTATGGGTGAAGTCGAGGCTAGATTTGAGCTTGCTTCGTTGTCGTTAAATCTCACAAAGCCACAGTTTGTGTTGTTGCAGCAAATACATCGATCTTGGATGGACAACACTGCTCATGCGCAAAAAAATTTGTCGCAAAATTCTTTGCTTCAAGACGTTTTTCATCCCTCAGGTTTGAATACTCTAAGGTTGTTGTAAGTAGCTAGCAATTTGGACTGGTTTAGAAGATATGAAAATCTGCCATCTAGGCAAATGCTGTACGATGTGTACAGAGAAATAAGGTACATTGAAGTACAGAAGAGTATGTTGAGATACAAATGTGGAAAGCCACGTAAAATAATATATGAAATAACAGTCGAGATGCATTAACATACTTAATATACCAAGCATACCTTATTAAAAAGATTGCAAAGTATGAATGAACAACCATTTAAGAGGAATAAAAGTCAGATGACACACTCGAAACGGTGTTTGTATTCTCATAACTTGTTCTATTATAGCAAAAAATGGAGGGCAGATGCCAGTGATTGTGGAAGCTTCCCTTCACGATGTAAATATTCAGCTTCACCTTCAATCTGATGTGATTTCAACTTCAGGATCTGTGGGCGCAATTAAAGCGGTTGTACTCAGTTTAGGTAAGTTGAGTTTTATGTTATAGTTGATCAAGAATAGCAAAATTTGAAAAAATCTCTTTGCATTATTAGATCACGAGGAAACGGAAAATACTCCAGTTATATATGGTCCACTTTTGACCACCGACTTGTTTAATGGAAGATCTTTCGAATCTCATGAAAATCCCAAGTTTCGAATGGAAACACTTGAGCCGTGGTTGGCATTTACTTTGAAGATTCCTGTTGATCTGGGAAACGCGAGAGGTTTGTTTTCACTCAGTGGACAGCATGTATTTGTATGTGTCTACGAACGAGCGAGGAACGTTCATCTTTGATAAATCTCTATTAGAACCACGTTCACAAGTGATGGGAGCCATCCTCTTAAAATGCAACGGAACGGCTATCAATGTGGATCCAGTCTTGTTCACTTGGCTTGCATATTCTCCAAAAATACATTCTCCTGTCGAAAGTTCATCTCGAAGGAAGAAACCGAGGAGAGTAATGAGCCGCAGTAGAAACTTGTCAGCGGTTACTGCGAGGAAGAAGAGCTATGCCAGAGGTTGTGTATCAAATAAATGGACTTTGTTTTCACTTTGAATTAGCCCTGATTTACTGCATTTGAAGATTTTCTTGTGAGAATCTTAAAGAACGAGGAACTTGAATATTCGTCTTACATTTTACAGGAAATATTTCGCCAACTTACCACAACAAGAAGCTTCATTCACAGCAGAAGAAGCGTCCGGAGAATTCTGGCGAAAATGATGGTCTCGATTTTGAGTCATGGCTATCTGAAAAACTCCCCTTGCTGGCATCCATGATCATTCAAGTACATCTTTATTCATTGTAGCTATGTGACGAACCGTTAGCTGTTTTATTAATGATACTTTCTTTTAGCTTGACATGGCATCTTTTGGTCATTGTAACTATGTGACGAACCGTTAGCTGTTTTATTAACGATACTTTCTTTTAGCTTGACATGGCATCTTTTATTCATTGAAACTATGTGACGAACCGTTAGCTGTTTTATTAACGATACTTTCTTTTAGCTTGACATGGCATCCTTGGTGTTTTTTGCTTCGCCTGCTCATTTGCCTTACGGTACAAATACTGTTTTCCTCGATGTCTATTAAATCATACAAATTCTAAAGGTTTTGTGTTCCTTAACATAGATAGTTCTTCATCTGAATACTACGATATTCCACGTAATTTTATTCTGCACTTCCGCAAACAAGTCGCCGCCTCCTCAGCTGGTGTAGTACTCAGTCTTCCTGCGTTGAAAATCCGTAGTTCAGATCATCCTGACCTCGCCATATGCCACGATATATTACGTCATCCACTGTCTCTACCCCCACGTGATGAACCCGAAACGTTGCCATGGACACTCGCCGCTGACAACATGTCCATGTTTACGGTTCTCCGTAATAAAGATGAGCAAACTCTGGATATTGATTTTTTGTTGAATCCCATGAGTTGTCGTGCAATGCTGGCTTCGGCTAAAACGTCACGTTTACAAAGTGGGACAAAGGGGTTAAATGATGAACTTAAAGCCACGTTGGATTTTGTTGTGCACACTGACTTTGATTCAATCAGGGTGAATTGTTCAAAAAAACAGGTGAGTTTTCGGGAAAAGAAATCCATGGAATAAAACTGACTGCAGTTCAATTCAACTTTTCTTTGCTTATTTAGGTGGATGTTATGTGTCTTCTTTATTCCAACACGACTAAGTTAATTTCGACAATCAGCGTTCGTGAATCGAATGAAGTAAAAGAGTCAAACTGTCCTGCCAAGTCCCTATCAAATAATAAATTTGAAGGTGCTCGTACCACTAAACGCAAGGCGGTTCATTCTTCCTTGTCGAGTGTTGATGTTATTGAAGAAGAATCAATATCATCCGACAGCACTCCGTTGCTATTCCTCTCACCAGAAGAAGCGAGCAAAGTAAGTGACGAACTGAGCAACTGTAGCAACACTGCAATTTTGTTTCAAAAAGAATTATACAGTTGTAAAGTGGATTTTTTTTCATAATTTATAGATTTCGTCATCGCAGATTCACGTTTCCCTATGGGTTCAATGCACTCTTCCCAAGTTATCATTCAATATGTTTACCAGTGATGACGCAAATGAAAAAGACGTGCGAATGTTAACTGAATTAGAAGATTTGTCCGCGTCGTTTGATTATGAAAAACATCATTTCAAAGCTCGTTGTAAATGTGGTAACTTCAGCATTACTCATTTTCAGAAACGGTAAGAAGAAAAACCTTTTCTTTATTTATGTAGAAGATATCTTTTCAAAGTCCACCTCTAGATGCGATTACATTGACTATTTGTCTCCTTTCTTCTTTCACATATGTTTACGAAGCTTTTCTCCTTCCCAGGCCTTCCGGTGAATGGATTACTGGTCCCGGAGGCGGGAACATTTTTTCACGTCAAGACACTCTCTCCACTCCTTTAATAAAAGTCAGCGATGTTGATAATTTGGATCCAGGCCCTCACGGGTTCTTTTACGTGGAGTACATTGCATCATCAAGTGTCGTCCCATCATTCAAGGGGAGCTCTGAGGACGATGACGTATTACAAAACTCTCTTGGCATCAAGCAAAACATACACGTGACCATTCAGCCATTTGATTTTGTACTCTGGTGTCCTTTACTATATACTGCTATCCATGTGTTTCATACCTTCACTCTTGTTCTTCCTCACGATTCAAGTATGAAACACGAGACGCCTTCGTTTGAATGTGATAGTGAAATAGAAAAACGTCTGAGTAGATTTCCGGAGGTGAATTTTAAAATACGAGGCTTTCGTATTTTGTTACCGTCCTCTATTGACTTGCAGGGCTTGAAAAACATGAAAAAAAGTGTTAACTTTTCGGATTCATTCACAATTCAAGCTTCTACGTTTCATATTTCGTCACAAGTGGAAAATCCAATATCACGTCTTGTGGTTCATAAAAAACTAAGCGAGACGTTAACAGCATTTGGGTGCAGTCAACACAGGTCAGCGGCTCAACACGATACTCAATATAAGATTGAGATGAAAGGTCTTCGTATCTGGTCGGGATGTTGGAAGGAGCTATGTCAAATGTTGCCAAAACAGGATACTACAGGGATTGAAGTTGATCTTTTGGAGCAAAATCCAGCATTGGAATGGAACACACATATTGGGTGAGTATCGACTTGCGTCTTGAAATGCAAATAATAACTTAGAAAATATTTATTCTTGCAGTAAATTTGAAAGAGTTGACCCAAAAACCACCAAAATACTGAAAGGGAATTGTAACGTTCTTCTGTCAGTTTAATGTGAATGGCGTGTTGCCGAAATAGTTTTTTTCCTATTCATACTTAACAATTGAAGCGTGATGTTACACAATGTTTCACAACATTTACTATCTTTAATTTCAGGCAAGAACATGCTAGTACTCTTGCTATTCCTGTGTTATCTGATCTGGACGTGAAATGTGTTATCGCACCTCCACTTTATCTCTTCATGAACGACAAGTATCAGCCGTGGTCTGTACCGATCTATGGTTTATCCTTAGAGCTCAATATAGTGAAGGATGTTGAAGTTTTTCTTAGGAAACGTCATGTAAGTAAATTATATTATTTTGTATGTTTGAAGAAACATCAAATCATACCTTGAAATAGGTCACGACTGTCTTAATCATCATCGTTGTTAATGCTCATAGAGGTACAAAGATTCTGTCCTGAAGGAAATTACGCTATCTTTAGAGTTTACACTGGTAAAAATAATTTACAGCATAAACTCCTTGTTTTTTCAGATAAAATTAATCGAAATCATTTTGAATAAAAACCTGTGTAGCAGTATAGTTAGTAATGACGGCACACCAGCATCAAATCTTACACCATCTTACGTTTCTAACTACCCTGATCATCGCCTTGAAGATATGGCGACCGCTGACAAGTTGGACAGTGGCATCGGTAGTGAATGCTCTCAAAAGAACCTCAATTCAGCGAAGCGTTGTGAAGACAGGCAGCAAAATAACGCAATGGACTGTCTTTTCACAAGTCAGACATGCTCAATATTTCTTTATGAAAAGCTGGAAGATCAATGCTCGGGTTTAGTTCCCGTTGTCAGCGCCTCTCTCGTTCAACCGTCCTTGAGTTTCAACAAGCGCGCAGATTGTCATACGATTCAAATTTCCTGCTTCGATTTCTTCTTGTCTAAAAGTAATAAGGATTTTACAGGTAAGGATTTTATGGAGAAGTCAGTGGCTGTATGTACAGCGAGTGTTTTAGGGAAAAAGTGGGAGCTGTAAGTACGGTAATGATTTCTGAAGGAAGGTAGACTTTAATGTACAACGAGTATTTGAGGGAAAAGGTGGTAGCTGTAGGTACGTTAATGATTTCTGAAGGAAGGTAGTACTTTAATGTACAACGAGTATTTGAGGGAAAAGGTGGTAGCTGTAGGTACGTTAATGATTTCTGAAGGAAGGTAGTACTTTAATGTACAACGAGTATTTGAGGGAAAAGGTGGTAGCTGTAGGTACGGTAATGATATCAGAAGGAACATAGTACTTTTATGTACTGTGAAGAATTGAGGGAAAAGGTGGTAGCTGTAGGTACGGTAATGATTTCAGGAGGAACATAGTACTTTTATGTACTGTGAAGATTTGAGGGAGAAAGAGGAAAGCCTTTTTGTGTGTTGTGTAAAGCAAATTTTACATGCTAAAGTAAGACTGTTGAACTTTCTTGAAAAGGAAAAGTATAAGAGCCTTGATTTTGAAACGAACATCTTTTCTCTACACAGATTCAGGAAGTCTTTTAGGATTATAAAATATATTTTCCTTTCAGAGAGCAGTAAAGAAATTCCCAACTTTGATGATTACGATGTCACTTGGTTTCGTACGGTCATGGTCGTCCTGATAGTTACACTGAAATCTCTCCTTTATTCATAAATATGACAGCTAAATTATATAATTATTCACTTGGTAAGAATTGTTTATTTATGTCATTTGTTGATCGATTGCTATCGACCTGCTATATTATTGACCATATCTATTTCACAGCTGATCTCAAGATAAACTTTGGTCGGCCAATCTGGATTGATATCGATCTGTTAATGATGAAAAGACTAAAGGATTTTACGTCCGAGCTCTTTTCGCAAAACGCAAGTGTGGATGGTGAACCAAGTTCAAACTCTATGAAGGATACGACGTGCATAGTTCGTTCTGTAGCGGTGTCCACAGACTACATTTCAATTACCGTAACAGCAGGTCACGATTTTATAATTGATCCTTCTGTTAAAGTATCGTGTCTTTCCATGAATTTGGGCATTTGTCTGAAGGTTGAACACAGAGCAGGTATACTTGTTGTTTTGCCTGGCAATTTCTTGTGTAAAGTAACTTTTATTTTATATATTCTCCTTCTTTTCTCACTTGGTGTTTTTTGTTTTCTTTAGATTTTCTTCAGCGTATGACAGGAAATTTACGTCTGTGTGCTCTGGCGTTGTCGACGTATAATAACGAAGATATTCAGTCCTTTTTACTTCCATGTGATGCTTCTTTTGAACTCGAGATATTTTCCACATCACCATCTATTTCGCCAATCTGTTGTTGGTATGCATAAAACAATGAATATATAACATTTAATATAAACGACAACTTTTTTGAAAATAGACATGTTTCGACATCTCATGATGCCATCTTCAGTATAAGTGAAATAATAGGTGATACAAGGTTTATATAAAAGTAATATGATACATAAATTAAAACAATAAAAAGGAAATAAGATAAATTAATGAGGAGCGTCCGAACGTATTATAAACTAGTTTATAAACTAGTATTATAAATTAGTGTAATTTATGTATCATATTACTTTTATATAAACCCTGTATCACCTATTATTTCACTTATACTGAAGATGGCATCATGAGATGTCGAAACATGTCTATTTTCAAAAAAGTTGTCGTTTATATTAAATGTGTATTGGCAATAGTGCTTTTACGAAATTATGGAATATATAACAGTTCGTGTCGCACGATAAATTGCTTTATGTTTGTCTTACTTTTAGCACTACGCCTGTAAGTCAAACTTTAATTTGGTTGAATTGTGATTTTTGTCAACTTAATTTTGGTCAAGAACATCTCAAATGTATTGATGCATTTGTTCAAAATATCAGGAGATTTATGGGCAACTACTTCCAAGTACACGATGAAAGGACAGATGAGAGTATTGAATCTGATTCAGTTGTTACACCAAGTATCCATTACTCCGAAGATGACCTGCGAACAGGCCCATTCAAGTATATTGTAACTGAAGGTAACTTATGGTGAAACTTATGAAAGATTGTTTGTCGTTACTAAAATCTGTTTAAACATTTCAGTCTTGGAAACTCGACCAATGTGTCATGAGATCGTATTTTGTGACGAACACCTTCCCACGATGACGTGGCGTTATCCTGAACCGCGCTCGCTGTCCAGCATAAATATCACTCCAGTACCATTTACAACGTTCAGTAGTTATCCCAGTCCAGTTGTTCAAGAGGATTGTCTGGTACGTATGTAAACTTAATTTTAAAATTGTTCTGTTTGTTTTATCCCTGATCTTAATATTTCTTTTAGCTTCCATGCATTTTGCGATATTGGGACAACATTCAGAAGGCTTTTGTTGAACACTCGACTTTTTATATCTCAGAGAGCAGTTCTGTTCAGGTTTCACTTTCTAATCCTATGGCAAGTCCGCTGTCCGAGGTTATTGCTGCTTCAGAATGGCAAGTCGTTGCGAATGTCCGCTTGAAGTCCAACGAAGAAGACGAATTTAGGTATGCTTCATCGTTATTTTATACTTCGTCTTCTGCAAAAAATAAAACTTTATGTGTGTTTTGTTTTCTTTTATTTCTAGTGAAGAAGATGAATTTAATGTTTCAAAGCGACCTACTGTTCCATCACCAATATCTGCGACTTCTCTTGCCGCTTGCATGAAAGTTGATTCGCTATTTTGTTCTAATTTTGTTCCCACGCATTCCATAGCTGCGACACTGAATAGCACACAGTTGACTGTCTACAACCACTTGAATTATGGTGAGATATTATTCATATTTTGCAGAATGCTACTGTTGATATATTTTGCTGTCGCCTAATCACATAAATCATTTGTCTACAGTGATAAATTGAAGCATGCATATTTTTTGTGTTATGAAGAGTGAAATGTTGTTGAAGAATTTGTATGTTGATATCTGATATCAACATGTTGTCCTCTCATATCAACATGTTGTCCTCTCATATCAACATATTGTCCTCTCATATCAACATGTTGTCCTCTCATATCAACATGTTGTCCTCTCATATCAACATATTGTCCTCTCATATCAACATGTTGTCCTCTCATATCAACATGTTGTCCTCTCATATCAACATGTATCCATGCGTAATGTATTATGTTGAAAATGCTGCTAAGAATATCATCTTTTCAATTGTATCGAGAAGGCTGATTTTCTCATCTAGTCCTTCCAACAAGACTCAAAAGTTTCACTTTAAAAGACGATCTACCCAAAGCTCAAGAGTTTCTCCGTTTTTTTGCCGAAAATACTACGATATTGATGAAATCATGGCCGACCAACACTCGTCAATGTCTGCTATGGAGTTGTATCTCTGCTGATATTCTCAGTTATCGTGAACTAACATGGCTGTCTTTTCTTAATCCTTTTGATGTCACCTTGGCATTAACCACAAACCAAAATTCACAGGTTGGTGTGTTTGGTAACATTCTTACAGCAAAAGACAATGTTTCCACTTTTAAATAACATTCTTACAGCAAAAGACAATGTTTCCACTTCTAAATAACATTCTTACAGCAAAAGACAATGCTTCCACTTCTAAATAACATTCTTACAGCAAAAGACAATGTTTCCACTTCAAAATAACATTCTTACAGCAAAAGACAATGTTTCCACTTTTAAATAACATTCTTACAGCAAAAGACAATGTTTCCACTTCTAAATAACATTCTTAGAGCAAAGACAATGTTTCCACTTCTAAATAACATTCTTACAGCAAAAGACAATGTTTCCACTTCTAAATAACATTCTTACAGCAAAAGACAATGTTTCCACTTCTAAATAACATTCTTACAGTAAGCGACAATGTTTCCACTTCTAAATGTGATCACCGTATATTTTTCATATATTTGTGACACTTGGCTTTTTTGTTTTATACTTCGTTAACAACTAGAGCATTTAAGAAACGAGTTTTGTGGCGGTTGTGTTTCAGGAAGTGAAAGTTTTTTGTACAAAAAATGAAATATTTATTTCTTGTTAGAAAACTAACTTTGGATTGTTCACTTCAGGGTAACGACGCAGTCATTCCGTGGAGGTCAAATGATTACAATTGTCACATGTGTTGTGGTGATGTGGTTATAGATACTAGTCAAAATAGGATTCATACTCTTTCAAGTGGTGTGTTATCTTGGCAAGAATCTCCATCTCCCGCTCTTTGTCATTTCATCATCTGTAACAACACAAATCATTCCATCCTTTTTGGACAGGTATTGTGTTGTTTCATGTTGTTTGCGTCATAAGATTGTGTCATTGAAGTCGGTGTATATAGTTCTGAAGATACTGACTTTTTATAAGCATTTTCTTTGCTCTAAACAGCATTTTTCATAAACTGTTTTTGTTTGAACTGACACCCACTTCATTTCTTCATTCGTTTTCATTCAGGATGGCACAAAGGAAAATATTTTGTTGAAAAGTAAAGAACTGACTTTCTACAGTTGGTTGTCACAAGCTGCGCTTTGTCATCAACAGTTACATCTCTGTTTGGACGGGAAAGCCGTTGGTCTGAGCCGTTTGCTATCGATACGATGGGATTGGTGAATCGTGTCGTACAATATAGTTTACATACTGCGACCTTAATTATTGAAATAAAAAAGAAATCTGGTCTTCAGCGGGAGGTAAGTTAAGAAACAACACAAAAGATTGCGTCGTGGAAAAGAAATTCCGACACTGAATTCATTCGATTTTTTGATGTCATTTGCCGTTGATAAGAAATCTTTTCGGGATCATCACATTATGTTTTTGCTTTTCAGATTATTATTCACAGCAGTCATGTTATCACTAACTATACTTCACTTGACATCGATGTACAGCTACTTCAAAATCCTCCCGTCAATCAAATAGCAAGTCCCGCTCTCCAGGTAAGCGACTATTTAAGTACAGAGGTATTTCATTTGGTATAAAAGCATCGTCTGTGGATGTTATTAAAGCTTTTTCTTTGTGCCTCAACTTGTAAAATTTTCAATATTAAATGCTTATATAAATATATAATGCAATTTTTCTATCATGTCAATTATTGTGTTTTCGTCCAAGGTACTTCACAGTCTTACTGTTCCTGCTCATTCCAGTTCACCCTCTTACGTCATCTCACATGGGGGCTTAGCTGGAGTACGCGTCAGAATGAATGCTGAGACAACGTGGTCGGGGACTCTTCCAATCGAAGATCAAATGCCAAATTTCAAACAGCATTCTGTTGTTCAGGTATCTGGGTTGTTGTTGAAAAAATTGTGCTTGTTTTCCCTTTTATGGCAATACTCTTGCACTCCAAAATTTTATCTTGCTGTGATGATGAGTGGCGAAAATTCACATCAGTCGTAAATCAACACCCCACGGGGGGAGGGTTCCAGTAATCATTGTTGTTTTTAAAGCGATAATCAAGTCAAAATTTTTTTGTATTCAGCGCAGATAGTTTAACGCATGATAATTATGATGCTTTACTCTCACATCGTTGGTAATGTGTCGTTTATACGCTAATAGTTTGAGCATTAAATAAGCAGATAATTTGTCATGAAGCCCACAGATGCTTTTGCCATGCGATCAATGAGAGAGTTAAGAATAAAGTAAATGGTTTGAACCCGGGATTATAGTCCTGAGAAGGACTGTTTTTGTTGTTGTTGACTGACGTTTCAGTAGGAGATTTCGGCCCCTCCACGCTATCCTACTTGGGAGATGCAATAGCAAGCTTCCGCCCATCAGACCCCGACATCACCTGCGATAGGCTTTGCTCGGGGTACGCAGGGAGAGTGCGGTCGCGACCCGAAACGTCTGGGCCCCTAAGCCACTGCATACATATCGCACCCGGCTTCCACTGCTAGTTGACATCTACTATCCATATATTTAGCTTTCTATTTATATACAAAAATTCAAAGGCTTACGAAAGTTGTGGTATTATTAAAGTCACTACTGCGCATTCTCATATGATTTCTCTAATAATTTGTGACTAAGTGAGCTAATTGCCACAAATGTATTGCAACTACATATAGTTAGTCGTTGCCATAACTATGAACAATTAGTCGAGTGGATTGCGCATGCTCTAGCGCATGCGCAGATGATTTCTCTATTATATTGTTACGAAGCATGCTATTTACTTTAAAATCGGTGCTAGTGGATGCAGTTGATCGTTGCCATGACCATGAACTTGGACAGCTGGTCAAGTCGACTGCGCGTGCTTGGAAGGACTGCGCATGTGCAGATAATTTATTCAAAAATTGTGACTGAGCGAGCTAATTACTCTATAATCGGTATTAGTGCATACAGTTCGTTGTTGCCATGACAATAAACAGTAAGTTTAGTCGTATATTGGCGTGTGATTTGGTATAAACTCATTTTTAAACTCATTTCCCCGTTAACTGTTGCTGGCTTGACAATGGCGTGTCATCACCATATTCAAGTGTCAAGTAGATGACAAAACAATACTGTGGAAACACAACTATTGTGGTAATTCAAACTGTGGAAACAATACAATTGTGAACCTAAAAACCGTGAACAACTAGACAACCGGAGACATTGGCTAATGTATGCAATTGTCCATAGGTCAACAGAGCTTCACCGCGTAATACATAAATTACAAATACATGCTAGAAATATAACATTGTTTAGAAAGGTTGAGCCAAATTACAAGTCAAAGAGGGCAGTGTTTGTTTGAAAGTATGGACGAACCTGAGATTCCTAGCTTACTAAATGTCTAGATGACGTAACATTATTTGATGACGTAACATTGATGACGTAACTTTGATGACGTAACATTTTTGAAAGTATGGACGAACCTGAGATTCCTAGCTTACTAAATGTCTAGATGACGTAACATTATTTGATGACGTAACATTGATGACGTAACATTTTTATTGCTGTTGTAGATGTTGGGTACGAAAGAGTTTAGAAATTTCTACGTATGGTACAATGCAGTTTGCGTTGATTCGTTGATTGGCCAAATAGAGGTATTGTCACAGCTACGTTGCTATGTTTATCTTTGAGAAAAGTTGGAAACAATTGTAAACAAATTTTTTATTTTAGATATCATTTTCCCCGCTGTTCATTGTCAAGAACTATCTTCCTCAAACAGTTCAGTTGACTACCGTGTCGGCTTCTGGTGAAGTCACCGTTACCCATGAAGCACCGGGTGAATCACGTGAACATCATTTGTTTGACTTACCCCCAGACTCCTGGCATTATTTGACTTTCCAATTACCTGGCGTGAAAGTATCTTCCAATCCCTCGGTGCCCCTAAACTCCACTCTATATGAAATGACGGAAAAGTGAATCCTGCATCTGAACATGAGTCTGCGAATGAAAAATGGCCGTATACTTCGGAGCTGAACAAAAGGTAATATTTTGAAGATGGCCTCGATTGTGGTGAGCTAAATCTTGGTCTAGGCTTTTTGTTCAACCACAAGTCTATCTATTATCTTCTGTTTTACAGCATTTGTACATAGATTTTTCGTATATATTGTTTGTTCAAACCTCCATTGTTTCAATTTTAGCCATGGTCATTCCAATGTTAAACAGCCTGAGTCCACATTAGTGCGTCATGTGCAGTCGTTGCGCAGGCGCAATGTTTCGGATTCTGATGAAGAGGATTTATCAAGCGTTGAACTACAATGTAGAATTCGCAGTAAATGGCAAAAACTGCGAAGCATTCTAGTTGAAGTCAAACCTTGGGGATTGTTTGAAAATAAATGTTGTGTTAAAATCTATCTTAAAGACGAGGCGAAGAATGGTATTTTTCGTATCAAGCCATGTCAAGTTACCTCACCGACAAAACCCGAGGTTCATATGATATGGAATCGTGACTGTTCTTTTTATGTTGCCAAATTTTTCCTTTTTTGTCTTCAAAACTTCTTACTTCATTCATTAACATTGTTTTATTTCAGACATTTCGTGTTGGAGTGCAACCACATTGGCTTAAAGAAATCTACTGGTCTGATGTTATATTTCTTGTTGATGATGAACAATCTCACGGAGTTGTAAATTGCACTTCTCTTCAGCTCTACGGGCAGATCAGATGCAACATAATCGTTCCCAGTCCTTGGGGAAACAAGTTATGCTCATTGATGATAATATCGTCTATTGCAATGGAAATGAGGATCTTATCCATACAAGAAATTACGCGGATTGTGTGGAAAGCTCTTCCAAGATCTCTCATACTTCGACCTGTGTTAGTAAATGACGTCACAACGAAGGTAAGTTAGTAGCTTTTATATTGCCGCAGTCTCTGATCTCTATGTTTAAGGAACGTTTTGTCTTTGTTACCTTACTGTCTTTTGTCAAGTGTGACGAATATTGTTTTATATTTAAGTTTGAAGATTGGTAATCCAGGCATATTTAAAGTATAAAAATAAAAGATTCTCCGGATTGTATAGAATGATTTTTATTGAGCTTTCGACTCGTTGCTTCGAGCCTTCATCAGAATGAGGAAGTTATCTATTTACAGTTGCTTTTAGCTTGTAGACGCTTAGAGTGTCTAATTGGATTAGCGAGTGGATTAATCTGATTGGATGGTGTGAAATGCGTTGCCATGGGTTTTGGTGTATTGTGAATATGATTGGTGTTAATATTATTAGAGTGTAATGTTGTAGTTTTGATGTTGTTTGTAGTATTTTTGTCCTTTTTCTTTAGTTGTAAGTATATGTCGATTTGTCTGTTTATTGTGTTTATTGTGTGTTTTTATATTTTTATGATTTATTTTCCTTCTGTTTAGTTAAAGGAAATATCTTCAAATAATGAAAATCAAATCATTTTAAAGTCATCTGACACCCAATCTGTTGATTTAACTTCACAAGGAATCCCATATTGGGACGTGTCATCTGAACATGGTAATCTGGACAGCTTAGATACGTCACTCTATACTCTTTTGTTGGGTATCGCTGGAACCAATGAGATGACGACTGTCCAGTGGAGTCGACCTATCAGAATTGAGAAAGGCATTGTAAGACAATCCGTGTTTCTTCAAACAGCCAACCCTGAACCTCCATTAGCAATAGTTGCAATCACTATCATTGAAAATGATCTAATTAAAGTCATTCTCACCGAAGACAAGGTTCCCCGGATGCTGTTGAGCAATAACTGCTCAATACCGATACAATTAGGGCAATGCCCGACAGATCTCGATCGACAGAATGCAAAGAAAACTCGTCTGTCGGGTCGTGATGTAGTTGTTTCCGAAAATTTGGAACAATACACTTCCATTCCTTGCCTCGATAGTCACCATTCCGTGTACTATGAGGCTCCAGTGCTTCGAAAGACTTTCCTGACTAAAAAACCACAAATATTCCCCAAAGTAAAATTTCAAGTGTTAAAAGAGACTAGGATCAAGAAAAAAGGCGACACTAACTGTGAAAAATCCATCTATATGCCACAGGGATGGAGCGATGACGTTGATATTTCAACTGTTGGAAAAACGTCACTGATTCTTCCAGGAAATACTCGATTACACCTGGATATTACCATGGCGACATCTTTCTTGACCCACGTTGTGATTTCTGAAACTTGCTTTGATGAGACGAAGAATGAAGACGTTGAAGTTGCCGCTGAAATAAAGGTAGATGAAAACACCATCAAACATATTCATGTTTACATTTACTTAAAAAGATAAAGAACTATCACAGCGCTTTTTCATGAGGCATGGGACGAGACTCTGACACAGTTATCATGTTCATGATTATACTACATTTCTTTGATGTAACTTGTGGGTTGTTTTATTGTTCTTGTTTCTTTGATGTAACTTGTGGGTTTTTTATTGTTCTTATTTCTTTGATGTAACTTGTGGGTTGTTTTATTGTTCTTGTTTCTTTGATGTAACTTGTGGGTTTTTTTATTGTTCTTGTTTCTTTGATGTAACTTGTGGGTTGTTTTATTGTTCTTGTTTCTTTGATGTAACTTGTGGGTTTTTATTGTTCTTGTTTCTTTGATGTAACTTGTGGGTTGTTTTATTGTTCTTGTTTCTTTGATGTAACTTGTGGGTTTTTATTGTTCTTATTTCTTTGATGTAACTTGTGGGTTTTTATTGTTCTTGTTTCTTTGATGTAACTTGTGGGTTGTTTTATTGTTCTTGTTTCTTTGATGTAACTTGTGGGTTTTTTATTGTTCTTATTTCTTTGATGTAACTTGTGGGTTGTTTTATTGTTCTTGTTTCTTTGATGTAACTTGTGGGTTTTATTGTTCTTGTTTCTTTGATGTAACTTGTGGGTTTTTTATTGTTCTTGTTTCTTTGATGCAACTTGTGGGTTTTATTGTTCTTGTTTCTTTGATGTAACTTGTGGTTTTTATTGTTCTTGTTTCTTTGATGTAACTTGTGGGTTTTATTGTTCTTGTTTCTTTGATGTAACTTGTGGGTTTTTATTGTTCTTGTTTCTTTGATGTAACTTGTGGGTTTTATTGTTCTTGTTTCTTTGATGCAACTTGTGGGTTTTATTGTTCTTGTTTCTTTGATGTAACTTGTGGGTTTTATTGTTCTTGTTTCTTTGATGTAACTTGTGGGTTTTATTGTTCTTGTTTCTTTGATGTAACTTGTGGGTTTTTTATTGTTCTTGTTTCTTTGATGCAACTTGTGGGTTTTTTTATTGTTCTTGTTTCTTTGATGTAACTTGTGGGTTGTTTTATTGTTCTTGTTTCTTTGATGTAACTTGTGGGTTTTTTTTATTGTTCTTGCTGATTAATAGATATGTGGTAGGGCTGTGACTGCAAATGAAACACATGTACACAAATATTACATTTTTATACATTTATTTTGTTTCTTCTAGTTGAACTGTAACCTATCCAATGTGAGTGTCTGCCTCATCGACGAGTGCACATCTTTGAAGCCTATTGAAGTGTTACGAGTCAATCTCGAAGACATTTCTTTCGCTTTGAAATGTACAAACGTTAATCGAAATAATTTTGAGATAAACGTCGCTGGAATTCAAATCGATAACCAAATGTCGGATGATTACTACCATTTTCCTGTCCTTTTATTGCCTCTGGAAAACAAAATGCGAAATGCTCGGCGTAAAGAAAGGCGATCACTGAACTCTTTGCTCAGTTGTAGCTTGGAACTATCATTAAACAATGAGAAAGTTCATGTTCACGTCCTGAGTGTTGAACTGCTGCCATTGTCTGTTTTCATTGAAGATACATTGCTTTATAAACTTGCTGGAATGCTTGATTCTTTTGTGCTTCCAATGTCTGAAGATAAATCAAATGTTGATCGATGCTTGTCGAGCGTTGAAACTAATGAAGACAATTTGCTATCCGCTACCATGAATGATGCAATATCCAAATGCAAAACTGTGTATCCAGAAGATATCCAAGCCTTTATGGTCGCGTCGGCTATAGTTAGTCCCGTGTTGATTGATCGCGTTTCCATCGAACCTTCCTTTATCCTTGTGACGTTTCATGCTTCGGTCAAAGTTTTTGTTGCAGCCAATCGTACACCGCTCTCTTTCTCGAAGTTTGAAATGTTGTCATTGTTTACCGACTTATCATACTTTACCCAACTGCTGACCACACATTATGCATACTCGGCTTTAATGAAAGTCGGCTGGGTTGTTGGGTCCTTGGATATTATTGGCAGTCCAGCTAGTCTTGCTCGTAATATAGGTCAGGGGATAGCGGATTTTTTCTATCTTCCCTATGACGGGTTAACGCGTGGACCTACTGCTTTCGTGACGGGGATGTCTCGCGGTATGGTCTCGTTTATGTCTCACATTTCAGCTGGTTCATTGAGCTCAGTGACGAACTTAGCGTCCAGTATCTCACGCAATTTAGACAGACTAAGTCTTGACGATCATCATGTAAGATTTCAGGAACAACAGCGAGCCGATGGAGTGCCAAGAAAAATCGTGTCAGGTAATTGGTTTTGTTGTTTAACATCGAAAAAAATTGTTGCTGTGACCAACCTTTCATAATATTGTAATCTTTTTCAAACTGATGACGCTCTACTGTTGAATGTTTTGTTTCCAGGCTTTACTCATGGTTTGTCCGGCTTTATGCTCAGTGTTCTTGGAGCTGTGGCCGGTGTTGCTGACCAACCGTTGCAAAATTTATTACGAGCCGAGAGCATGAGTGACATGACCAGCGGTTTGATCACGGGCGTTGGTAAAGGTTTGATTGGTGTTATTACGAAACCTCTTGGTGGCGCAATGGAGTTGGTCTCTCAAACTGGTCAGGGCATCTTGCAAGGAACTGGGCTTGGAGAGATGCCGGTGAGATTATACGAGTCACGTGACAAGCTAAATGCTCCAATGAGAGCTAGTCATCTGAGATATTTATGGTAAATGTTGCAAACCTTTTGTTGTTTATTTCTGTTTGGGTTTTTCGTTTAATTACCTGTGTGTTCATGTTGATTTTTTCTTTAGGAAATTTCTTCACGCTAAAGGATATAAGGATGTCTTTCCAGTAACTGTAAGTGTTTTTCTTGGTAATGATTCGCATTTTAATGCTATCCTTTTAATGTCACGTGATGTGATCATGTTCCTCAACACCGACGACGATACTGTTCTGTCAGCGTTCGTCTTGAACCAAATTGACATGCGCAATGATCCACAGCATTCGGGTGCTATCATTATTGAACACCAGTTGTCAAGCACGGACACTGTCAGTGAATTGTCCAGCAATGATGAACTCAATCCTACAACTATTGGTCCGTTACATGAAAACCATTTAATGATTATGAATGTATTTATGGATCCACGTCAATCTCAACCTTTTCTCGATCATTATAAATTATTTAAGTTGGGTTATTAATTAATCCACGTGTCTCATCATGTACATATTATACATACACCACATGCGTCCATTGTACAATCGAATGACTCATCTTCAGATGAAAAATACTCCAACATCGACTACACATGCTTATGTAATTTAATTAACTTCCTTTAATTTAGTGATTTCATTATTATAAAATGGGCATTTTGCAAAAAAACGAATTTTTCTACTTACGTTGATATAAATTAACGCACTTCATTTTGAACACGGTACTTTTACACTCTCTAGTCGTCGCCAGGGAGCGTATAGATCACGTGTCCACGTATTGTGATCACGTGTCTCACGTATTGTGATCACGTGAAACTTGGTGATGAAAAGTTTTTGAAACTTCAAACTAGTCATCAGCATTATAGTTCTGTCGGTGTGGGTCATAATGGATTTCGGCTCATCGTACAAGTTTTCCTCTCTGCTCTACTGGAAAAAGCCTCAGTAGCAACTCAACAGTCTCTCATGTGAGCCCACGATGATCTTGTACAGACTTTAATGGTGATTTTAAGTTTGTCAATAACAGTGCTCTCACTTTTAAAAATTATCCTTCAAAATAGGATTTTCTAAAGGTTTTAAGGATATTTTTAAGGATGTTTTTATACTTTAAATTAATATACACAGCGCTGTAGAACTAAATTTATCAGATGGGGGCTCTCTTGACGAAGCTAAAGCCATGAATTTATGAAAAATTACCCATTTCAAAGGTAGAAGGGGGGCTCCTTCCCTAAGCGCCCCCCACTTCTACATCACTGAATATATACTTAATAATATTTAATGTTTCTTTACAAATACAAGGTCCACAAACTTGAAAACAGCAAAAAAAGGAGGAGAAACCATGAAAAATCACTTTTTGAACCTATTTGATCACGCCTAGAAGAAATTTTACAAATTTAAGGAATTTAATTGAAATTTGAGGAATTTTTAAGCATTTTCTAAGGAACTTGGAAATTTGATTGTGAGAGCACTGGTCAATAAGTTAGAAGAACAGAATCGTATGACTGTTTTTTTTGGTTTTAAAATATTTGGTGGAAAAGATGAATGATCTGTCGAAGTTCTTCTATCACAAAATAAAAAGTGCTGTGGAAAAAACTGCGCTTTGTACCGATTTATTTCCTAAGAAATAACAATTAACACAAAAATTAAAATGGCTTTTTATAAAAAGAAGACGGCTCTGTCCAAGCTCTTTACACAGAAATATAAGGTAGGAATTAGTCTACGTTCTGTGTCAATACCTAGCTCACACAATTCGTCTTTCTGAGCGAATATAAAACGATTAAAACTATGTATTTTAGTATAAAAATCCAGATAAATTTGCACACTAGGAACTAAGTGATTGAAATTTAGATAGACGATCGTGCAAGTATTGTATTCAGCAATGTATATGAAAAACAAAGCAGACAGAAAATCAATAAATAATCGTATTTTATAATATGTCCATAATTTCATTTAACACTCTTCATTTCAATTATGATCTCATCTTGAAATGTGTGATTTAGTTGAAAACTGAAATGATTCTATCTAACTGATAGCTATTTTATATACACTGTACACATAGTTAGATGTCCAGCTTTTCATTTTTCAAAAGCACAAGCAAAATCAATGACAGAATATTTAATCCTCCAGGGTTTAAAAAGAGTTTAGCATGTCATGCATGAGTTCTAAATGATTCTGTCCATTCCGAGGATTTAAATTTAATGTAGATAAATTGTCTGTCTGTGTTGAATACTGCATAGATGAATTCATTTGTTCATCAATGACTTGCATGGTTTCCAATGGTGGAGACATACTGGATAATGGTTCTAGTGACTTTATATTCCCTTGAAATGGAAAGGCATTCATTGGGGGCACGTTGTTGGATGCACAAGGATACTGACCAGGTGTGATTATAGGACCCATGTTGCTATAGTGGGACATTGGTGGTAAAGGTAGTGATATGGGCTGACCAATTGATTGCGGACTCTCGCAACCATTCAAGCTCTTGTTGTTTTCTGAAATTTATAGTAATGTCATTTATTGTTTTAAGGTTAAGTGTGATGAAACAGTCTTCATTGTCTCTTAGAAAAAATCTTTTTGTATTTCTGATTTATTTCTAGGTATTCTTAGTCGTTTTTGAACAATTTCTCTTTTAGCAGTTTTTGCTAATCTTCACTAAGCTGTTCATTTGTTCCCAGGCTCCCTGTCTTACCTCGCTCTTCTTTTGACTTTTTCCCAGCCCTCTGTCTGCTCGTCACGCGACAACTGGCTGCGTTATCTGAGTCTGGATTGTTCCTTCTTGCCAGTTTTTTTATCTAATAAAAAATCATAGCGTTGTTCGTCCTTTAAAATCAGTGGATACTCTTCAATGGAAATGTGAACATTTTTACCTTACCTTTGCGCGTTGATTTTGAAACCACACTTGCACTACGCGCACGCTCAGACCTGTCTCACGTGATAATTCCTCTCGTACCTGTTGAGAAAGACATGAAATCACCTTGTTTAACGAAGTGGATTACTTAAAGTAGATCAACTTGGATAAAGAAGGATCAACTTGGATAAAGAAGGATCAACTTGGATAAAGAAGGATCACCTTTCTACATGGTTTTGAACTAACTTCAAATGACGACTTGAATATTTTCCTTTGCTGACTCGTTAAGATTGTTCGAGGGCGTTTTGCAGGTTTTTTTCCATCTGAATCGGAATCGCTGTCAGGATCGTCGCTGTCAGAGTTATCTGCGAACATGAAAATCTCATTTTCGAAAATGTCAACTTTGCAATAATAAAGACGCGAAGCATGTACGTGATTTCTGTAATTTTTCAAAAAACGAAATCGACCATTCGTCCAACCATTAATCAACTATCCCAATGCCTACTGCAACTGTACAGCCATTAATCAACTATCCCAATGCCTACTGCAACTGTACAACCATTGATCAACTATCCCAATGCCTACTGCCACTGTTCAACCATTGATCAACTATCCCGATGCCTACACTGCAACTGTTCAACCATTGATCAACTATCCCAATGCCTACTGCAACTGTCCAACCATTGATCAATGCCTACTGCAACTGTTCAACCATTGATCAACTATCCCAATGCCTACTGCAACTGTACAACCATTGATCAACTATCCCAATGCCTACTGCTACTCTCCAACCATTGATCAACTATCCCGATGCCTACTGCAACTGTACAACCATTGATCAACTATCCCAATGCCTACTGCTACTCTCCAACCATTGATCAACTATCCCAATGCCTAATGCTACTCTCCAACCATTGATCAACTATCCCAATGCCTACTGCAACTGTTCGACCATTGATCAACTATCCCAATGCCTACTGCAACTGTACAACCATTGATCAACTATCCCAATGCCTACTTCAACTGTACATTCATTGATCAACTATCCCAATGCCTGCTGCAACTGTCCAACCATTGATCAACTATCCCAATGCCTACTGCAACTCTCCAACCATTGATCAACTATCCCAATGCCTACTGCAACTGTACAATCATTGATCAACTATCCCAATGCCTACTGCAACTATGTCATACATCTCCAATACACTACTTCAATAACGTTGGAATGATATCAAACGTAAAGAAATAATGACTTACTTTCCTGTTTTATGTTGTTCATGTTCACCAATTGGTTAAAATCTTCTTTACAATATAATTTGTTGTCCTTCAGTGCAAACTCCTGTCCTTTCTGCAGTTGAGACTTGCATACAACACATGAAAAGCATTGAATGTGGTACACATGACCAGCGGTCCTCATAACTAATTCATTCGATGGAATAGACTCTCGACATCGGCTACATTTTGTTCCAAATAACCTTAAATGAAAATGAAGAGATGTTAGTGCTATGGACGTTGGTGAAGGAAACCTCTCAATGATGTTGGCTCAGAGAGTGAGGGAGAGGCTTGGGGGTGTTAAAGTTCTTCATGATTAGTAAAATAACTTGTTGGTGATCATCGTATGGGACGCAAACATACAGACCCTAGACAAATAATAAGTCGCTTTTTCACCAGATGTCAGCGGCAGTTTTGTTTGATCTATCGCCAGCTCGCTTGTGCATAAAATCTTCTAATTCTTAACATTCTTTGGCGGTTAGATTTAATTCTTTTCACAATAACTGCTCGTGGAGGATAATTTGTAAACACGAAGCAAGCACTCTTCGCCCAGTCAATGTGAATTTAGGTTTAATGTGCGTGCATAATGATCTTTTTTGCAATTTCTGTAGAATTCAACTCAAGACATTGCTTTCTCGAGTATACAACAGGCTTTAAACAGATTTCAAATTGCTTAATGGTTTTTGTTATTTTTCAATTCCGTTGCGACAAGACTTATCTACAACACCATCCTTTGCATTCTTTAATAATCTAAGCGCAGATAATATTCTCGTTAATAACTACAATGCTTTTCCACAGCAAGTTTGTAAATTATAATTACTTCAATGTGGACTTGCTAGCTTAGAGTACAATTAACCTGCTTGCCTTGTAAACAATGTTGAATGACCTGAAAGGTCTAGACTCTTTAGTTCATACTTTATAGAGAATGAAATTCTTCATAAAACAATTTACAGTGCCTAATTTGATCATTCTTTTAAAGTTTGAACTTGAAGTTTATGTACTTCTTCCATGTATCGTTCATTCGCAAACTTTTGACGAATCCTATGTTATGAAATATGTATGAAACAAGGTAGCTCTTTAAAAATTGATGAAAGATTGATGGCACGGGAAATTTGTGCTTGAACTTAAACCTCGTCAAACAAACTTTTTCTGAACATGAATCATTTCATTTCTTAATGATGTACTTTGGCAGTATAAGTGGTTTCGACAATTGCACAGGTGAAAACAGCAGTCATAGTTGAGATTAACCTGGCATATTGGCAATGCCTATTAATATTATGAGTAAACACGCTCACAATCTTGTCACAATTTAAGAGCCGATTTTAAGTGGCTCTTATTGTTTTGTTGCATGTCATGGTTTTGAGTTTTAAATGTTGTAAACTGATCAAAGTGTTCTGCGACTTATTTTCTTTCCTTTAAGCAGTATTACATGTTCCAAACTTTTAAATGCAAATTATGATATAAACTGCCTTGGCCAAAGGTGCTTTAATTGTACCATGGGGGGTAATGTCTGGGATCTAGAAAGGGTATTTTGTTTGTGAATATCTAAAAAATATCGAATGTTGGTGTTTTTGTTTTCAATGTTGAGCATTAAAATATATAGCTGACCAAGTATCTTAACAATGATACATTGAAAAACTTGTCAAGCTCTAAAGATACGTCGATTTACTGACTGATAGACAACTGTTTTCTAATCATTGGGAGACACCATCGCCCTTGTTTATCTGCGTTCAAATTATCACTGCCAAATTTGTCAGTTGTTTTTACACAAATGTTGTCATCTTGCTCTGTCATCCATTTAAAAACACAAGCGGTTCTACTTTGATATTAGAATGAATCCGTTTTGTCTTAAAATTGTCAGTGTACGTCTGCACGTCTCTCGGCCTTTTGTGTAAAAATTGTTTTGAGTTGAGTGTTATCTTTAGTTTTGTGTTATTTTATGTACCACAATCTGCTTCAATGGTTTTCAGTGTTAAAGCCCATTCTCAAAACATTCTGAGCACAGTGTCGTTGTAAAATTTTAAATTCATTTCTCGATCTATAATCTATTCTTTGCTATTCCTGCAATATCATGATGAATTCTCTGCAACAAAACATCAACACGGCTCGAATTACTTGAAAAAATCATAACTTCTTTTCAATGAAACCGTGCAACCTATTAAAAACTTGATAGAACCATCAATTTCATTTACATTGAAGCTAATGCAAATTGAAAGTAAGATGTCGTGCTCAATAAATGGCATTAACACCAGCGTCAAGCTCTCGTGTTATATGTGATATGAATTATTGATTTGACTCATAAAAGTGACTTCTTGGAGGTTCATTCAAAACTACTAATCATTGCAAAGCGTCTATGTGTCGCCATTGTTGGGCATAATCACCTTAAAAACACTTCCTAACTTCTTGCTGTTCGTCATTAATATTTCTTAATTGCTTGATTGTCCTGTTTGAACGCCATTCAAGTGATTTTATCAATTCCCAACATGATGTAATCATAAATATGATATCGATAAACGGACCACGTTTGTAAGCTGTGTAACGAAATGTTCGTTTGATTATGCTACTGTGGACGATCGTTACAACTTAACAACTTAATTTTGCTATACAACAGTCTGTCTAACCAGCGTTATATTTACTGTGCTTGAACTCGCTATCGTAGACTGTCTCTAACTGCTATTCAAAGTAATTTAGCTAGCTAAAGCGTCCCGTCTCTAACTGCTATTCACAATATTTTAGCAAGGGATAAGGGACCGTCTCTAATTGCATTTCGCAATATTTTTCATCTAGCTAGCTGCAGTAGACTGCCTTTCCAGTGCTATTATATTAGAATGAGCGTCAATTTATAGAAATTAATGTTTGTTCCTTTTTAACGTATTTGCTCTCATGTCTTATTTTTCTGACGTTCAAAAATTGTGGATTAAACTAAAACTTGCCAAGTTCTAGCGCATTTGATCAGTAATCCCCTATTCTATATATAGTCAATAAATGATAGTGTATTTAATTTTAACTAACGTTTTGTTGTTGTTTTTTTTACTATTATTTTAGATATGTCTTGTTAGCTTACTGTAGATAAGACCTCCTGCAAGCATCATATCGAATTGGACTACAAATGTCACTATGGGGTAAGCGTGATGTGTAAAATTTCTTGTTCGCCAGATGGTTTTACTTAACTATATTCCAACAGAGTTCCCAAATGCAAATAAAAGCGTGTGAAAAGCGTTTCAAAATTCTTACCCGACTAATCTCGCAATGCTAAATATCTGTATGCATACATAAGTCACGCTAAGGGGAATACTTGTGATACAATTGAAAATGTATAAAATCTTGGTTAATTTTAAGGCATGACTACGATGTGCAAGGCAATAAGCTATTTATTTGACTTGTCTATTCGTTAAATTATTGCAAATTTTTACTAAGAAAGTTTTTATATTTTTTTTTGGCATTCGATTGTTCCAACAAGTGCATGATTGTTGCCACGTCAGTTTAACTGTTCTATTCTTTATCATAATTTGTTCAGCTGTTGCGAGATCGTCGCTAGGTAGTCACGGCTAAGAGTTGTTGATATTGGGGCGAATTTAATGTTAGCAAGATGACTAAGTGATCACTATGGACAGTTTAGCCTGTTCTAGACATTTTTCTGTGTCTTTTTTCAGTGTTATCGTTTCTAACCATATTCTGCCTCGTTAGCTACAAGTGAAAAAGAACGCTTTCTAAATGTGTTACGACATCAAATTTCACAACCTTATTTGCTGAATGTGAAATTTGTAGTGTGTGTTTGAATGTTTATGATGCTACGTGCTACGAAATGAATATTTAAACACGAAACAAGAGCTTTCAAGAGCTTTCTCTCATTTTGTTTACATTATATCGAAGCTGTATCATGTATTACCGTATCACACGATCACATTGACTTTACAACGTTGAAAAGTATTGAACGATAGTTGTTTCCAAAACGTTTATGCTCGGCATTGAATTTTTTTTGACTAATGATTAGATGCTAGCCATGAAAAAGAACAGTGGTAATCTTTAATCCTTTAAATCAAACGTAATCCTGTTCTCTAAGTCTTAAAAAAGCATAAAATCTTGAAATTCAACGACTATTGAATAACGTTGATTCGTGACCTCTCATGCTAAATGTGTCCCTCAGTGGTTTCCTTGCATTCGCGTTGTTTCCATAGCAACTATGTGAGCTGCTTGGCGGGGGAATATATACTCCTTAGTAACCTGTCACATTTGCTGTAATTTATGAATTTTCCCCGCCGTAGTTTTCATGCTTTTGACTTTGTCCGTATGTATTTGTATTGAAGTGGTTAATCAGCGTTATCGTTGCTGTATTTTATAAATTGTTTTATATAACATATGTAACAAGAGAAATACTTTGGCTTTATAATCATACACTCTCATCTAACACATGCATACTTATAAAACACATGCTGTTACAGTTATATTTTTTTCCTAAAATCACTGTACGTTGCTTCAAAAACCATTAAACAACGAAGAAAGAGTTTTGACATCATGTGAACGTGTTTATACGGCACAATCGTCTCGGCCACCTTATTTTTGTTTTCACATCAAATTGGTCTAAAGTGTCATTATTTTAAAACATTCCTTAAGTTTCGAGTAGATTTTGACAAGTGAGCCGTTTAAACACTTACCATTCAAGTGTTTAAGTAAACTATTTCCAAATGCTTGCCATTAATAGCGCCGTAATTATCGCTCCCTACACCATGAAAACATCTCCTGTTGATTTTAAAATGGCTACCTGTACTATGAAACGTCTGTTCACTACACTTAGAGGATTCTGTGTACTATTGCTTATCATGTTTCTCCGGAAAACATGTAAAAAAGATTTGGATTCTTCTTGTGTATATCAGAGTTTTAGCTACCACTAAGTTAGCTTATTGTATTTTCGTTTAATGGATTGTGATACTCGTTATTAGAGGTAAATTTAATGATCTTTCGCGAAGCATTTCATGCTTTAAATATGCCTTTGCCTTGCAAAAAAGGGAACATGTATACTCGCATCGACTTTATCTCCAATAAGCCATTGTAGCTATATTCATACTAAATTTTTCATATGTAATATGTATTTCCCTGTTTACCAATTTGTCGAATGAAAAGATGTGGTCATAATTTCAAAGATATACATGAAAGATTTTATTTTATACAGTTTTGAAGATAAATAGATTGCTCATAGCCATTTCCAGCGAACGTTTTTCAACATATGTAACATTAAATACAGAGAACGGACTTGTTTGATTTAATACGATATCACACATCAAAGCCTTGTGCATTTATAGAAAGAGCCGAGTTTTGATGCTTGCCGCCCTGTTTTAAATGTGATTTCAATTCTGCAATATTCATTAAGATTACAGTTTTGTCGATTTCATTGTCTTTGTTTTCGGTTTTATGAACATTGAGAATCGTCTTGAAATAACGAATTCAATAACAGATATTGTCGTGATTTTTGAGACTGAGATTGTGTTGAAAAATCAACACTTCAGTACACATGGAGAGGGGACTGATAAAATAGTTTTCTGGTCTCTCGTCTTGCGATACTTTAAGATTGTTGCTCTGGAATAAATCGGCCATTTAGAAGATATGACTTATCGGGTATAAAATTGGAAATCCAATGCTGTTATCCAATACAGCAAACATCAACTTTGCAGAGATTTTTGCATGTTTCAAATTAAAAGAATTAAACTTCGCACCCATTTTATCTCTGTAATTGTAAACACATGTTGGAGTGAAAGCACTGAAATGTACACCAAACTTTTTATGTTAAAACATTATTTGTGTGCAAAGATGATTCGGACAGCTCTAGATGTTTGATGGCAAAAAGATTAAGGATTCGTGCAATATTTAAATTTGGGAAAGTTTGTCCAGCCTAATGGTTAAGGAATTGTTTATCATCATTTCAAGCCTTGCTTGAAATAACGTCTCCAACGTCTCCATGTATGGTTGTGGATTAATTTTGAGCACTAAGAACACAATAAACATTTATATATCTTTTAAGTTTCATGGCTCTTGCTATACGAACTCGACGAGAAAGCAAAGTTTTGATAGAAGTCTTTATACTCTACAAGATTAGCCATGCAAGTCCGAATAAGGGAAAATGTATGCATTCTCGATGTTCGTTATTACACTTCAAATGAAATGGTTGAACTCAAGCCAGTCCACAAGGATTCGCCGAAACTGATTTCAATTATTCCCATTACTTTATCAGGTATCTTGCGACAAAGTCTGCAGATATCACTTATCTTAATATTGGCCAATGCACACGACTTATGGTTGGGGGTCTGTAAAGTCATAGTGAAATGTAAAATATATTGGACCCCACAGTACGTACAATATTGAAGAACCTGTTTTTATATAATTTCTATCATGCAAATACGACTATGCATCCATTTGTATTCCTCCATCAACTAGGAATATCGTCTTAGAAAGTTCATCCAAAGTCAAACGACGGCGCTTTACACTTGTTTTATTTCTTTTTGGTTTGAATTGAGATTATGTCACTGTGTGAAAATGTAGTATAGCACAGTAGCGTGATTTTTCTCAATAGCAAGCGATGTTTTGCCGTTCGAAATCGCCGGTAATATGAATCGGAAATCGCACAAGGTATTTAGTGCCTTACAATCTTGCCAAGAAGTATAAGGAATCGAGAAAGTACTTGAAGCTCTAGGCTATATTTTATGGCTCGCGTGATCTTGATATCCACTCAAGAGGTTTATGTTTAAAATTGTTCGATGAAAAGATCTGTTCTAAAGATTGCATTCAGTAGTAAGGAATTTACATTTGTGTATGATGCCAAAGTTTGCCTTATCAAAGTCATATATCAATGCCAAAAAGTTGATATCGCGTTCTCTTTACGCCTGTAAGACACGGAAATTTTGTAGTGCGTATTCATGTCTATCTTTATGCATAAGGTGGCTTTCCTTCACTATATGGTGACGATGACAATTTTGGTTTTTTTCCTGCTTACCTCCAATTTTAGTTTTGCATGTGTATTCTTGTGTATTGAAATGTAGAAGATTTTAGGCTTTAGAATGATTCTTTTGATCAAATTTTAAAACTTGAGATAGCTTCAGGAAAGAAAGTGAGCTTTAAATATTAATCGCTTCTCTTCTTGAACATAATTTATCTATATATAGCTTGAGTTGAATGCTTCTAGGAATGTGTCATATAATGTGCATAAAACAAGAGTAGATGTCTCGCCTATCCAATATTGTTAATTCTTTAAGATATATATTTATGTGATATACAGACTGGTTTGCATAAAACGTATTATAGAAAATCATTGATGTGCAATGGCAGTGATGACACTTGAGTTCTTGTGAAACGCTCATTCACTGCACCGTATAATTTTGCTCTTTTATATAATTGCTTCTCATTATAGGCTAATAGTGCACCATTTAAAAAGTATTATTCTGTAGACAGGGTTTCGATCTTATACATTTCAGAAACGCTCATGTCGTGTATTTATCGAAAACCGGCAGCATTTTATAATACACACGGAGAGAAGAATTTGAAATTATTTTGCAACACCGTCCTCGACGGCCAAGTTAAAAGTTTCCGCTTTTAAACATGTGCAATTTATAAACATGCGAACTGCAGACTCATCTAATTTTCTTTTTTGTCGTGTGGGTTTTTGTGCCTTGAATTGAGCGATTTCATGGTTGCGTCAAAATTTGTGGCTTTTGCGTTTGCCGATTAAGGATCGCCGTTTGAACAAACCGCCACGATTTATTTTATTGTAGAACAAATGTAGTGTTAAAGTAAATTGAAGTTCTACTTTTTATAGACCAACGTGTTAACATTACGAAAGTACACTTTTCTTTCGCGATGTTCCTATAAACGCCAACTGCGCGCGAGCATATATACAATCTATTATGTATATGCATTTTTGATGATTTGCCTGACTTGATAGCAAAGTACACATATAAGTTCCAAATATTAATTTATCTAAAAGCTTTAGATTTTAGTAAGTGCAACAAGAGTTTAGAACGACAGTTCTTGTGTAATCCTACTCTCGCGCGCTTCTTTGTCAACCTTAACGGACAATATGCATTGGCTGTAGGGTTAGGTCGTGTAAGTTTGCCAATTACTATAGCTCAGAATATGTTGTGAATTTTAGGATAGACAATCTTCTAACAGATGTATTTTCACTTACTTTTCATAGTCATCTCTACAGTACAATTTCCTTTCACGACTAAAGCATTTACGAGACAATTGCGAATGACATACACAACATTGAAGACAATTTTCGTGCCATGGATCTTCCGTCACTTTCATTAAAAATCTATCCTCGATAGGCTGATGGCAGCCTGTGCAGATATTCAACACGTTGCCAGTGAGACAGGTTGAGTTTTGATTTCCTCCTAAATGAAACTTGGAATGAATAAGAAGTTCGTAGAATAAAATTATGAAGGCTATTAGACTGTGTGTTATGTGACTTTATAAGAATGTGATTTTTGTTTCATTATAAGTGCTCAGACAATTCTTTATTCTTTTTTACCATAGTATTACCATTTGGAGGAAATGTTTCATTATCCCCCATCGTCATTTGGACGAAATTATAATGTGTGTTTGAGCACGGATGAGGTAACTGGAATCTTAGGAAGTTCGCGAGCTAACTGCTAAACGATGCAATTTGGCCCAGCTTTGTAGGAATCGTACTGTTAGGTCATCGATTCACGTTGTTTAGTAAACTTGTCTCCTGACTGCGCGATGACGCACAGTAATTTTTATATTGCGTACACGTTCCGTTCTCCTGTAGTCACTTTTGTTCAGCTTTTGCGTTTTTTCCTCTTTCGAAGATATATATGGATCCCACCTGTTTTATTCGGTTATAGCTACCCTGCTTCAGCTGTACACAACGTAATATACGCGTGTTGCTGGAGAAAAGATTATCGCTCGCTCTAACGTGAGCTTCAAGAGTGACAATGCTATTCCTGTAAATACAGTGTTAAGAATCGAGGTTATAATTTGATGTTGCACACAGTGTATCCCATTCGAGTCAGCCCAAGCCACGTTTGTTTTACGGCGACTGTGTGTGTATACGGCGTAAAGTACTCGATTGACATTTACTTTAAGCTTGGCATTTTTGTCGGCATATTCCCTTTGTTCTCTTTATATGGTTATAGACATCTGACACACGCAGACTGATAGATCATGTGATCAATGAGGCGCGCGGGGGTGGGGATGTCGGATCTCTTATCTTAGCAAGAGGGGGTAGGGAGATAACGTGCTTCGTGCATCCAGTAAATAGAAAATGCTATAGTTGATGGAAAGTGAATGCCTTCGTTCAGTCATTTCTTTGTGTTTTGTTGTAAGATTTTGTTTGTTTTGATTGTGTCAATGCTCACGATGTATCTCAATACCAACTACATCTTACTGCCGATGTTTTCTAATTCTTTTCTTTCGACGATATGATGCACGGAGACGCAGATATCTATTTTGAGCTGATCAGATAAATCACCGTGGAGATTTGGGAGAAAAGACTGAAGATTTAGGATTATTGTGAAAAATGCCGAGATGCTTCATTTTAGTAATCTCAAATCTTGAGGATGCAAAATGCGCTCTATACAAAGATTTAACATTCCACGATTTATATTTAAATTGATTCATTCTCCCTGCGAGAGATAAGAAACTTCTGCTTTCTCAATGTTTCCAGCGACTTGCATAATCCATCTCATACCGATATAGATTTGCTGGGATATTGTTTAATCCCCAGCAAAAGAAAGTTTGGCAAAATTAAACCACTCTCTTTTGTGAAACTTTTCAATGATCTTGTTATCCCTGGCTGTTGTTGTACTGTAAATAGTTCTTACACTGTCGGAGATGGCATCCCTGCTTGTTTGATCTTTACAATTCATTTCAATAGATTTGTGTCGGCCCGGAAGCTTTGTAGATATAGCAAAGTGAAGAAGTTATCGCTGGGTTCAGTATATCATGCAGGATTATTCATCATGTTGACGTTCATGTTGCATAACATTCATCTACTTTCCTCTTGACAATCATATGTAATAGTGGGCTGGACACTTGTCTGATGATATTCTTACTTGTCTGCTTCATGATAAAGTTGTGTTTGTTGTTATTCCTCAGCATAATAAAGAAGTGCAATATAAGCTCAAGCCGCGTGTTTCATAAGAGCTCTTGCTTGATATTGAACCGAGGTCACGATTTATGTAGCAAACTAAAAATATTTCTTATCTTTAAAGTTAAGATGAAATACATTTTACAGTTTATATAGCGTGCACTTAGTGCAGTGTATAAAAGAAATCACAAGTGTTTCATCCAAGGAAATAGCGTGTATATTTTCTATGAATTTCTAATGAGAAATATAAGAAATAGACTTCACATTGATAAGCCTTCTGCATAAAGAATAATGCATTTTCCGTATCTCTCTTTCTCTATCTGTCTCACTTTCTTCTCTCCATATATGTGATACAGTATGATATGTTACAAAATTCACAAACTATTGTTATCTCCACAAGCTGGTCAGGGTAAACATATGAGAGGATCTGTTTATGCTCATGCTGTAAAGGATATTGCTATGTAGAAATTGAGTTTTAAAATGGGTTTTTAGTTCATCTTTCAAGTCTACTTTAACGCGAAGTATTCTGTATTCCAAAACTCAGTTTATCGTCTATACGAATCGGCAAAGGTTAAAAATATCTCTTCAGCTTTCGCTGCATTCAAGATTAACCTGATTTGAAAGGGCACGGATGACGCATGAACAACCTTGCAAATCTTCAATCTTTTCATCTATGAAAATATTTACCAACATGGTTGGTTTTGTTTAACCGAACAACGTACGGATTAGTACGTGTATGTCCATGCGTTTTCCTTTTAATCGTTAAGCACATAAGTCGGCACATCTAAATGGCAAGAAAAGAAACTAAACTCTGGTGGTTGACTATTGTGTACACCCAGTCTTTTGCACTGTATCTTAAAGGAGTCCTTTTTACTTTCTTGAAGCAAGCATATCTGTATGAAAAATGCCTAATAAAATGTCATGTCTATTTCTTGTAGCGGTGAAAGAAAATCAGCTGCGGCTGGCTGGGCAGGCCTTGCGGTGTGTGTTTGATTTTGTGAACACCGCTTTGTGCATTCATTTTAACCCTCTACTTACACCAGTATATAATGCCCGTTCCCCCTGTGCCGCTTGAGATTTTTTAGTCAATGTGCAAATCATTTTTGGACATTTCGTGATGGTGTGCTTGTTTTTTTTCGAGCGCCTTCATTCTAATATTTTGTTGACACAGTTTCAGCTCATTGAAAAACCGAAGCATCTTCGCCACGCCTCCTCCACGCTATAATCCCGTCAAACAGGGAATGCTGCGGCTATCTTGAAAGAGAATTGGCAATCGATGACCAATGGGCTTGTAATTTACCCGTCATTAATTCTGTGTACATAAATACAGACATATCCTGTGTTTATGCCCACGTTCGGACGACACACATTTCACGACCTTGCTTCTTTGTACTCTGTACACGTTCTTATAGTTTTTTAAGGCACATAGCAACACTGATTTTTTTTCATATATTCGTCAAAAGGCCAGTAAACGAAGGCTATCTTTTACCTTAATTGAAATGGCTGAGAACACACTTTTTGGGACGCATGTTTCTGCACGAGAAATTATGTAAAGCGTGTGGGGATTGTAAAGATTGTCTCCCGTTCACTTACAATAAACTGGTATCACTATTCGTGCATAAATTCGATCTCGTTCCACGTTTTGTGAAACGCATTTACACATACCTACATAAACATCATTCCACTTTCCAGCTATTTTCAATGTACGCGTTTATCATAAAAGCAGTTTGGTAGTTTCTTTTGTAATCAGTGTAAAAGATCTTATAGTTGTGGCCAGTAAAACTATAGTCTCTTCTACTTTGCTTCGTTGAAGTACAGTTACTTGAGAAATCATTGGTAAATTCATGTGTTAGACAAGTCGAGTGTGTGTACTAACTTATAAATGATGTGATGATTCTTATTAAACTGATCATCAATTATATTTTACCGTTTTGCAACAACTGTCCATGTTCCTAAATGAAGTTAAAAGAATTTTTACGAGAGACATATGCACAACGTTACTATGCTAGAATTTCTTACGTTTCAGATATTAATTGTTGTTGTTTTCGTATGGTTCTTCCTTGGGCATGTTGTCAAGGTGTCGAAATGTGCTGTTGAAGCCTCTTAACTTATTCAAAGGTATGTCGCATTATGCTCTTCGAACTAAAGTATATATTTGACCTGTGGACTTGAAACAAAATTCGCTATAATGATTTGGTCTGCATGCCTATTTTCTATAAAAACAACTTGCACGCATTTCACTTGCCTGCATGCAAATGTATAGTTATTGTCATTCTCTATTTATAAAACTACTTATATAAGAGCATCCCTGTTCTCTCATCGTGCTCAAGCGTTTCGTAACACTTCTAATCAACGCCTAGACACATGCCTTTCATATTGGCTGCATAGCTTAGAGTAACTGCTGAACGACATGGAGTTATTTTCAACAGGTTAAGTTTTTTCCTTATTCAATTTCTCCAGCTGTCAGCCGATTGCATTGAAACCAAATCAAGGTTCATCTGACTGGTTTTGCATGTAATTTAGTTAAGTTTTATCAATATAAATCAAGTATTAAACCTATCCGTTTTTGCTAGGAATAAATCTCTGTGCGCTATTTTAAAGATCCCACTGGTTGCATTTAGAGTTTATGTTGTGTATTTTGCGGTTTTTGTTTTTAGCATAAGAAATTTTGTAACCGTCCGACCTTACGGTATAAGTAATTGAAAGACTAGGTCGGTTTTAGAGCTCGCGACGTGTCTTCCTTAATGTCGACTCAGGGCCAGTCTAAACAAATGAAACATTTTGTCCAACAATCATCAAAATCGTTTAATGGTCAGCGTGTGTTCACTGCAGGCTCTCTTTTTCGCGACAGGATATTGGGGTGTCTTTGTTAGCGCCATTGAAGTAATCATTAGCGCATCATCTATCTTCCCATCCAAGCACAGTTAAATCGCGGAACTTCAAAGGTCTGCAGCTGTGATCGCCAAATTTATACCAATTTTCTAAACGAGATTTTTTGTGAGGGCATGCATCAAATTTATGTCCTATTTAAAGAATTGTAGGAAAAGTTTTATTCAATTTTTTTTATCTTGCACCACATTGAAAAGGTTTGATTTCCATAGACTGTAGTCGTTGTATGTCGGCCCTTTAAGGCATGCGTAAATGTAAATTACGTTAGTCCTTTGTCTATATTTTCTTTCACGCGGCAAAACTTTGGCTCAATGGATCTTTCGAATATAGTTACAGTTAAAAAAACTGTCATGCGTCTTTTCTACTGTTCTTGTTGATTTCGTTAAAATAACGTTAAAATTGGTAGTAACTCAACCTTTATGAAAGACAAGATATAAACTATTGAGAGCTCGATTGCCATTAGCAAAACCCCGGCTGTTGTATGTGTATATTTCATAGTTTTCCAGCAATTGCGGTATTGAAAATGAAATGCGAGCATCTTGTTGTCTTTGTTGCTAACGATGTTCAGTTTCCTCTTCACCTCTAGCTACCTTTGTTCGATTTGTAATTTGCTTCCTGCTTGAAATCTTTCGTTTTCTCTTTGGCTCTCCACTAATCTTCATTTTGAAGATTCTTCGTTGCTCAAAATCTTCAGTTTCATCTTCGCCTCGACTTCCTACCATTTCTCTTAAGATTCCTTGCTTTAGAAAATCTTTAGTTACTCTTCGCCTCGATGAACTCCTTCTGTAAAGATTTTTTGCATTTCCGATTTCTTAGTTTCTTGTTCGCTCCTCGTCATCTCCCTATTTTAGATTGCGTGACTCGAGTTGAGAAAATGGGATTCCTTTATCATTATTTTTCTTTTTTTTTAATTTTTATAAAATATGACAGAATTGTCTGCTACTGCTTGTTTATCTATGGATGTGAAATAATCAGAGTTACAGCAGTCGTACATGGTTTTAAAGTCTTTCATGTCTATGAAAAACAAGAGTTTACTGTCGTCTATCGTATTCAATAACAGCTAGTCGGCTGGTTTTTTTCATCATAAATCACACAATAGAAATTCTTT